GAGATTTTTCGTCAAATTCAGCCAAAAAAAATCGAAAATTTGCTTTTTTATGAACGAAAATACTTTTAAAGTATATACTAATTTATACCGTTGGATTCGTCATAAAAAATTCTACATTTTGACCGTGTCAAAAATTATTTCAGATTTTTTCTGTTCATTTTTAAACGTTGCAAAGACGATCTTTGGATTTTTACGCCAAAAAAAAATCAAAAAAGTACATTTTTATCGATGAAAACGAAGTCGTAGAGCAAAACTGACTACGGCATTCGATTCTACGCACAAAAATACGCAAGAAAATGTGTTGTCAATATTATTTTTACTCTCTGACCACAGTTTGAAATAAATTGAATGGTTGGCCGATTTTGCTCTTATTTTGGAGCACGTTTTTAAACTTCAAAAATCAATCGACACCGGTTCCCGACACTTTTTTGAGGTTCTGAACCCGGCTTTCTTTTCGTGAAGACTTGAACTTTAAGAATCGCCATGACGTATAAGCGATTTTGAACATTTTTGCAAAAGCGAACCACCCTACTGTATATACTGCATCCAACTTCGAAAATTAAAATCATACAATTTTACGTTATTTTGCATTAAATACTGGTTAATAGCTATTGCTACTACTTCTTTTGTAGCATATCTGATTTTTATGAGTCGTCTTACTGAGAGTTGAGACTGATTTTTGTTTCAAAAATTCGCTGGTAAATTTGAAACGTAGAGGCAGCACTGAGCAGCACTCGGGACTCTAGAGTAGACTCTAGAGATTCTTCGGTCGAAAATGCTGCAAAATATAAATTTGGAAAACACAATTTCCATCGATTTTCAACAAATTGGCGTGTTTTACTCATTAAAAACCACTTATAATATGTTGAAAAGTATAATGTTGACATATTCTGAAAAAGTAAGCAGTCTGTATAAGTAAAAAAAAATCGATTTCTAACCTAAGTTGGTTGTAAAAGTATATGAAATATAAAGTAAATATTAGCTATAAAAGTGAAATATTACAACATGTTTTCCCTCAACCTTTAAAGAATATTTTTTCGAAAAATTATGTATTTATATGTCCCAAATACAGCAATATAAAAACATTCATTAACATAGATTCGTAAAGTAGAGATAGATTCATTTGAAGTATTGGAAAATTTCATTATCTGATTTCATCCTCTCAATCTATCTATATCTTAATTATATATATTCATCACACATATATATATACAATCAGATTCATTATGTACTAAAATCAACATATTAAATAAACTTAATTTATACATAAAATATTGTAGAACGATTAAAGCCTTCTACAACATATATACATATATAGAGTACATTGTATACATGAAAGTTACGCGAAAACGTAACATGTGTCAGTGTTGAGTTCTCTGAATAAGAATCGTAAGGGAAAAAATCGACGTAAGAGTTGAATCTTCACTACAGAATCGAATAGATTACTGAACCCTACTCTGCTGTCAGTTTTCAGTCACTCTTCAGTATCTTAAAGTGATTTGTAGGAGCGTGCGCTTCTTAAAAATATATATACATATAAATTTAAAATGTCTGTATTCTGGAGGTATCATGGTATCTCACAGAAAAGGTGTCGACTAATTACGCAAAAAAAAAGTGGTATTTGCAATGCACGTAACAACGAAAAATCTTTTCGGTGTCTCTCTACTATTGTTGAGCAGCCCAAGTCCAGGAATACTCTAAAGTTTGGGATACTTGGTGTCGGCATTGGTATTACCTTAGGAACAGGTTATGCTATTTCAAAGATAAACGAAACTAGAAAAAATCTTTTTCTCGAGGGTACTGAAGTTGATGTCAAATTGCTCAATTTCAAACCTAATGTTGAATCATCAAGAAAAGTATGCGCTCAATTATGTTATGATTCTTTGATATTTTTTTTCTTTGTCCTTTTTCTAATTAAGTACAAGTCTTGTTTTTTTAATAGTTATCATTTAAAGTTTGAATTAAAGATTCATAACGAAATGCATATTATAAGAAAAATTATAATAAATTTTACTGATAATATTAAATTGATAGTATTAACTGATAATATTAGCTAAAATTTTAATCGGAATTTATGTTGATGTGTAGTAAATTACTCTAAAAATACTTAAATTTTCATACATTTTATATTATTCACAAATAAATATTGATTGCATGAACAACAAAATTGCAAATTAAATTTTTAGGATGAATTTAACTATTAAAAAATCAATTTTCTTTAATGAACTTCACTGCTTATTTAAAAAATTTTCATTTTCAAAAAGAAAAAAAATGATATATCTTAAAATTTTAGGTAGTCTCTCCAATGGATACAACAGGATTAAAATTGACATTATTTCAATATCAGACATGTCCTTTTTGTTGCAAAGTAATATTAATGACCATATTTGAACTCTAATTAAATTTGAAATCTCAAGTTAATTAAAACTATTTTTTAAAGGTCAGAACACTCTTAGATTTTTATGGAATTTCATATGATATTGTTGAAGTAGATCCAGTCCTTAGAAAAGAAATTAGTTGGTCCAGATATAGGAAAGTACCAATTTTGCTGGCAGAAGTCGATAACAAATACCAACCACTCTACGATAGTTCTATGATAATGTCTATTATTGCATCTTATTTACATGACAAATCAATCAGCTTAACAGAGCTTTCTAAATATTATCCTATCTTATCAATACATGATGAGAGTGGTAAATTTAAACATGAAGTTGTAAATAAATACTTTCTGATGTATCAAAATAATATTCCTGAAGATAGAAAATTGCATGACATAGTGTAAGTATAAGTTGAATTAAAATACATAAATTGCAAGAGAAAAATTTAAAGCAAAACAAATTTTAGTGAAGAAAGAAAATGGAGAAAATGGGCAGATGATGTGTTTGTGCATATGTTATCCCCTAATGTTTACAGAACTCTTGGAGAAGCTTATCAAACATTTAATTGGTTTTCTGAGGTAATTTCCAATTGGTATTCTAAGTCATGATTTAGTAATTAATAATTTTTGAATTTATAATTTAATCATTCTTAAAAATATAAAATCTTATAATTGACTTTATGCACTGATTACATAGGTTGGACATTGGAATGAATATTTTCCTGCATGGGAGAGAGCTATAATGATTAATGTTGGTGCAATTGCAATGTGGTTGATTTCAAAACAACTAAAAAAAAGGCATCATTTAAAGGATAATGTGAGGCAATCTTTTTATGATGAAATCAATGTTTGGATGAGAGAAGTTAAATCTAGTGGAGGTCCATTTAAAGGAGGATCCAACCCAGATTTATCTGATTTAGCTGTATACGGAGTATTAAAATCAATTGAAGGTTGTGAAGCTTTTAAAGATGCTTTGGAACATACCAATTTTGGTCAATGGTTCTATGCAGTCAAAGAAAAAGTTGATTCACATGCTGGCAGTGTTTATTTAAGTAATTAATTTGTGTATATTGATAATATGTTAATAAAAATAGTCAATTTTTGAAAGTATTTACTGAATAAGTAACACTCTATTTCATACAATATTTAAGAATAAGCATCCAAACACATTTTCTGTTCAAAATTCATGATAAAGCCTCTGCTCTGATTATTACTGGATTTAATGGCTGTAGAATCCGTAACAACATAGAGAACAAATGGTGACAGATTTGCTAAAAAAAAAAGATTATAAGTAAATATCATTATGCTTAATAACATAGGTTTATATCTTACTAATTCTAGGTACAAAATTCTCTCCGCAAAATCGATCTGTTGGTATAGAGAGCACATGATTAGGGTTTGTATCAATCTCTTTTGAGTTTGGAATCATTATAAAATTATTTCTACATGAAGAAACTGTATCATTTGTTGATGAGTCTATAAAAATTACCAAAATTTTAAAGATAAAGGAACAAAATAAGTTTTAGAACTCATTAAAAGATATTTACAGCTAGCTATTCCAAAGTCTGTGGCAGACCATTTTAGAATGCAATAACCAGATAGTTTTGTAATGCAAATTCCATAATTGAGTTGAGCTATTTCTCGAGTTCCATTTAAATTCAAACTATTGAAAGAACCGTAATTGAAACTAATTACACTACCGGATACAGAAGTATGATGCTGAAGACAGCCTCTTGGTGCTAAAAAATATGTTTAACTATAAAAGATAGATTGAAAAATTATTTTTGATTTAATTTTTTCTTACCATGAAGTTCTGAAAAACAAAAAATTTGTTGTATTTTTATATTCCAGCGTCTTTTGATTGTGTAGTTCAACTTAGTGTCAATAGATATGGTAATTGGTGTTGAACCATCAAAATCAATATAAACTAAAACAATTAAACCTGAAACATTTGATAAGATGGATAATTTTAAAAAACTTTTAGGTAAATACCATGTTGATCTGTATTTTCTCCACAAAGTTGAGGCACATGAGAAGATCCACCAGTAATTAAAAACGAATCGACATTACATATTCCATCAAATGATGGTTGAGCAAGTGTGAAATCAATGAAATCTAAGCGTAACTATTATTTGCATTTTAAATTAAAAACTCGAATTATTTTATTAAAATTTATATATTATATTAATATTATTAATTTACCTGACATATGTCGGTGTTGTACTTCTGAACCTGAATAAAACACCTACTTCCCCCTACATAAGCTTTTGGATAAGAAGGACTCGTGAAATAAGTAGTATTTGCTATAGTTGAAGTTCCACAAGTTTTCTCAACTGTCAAAATACAATTTTTATAATAAACAAACTTGACCTTAAATATCTTATGATTTTATTAAAAATTTAACTTTCTCAAAAATGTTCAACTTACATACACAACAAGTTCCGAATCCATTAGCGCAACTACCATAATCCGCACCTCCGTAGTTAGTACACTCTTTTTTTGAGTAACAAGTACCGTTGTAGTTTTTACTTGTGCAAGCAGAATTTGAAAATCGAATTACGTTGAAAAACGGAAAAACTACCCAAAAATAATTGACTAAATTTTTCAACTTTCTTAAAATTTATTCATAAAATTATAATTACATTTTTATAGTATTATATGGAATTGATTAATGCTGCTGATCCTTCTACTATACCATTTCATATGGCCCCTTAATATCGATTTTTATGTAGATTTTTGATAGGATTATTTTTACCGTACTCAATTTCCCATATGTTATTTATATTTTTCTTAAATAAATCCACACATCACGGAATTATAAAAGAATTTATAGATAAGCTAAAGTTCTTGAGTTTTGCACTAATTTTTCGATCATCAATGGTCAACATAACGAGCGTCGAATGAAAATTGTATAGTCCTATATGGAGTAGCTCAATGCTCCATAATTCAATCAGGAGTTTAATGTCCAAAAAATGAATATTCAACTGTACCCCCGACAGAATAAAAATTGTTCAAGAAATAGTAAAAGTAGAAGTTAAAACTATCATATTAAATTGTAAAATTTAATAAAAAGTAAAAAAATGTAAAATTACTAACAATTTCGGACAGCCAATGCATTATAAAATGCAGCATGAAAATTTTTTTACACTTTTTTACATTTTCTTCAATATGTTATCCGCGCGTGATCACATTGACCGCAGCAAGTGATTTTCGTGAAAAAAATGTATTGATTTTTATCAATAAATTAAGACTAATTATAGAGGATATGTATATAAACCAAATTCAGTCATTTCAGTACTCCTCAGTACATCCATGATGATATTTCTGCTGCATTAGAGTGAGTTCACTTTTTTCACGAAAATCACTTGCTGCGGTCAATGCGATCACGTGCGGGCTTGACCGGAATATCAAACTCATAAGTAAAAATTGTAACGTTTAAGATTATTATTACAGAATTTTATGCCTTTTCACACTTTTTTACTTTCTCCATGTAACTTTAATGAGCTTGAATTCATAGGGGGTTTCATATCTTTAACGATCGGTAAACAAACGTAATAAACTGTAATAAAAAATGAAAAAGTGTAGAAAAACTTATCACGTGTCTGAAATCGTTAGTAATCTTACATTTTTTTACACCTTTTTACTTTTTATTGCAGTTCAAAACATTATTATGCACTTTATTTTAAAAAAAATTTTCTCTGGGGACCCAAGTATTTAAAAGGAGCAAGTGACCCAACAATTCGATTACTATTTGCTAAAAGTTTTTTATGCTCATTGATGTCCGAAAGTTGATTACTTAGTTGAAACGTCTCAAATAGTTTTCTTTGTGAAACAAGACTAATAACTAATTGGAAAAAAAACATCCATTTTCAGAAATTGGAAAAAAAGGCTTACGTTAATTATCATGTCTTTGTAAATATTGAACAATTTTCATTTAGAAAAATATACATAAAGAGATGAGAAACCGATATAACAAAGTACTTATAAATCCTAAAAATAAAAAGTTATTTTTTTAATTTTTTTTTTAGTTCAGTTTATTGATTCGGTAAAACATATACAAAATGTATCGCAAAAATAAAATAAAAGATTTAACTTACATCGCGTTTGTCTTTGTTCGACGATAGCTGTAGTTATTTTTTGACTGTATTTAAAGGTGAACAGTATTATAAGTATGAAAAATAAATGCAGATAATATAAATCCATTTTTCGAGAACTCTCGCTTTGAACGTTCTATCTGGAAAGCAACAAGTAATAATACTATATACGTATAGAAATAAAGAGAGAGGAGATCGCGCTGCGCACTGAACGTGGTTGCGAACGTCAGACGTTCGCTACATACGTATAAATTCACGTGTACTTTATAGTTGTTTAAAAATCGAGTTCTACATCATCAACGACCACTGAAATCATATTCTAATCATGTGCATATGTCATATATAGACATAACTGTACGCAAGTTTGCCCTTATGGCTGTGTGAGAATGAAGAAAATCAACATCAAACTTTCGTATCTTTTCCTCGGTGATGTATTTTAACCAATATTTGAATTTTCGTGTGAGTGAATTTTTGAAAAAACTGTCTTTTCTTGAACTTCACAAATTGTTACCAATAACGTTAGTAGGTATTCTACAAAATGGGCAATGATTATAACGGAGCAAGGCCAGTTCGTAATCATCCGTTTGGAACAGCTAAATTCAAATGAATTATAAAAAATTTTTTTTAAATTATCTGCGTAAGATTAAAAAAGCTCATAAAATTAATAATTAATCTTACCTTTAAACATGATCTACAGAAAGTTACTTGTAAATCTGGTAAAAGATTACGGTAGTATCGTGTAACAAAAGGTTTGGGCCATTTGACAATGAGTACCGATGACGGATCCATGTTTTTAAGAACGTCACGATCTACCATCACGGTTGATCCACTCCTTCCATCCTGAAGTTTATTAATTATCTTAGGATAAGGATATTGATATTCAAAAATGGATTTTTAAATCTCATTCAAACGAACCTCGTATTGAACTAATCTAGCCATAAACAAGTCTGTTTGACTTGCATTTAGAATGAATTGATTATTTGAGTCAATAGAGACGTCATTTTGAATAGGTTCTTCGATCAATCGCTTAGCTTCTTCGTCTGTGATTCCGGGCTCTAACTCAAATTCGACAAGCGGCAAATTTTCTACATAAAGTACCATGCAGCAAAGCAGTTTTTAATGATAAACATTCTTATAATAATTCTTAAATTTGAAAAACATTGCTTACCAAACATCACAAAGGAGTACTGGAACTTGAGGCCGCACTGCACACAAATGCTATCGGAAGTGTTATTAGCAGGCAGGAGAGTACTATACGTCGAGCAGCGATTGCATAAAGGCAAAAGATCTTCTGGATCCCTGTAAGGAAAGGACTTGATCGCAATCATTCCCGTTTCGATTTGTGTTAATAGGTTCTTAGGGATTTTCAGAATTCTCAATCTGTCCAACAATTGTGTAGCCAGCTTATTTGCACCAAGTAAACGCGCTTGTTTCATCATAGCATAAGTAATTTTAAGCTTCGACACTCCTTCAAGAGTTAAATTGTTAGTCCTAGTTAACAAAAATCTTGAAATATTGAATAATGCTTCAGGCATTAAGGCGGTAAAGGGTTCTTCCTGAAAATAATTATTATATGATTGTAAAAATTGGACAATTTAAGTATTAAACTTAAAATCATCGGATGACAATTCAAGATTTTGCCTCGGTTTTAAATAGGGTGACTGTACCAATATCTTTCTTATAAAATTATGACAAATCGTTACATTTTTTATTTTGACAATAAAAACATGAAAATTACTCGCAAAACTTTCTAAATTCATAATGAGATTTAGAAGAAGAAAAAATTTAAAACGTCGTAAATTTAAATTGAAAAGTGGCCAGTAATACTTCCGTTAATAATTGATTAATTCAATAACAAAAAAATCGTGTCTAATGATTTTTCAAAATCTAAATTTTAGTCCTAATGAATTTTTTCATGAGAAAATTGAATTGTGTGAAAATGGGCACTTATTGAATAATATATTATATCATTTCAATCATTTTAAAACTTATCCAACTGTTTCTATCGTTTGAATAAAATTGACAGAGTATTGGGAAAGTCATCCTATCATCTTTTGAATAGCTTACTAAATATTTGTACACTTCATAATATGCGTAATATATGTCAGCTTTGTCATAGTATGACATGAAAATCAATTTTTTTTCTTCTGCGCTGCTCTTTAAATCAAGTGAAATTTGAGATAGCAACCAATAGAAGTATGAGGCGTCTCGAAACCGTTTTTCCGTCACAGCATTTTTTGTTAGAGTTGTTAACACTCTTATTGATTCTTCAGGCTGACCAGCCTTTTGAAAAGCTAAAAAAATACAGAACTTGTTCTAAGCTAGTTATGAGGTAAGAATTTATGTAATATCAAATGTGATACGTCTTATTTATCAAAAATACTACTTGTTAATTTATTTACAAAAATTCACGAGCGTATACGGATAATGTGTACACTCGACGGTAAAGCGTGCCTAAATAATTAACAATTTTTAACAAACTCTCTGAGTATTTTGTTAAATATTTTTCTTGCATGTTGCGGAGTATCCTTCCTTTTTTTTACTGTAGACATTCACGTTCTGTTACAAAAAAATTACTGTTCTAATTTCTTTTTTGTTCCGAAAAAAAATGAAAAAATGTTCCGAGATTGATCGCAGAGATTGAACTTTTTTTCAATCTTTAGAATAAATTGTTATCGAATAATCCTTCTTTAAATTAATTTTAAAAACTCAATGTAAATGATTAATTATTTGAAAATATGGATTGGTTTGTAAGCGAATGCCTTGAATGCACCTACCAAGTACCATGGCTAATCATTCCCGTCTTGACACTGTGTTACGGGTTCTGTTCCTATTTTTGCTCAACTTTTAAATCAATTTTTTATATAATATCAAAACTTCATACCAGTATGTAATAAACACGATTAACGAAATATTGATAAACATATTCAGTTCGCACAGCCAATTGTTTTTTTTTCTTTCTTTGTCCAATTAAATTGTTGATATTATTTATTGACGGATATGTGCAAAAATAGGGAAACTCACATAAATATTTGTTCAAACATTTTAAATCGGGTACCTTTCTGGGCATCGGAAAACCGACCAGTTTCTGCGAGCCATCTGGCATAAGGACCATATACTCTGGATGTGAGTTTAGGGTTTCTATCAACTAGCTCAAATGCCTCGTGCCAAGCTTGGGCATCGACTAGGACATCAGCAACATCTGGATCATCGCCTAAGCGGCTGAAAATCTCAGCTGCACCATGAGTAGCCCCCAATTGCCTAAGTCTTTTAGCAATCATTGACAAATGGTCATGTTCGGCTTTATCCAATTGCCGCCCAACTTTAATAAGCATATCTACCCAACCATATTCAGAAATTATTTTGATAGCACGGTTTGTATCTCCAGCGGAGAGAAACATTTCCGCAGCAGCTCGTGGTTCACCTAAACTTTTAGCCCATTCTGCTCTTCGCCTCATTAAAACAGTTTTATCATGATTATTCCCAAAAGCTATGAATTCTTGCGCTATATCGAACATCCGGAGGTCGGAATACATTTCCACGGCTTGTTGCTGCAATCCAGCTTTTTGGTAGAGTTTTGCTGCTTCGCGAAATTTTCCCATAGTTGCTGCAGCTGTTGCCATGCACGCTTCTTTTCCCCACTCGCCAGATTTGAGTTTTTCTTCAATTTCTAAAACGATCTCAACAAGTATCAATTTTTTTGTCCTTGCAAAAGCTTGATATGCTATTTTAAATTCTAAATTATCAAGAGCAGCTGAACCAAGTGCCAGCCAGTCTGAATCTGCTACACCAAGACACGCTATTTTGTAAGCTTTTTCATACATTTTTGAATCCAAGTATTGATACATTGATGATGATAAAGGCATCTGAATATGGCACGAAAAATGTATGAAATTAAACGTTATTATCCCACAGAAAAAGCAAAAACAATTAAAAAATGGTTCACATATTTTTACCTCCAGTTTTATTATTGATGATCCATTTAAACAATATAATCTGGATCCATGTAAACCCACAACAATACCAGAAAACTTTTGTTTATATTCGCTAAAATTTGATACTTTTATAGCTAAATAATCTTGTCCAGAGAAGCACATCATATCCTCAAAGCCACTATTGAAAGATACACTTGTAACATCATGAAATTCTTGTAATTTTTTATCCAAGTTAATATCATAAACAAAAAGAGTTCCCTTATCACTAACTACAGCTAATTTTTCTTTTAAAGAACTAACATCTAGACACCTAACAGCACTTTCAACTGTTATTAAAAGTACTGGAAATGGATTATCTAAATATATTTCCATAACTTGACCATTTTTAAGACCAATTAATAATCGTTCATGTCCTGCTGAACCCCCTAAAACTTTTACATAACAAATTGGAGCATCGAGAATCCATTCTCTTTCTACGGCACCTGTAAATGATAGACTTTGGAGTCTTTTATCCAAGTAAAGAATTAAATTGTTCGCTGTAACTCCAAGAAGATGGCAATCTAATGATTGAGGCAATTTTTCTTTTACTCTATATTGCATGTCATCAATACTTCCTGATGGTTCATAAATAATTACTTGTTCAGATAACTGTACTGCTAATCTATCTTGATATACAGCAAGTTGGTGTATCTGTAACATAAACATATTCAATATAACAAGCAGTTTAATTTATAAAAAATTTAATTTATCATAATATTACATATAAAACTCACCAATTCCTTACATTTAATTCTAACTTTTTGATTAGTAATTAAGTGTTCAATTATAACGTCAGTCATATTTTCTCTGTAAGCATATCTATCTTTGTATAATCCATGAATTACATTCCAAGTTAACTCTACATTAGTTATTGTTCCATCTTGACAGCCAATGGCCTTACCATAGTATAAATTATTTTAATATGATTATAATCAATTTATAATTATTATTCACTTGTAAATTTATATCATTTTCTTTTAGTGCAATAAAATAATTCACTTACCACGTAGGATGATTCCGAATTAATTGCACAACTCCATGTCCAAAAAGCAAATGCATTACCTATTGTAGACAGTTGAACACCATCATAAGATAATAAAACACAATGTTTATTGCTTCCAGTTACAACAATATACTGTCCATTTGGAAAGTAGGAAATTTTAAGTGGAATAAAGTTTAAATTTCTTTCTTTCCCTATCAATTTACCAGATAAAGTATAAAATGATAATATTCCACTCCATTCACCAATACAAATAATATCTGATAAGTCATCCCTTTTGTTATGACAAAATTTTAAAGTTTTCCTATCAATATAATAATTTTTGTTTTAAATTGTATATTTCATACAATTCATACCTTCTTGGGTTCCAGGCTAAGCTCCATATTGGTGAGTCTCCTGAACGATCTATTCTCATTTTTTCCTCTCCATTCTGAAAAAAAATTATTTCCAAATGTAGTTCTTGACAAAATGAGTTTAAAAATATTTATACTGCATTTACTTTATTTCTGATTGACACAAAACCAGCAGACATGCCTAAAGCAAAATATTGACCATCTTTGGTCCACGCACAGCAATTGACCCTTCCACCAGATTTATATTTTTGTACAGCTTTTTGCTCCGCTGACCATAGTGCAATATCAGTTAAAGAACAACTAAGTAGTTGGTGTGATACTGGGTTAAACTGCATAGATTGTACTGATTCATTGTGACTGCAAAAATATTATTATCTCCTTGATAATTACATTTCAATTTATAATTTTATTATAACTTACGAATATTTTAAAATTCCTTCTAATTTAGACGTCCAAATGATAACAGTCTTATCTGCCCCTCCAGATGCAAATTTCTTACCATCTTTTGCATAACAGACACAATAAACAATATCTTTGTGACCTAAAAATTCAATAATTAATGCATGGACAACATATTGCAATCCGTCAATTTTACCTTTCAATAGTTGAATGAGTGCTCCATCGTTACTTTCATACACTAAAACATGCTGCCCTGCAGCAACTATCAATTGTGATCCACTTGGATTGAAACACAAATCATATATGCTGAAAATAAGAAATAGTGATATTATTGATGAAACTTACAAAAATATACAAATATACAAATTAGAATAATACAATTGACGTTTACCATTGTTCTGCCTTATCACGTACTTTGTCTGACCAAATTATTTGGGTCTTCATGTTTTTTAATTAAATTTTAATACATTTTTCCTTGAATTTTAATTAAATGAAATAGTCACATAAAATTCTCTAAAAAAATATCCGCAGTACTTATATTAAAATTACAATACATATAATGAAAACTTGACACTTGTATTTTGCCTAGGCAACGCTTAACAAATATTGAATTGAAAACAGTCTGGTGATGCGCCCTCTTCAGTTTCCTGGCGCTATGACAATAGCTTAATACCGGTAACTACTAACTGTTGAATATTACAATTAGCCACACACCAGGCGCATAAGGCTCAATAAGCAGTAAACTTGCACTTATAAGTAATTAATAATGTTCTCTGACCGGGATATAAAATAGTTAAAATTACTAACTATTAGAGATCACGAAGCTATTTTTTATAGATTCTTATTATTTTTAATGAATGAAGCGCACTTTGCGCGCGCAACTGCAGGCTGCTATAGCCGCGAAAGTTACGAACTCGCCTCATTAATCTCACTCTGTAACTTTTAACAAAAAAAAAAAAAACGATTAATCTCATTCTGTAACTAAAAACTGAACAGGTCAGTAGAACTCGGGTAAATTAATAAAAATTTTCAAAAGTGATAAATTTAGTGAAACCTTTTTAATATAAAACGATATTGTACTGACAACGAAATATTGAATGACATTACAGTACAGTGTACACCTATGCTATATCTAACGCTGAAAGTTCAGAAGATGTAGACCAAGTCATTGATGAACCATTACCTCGAGACGCACTTTTTATATGCACAAGATGATGTTGGTGACAAAATGCTACAATATTAAAATCAATTTTTTTCATTATCTATACTTTAATTTAAAAAAAAAAAGTTCACAAATGGGTCTAGATCCGACTAATATTTCAAAAAGTAAAGATTGAAATGACATAGTATCAATAATGATACCATCAAAATAATAACTTTTATTTTGAAATTTTTCAATGTATGTAATGTATGTAAGACCTTTTTATTTCGAAAACTGGTTGATTCAAAGGCTTGGTCTTGTCCTAAGAATTTCAAATTGATTGAATAGATTATACTGTATTTTCTGTCTTTAAATTTGCAATCGTATCGAGAATCATATGAACTTATCGAACGATTTCTAATTGAAACAGCTATATAAGATTAACTAGCCAACCAGTGAAGCCTTTATATACCTCATGCAATCACAGAGAAACTTTCTCAATGGCAATGAAAATTCATAAAAAATTTTTCTCACAATTTCTGCAATTAGATCGAAAAGGTAAATATTTTTTCTTCTGCAATGCCACTTGAAACGTATTTTTTATAATCGAAGAAGATTTGATATTTAATTTAATACAAGTAAAAAGCTGGATCTATGCCATGACTGGATTGCAACCCATGCTCAGCATTCGTTGCTCTATCAGAAAAAATATCGCAATTTAAACGCAGACTCAAAAACGTACCTTAAGCCTTATGTTAATAATATACGATTAAAATATCTTCATCTGAGTACCGTTTCTGGGCTGAGACGACATTTAATCTTTTAACTAATTTCAATCATATAATATATCATCTACATTTACCAAATTCTACATATAAACTGTTCTAGTGTCTTTTTTATCATTTTCATGACATTTGAGCTCCATAAGCCAGCCCGACCGGCAAGTACTCGTAGATAAATTAAACGTTAATAACTTCAGAAAACGAAACGCTATATTATAAAGCGCAATTTTCATTAACACTTTTATCATTTATATATAATTTATAAAAAGAAAACGGATCCCACTTTATGTATCAGAGAAGCCTTCAAGTGAACTTCAACCGAAAAATTTTTCATATCCTTGCCAAATATTTCATCAGAATTGTAAAATTTAGAATCATCATTTAAAGCGAACAAACTTGAAAGTAAACCTTAATTGCCAGAAAAGGTGAAAGAATTAAGAAAAATTTTACGCGCAAAGTTTTCTTACACTTTGCGCGGATTTCTCAAGTGTGAGAAAAACTCACATACACAGTTGAATCTCAGTTAAAAAAAGAAAAATTATTCAAAATTAGGGTATCCATTTATTTTTTAGGAATTTGAGGTATTTTTAAACAACCACTGAACTGAAACTTTTTGATGATCATGATGGGCAATGAAACATTGTTTTATGCAACTTTACGCTTCTAGTAAAAGTAACTAGGCGCTTGCGCATCTTTCAATATATCCACACCCGTGTTGTATTCGCAAGTCGCCTATAGATGATACTTGATAGTGTTAGCATACTGCCGTACTCTACGAATCTTCAATACGTATTGCAGAATGTGTTGAGCTTGAGATTTGGAAACGGCCGGTAATGTGTACGCGGCCGCATCATATGCGTTGCTCTATACGCGAGATTTAAGCTTTTAATTTATTTTTATGAATGCAACATGGCCCATCAACTCTTGTTTTCGGCCAGCAGGCTTGAAAAGTTCTTACTTAGTCGACTGGATCATCTTCAAGTAAGTTTCTTATTTATTTTAAAATTAAGTCTTCTTATAACCTGTAATTTCATCATGTCGTGAAATTATTTTCTTTATGATGATATAATCGTACAATAATTGAAACTGTTACCTATTTTGATATAATTCGTGACATTCTCTGAAATTAAATCATTCTATTGCTTAATGTCACATTCTCAATAAACTACAATTTTTCTCAGAATATTAATGAAATTAATAAATTGTTACGAAGTTCGCTATTTTTCAGACTAAGAGAAAATTGTCAACATTAAAAAGCGTTTATAAGTTATCAGCAATCGAACAAGTACAACAGAATTGGAAACTATTCTGTCAAAAACCACCCAAAGGCTTTGAAAAATATTACAAACAAGGACAGAAACCAAAAGAGAATGAAGTGCCATCTAAAGAATCTAAATCTGCAGAGAGTGGTCAAAGTGGAGGAAGTTCTAAGAGTGCAGAGACAAATCAAAAATCTGATGGTCCTAGAAAAGATTTTAACTATGGAAATTTCTACCCTGGCAAAAAACTTGCTGGAGGTAGTGGAGATGGGCCTTTCAAAAATCCCATGGATAAGTGGTTAACTTTTGGTGCTTTAGGAACTATTAGCACTCTTGTTTTATACATGTTAATGGATAGTGAAAAAGAAATTACATGGAGAGAATTCGTTTATGGGTATGAAATCCTTTTCTATTCTCTAAATATTTTTTTATACGTCAGCATAAATTAAAATTTTTTTTTAGATATTTAAATAAAGGAACTGTAGAAAAATTAGAAGTTGTCAATAAGAAATGGGTACGGGTTCATCTATTACCTGGTGCCAGTACTGAGGTATTTCAAGCATTCCTAAACTTAAAAAAAAATAGTTCAATCAAAAAATTACTAATATATTATTTAATCAGGGAAATTTATGGTTTAACATTGGAAGTTCAGATACATTTGAAAGAAATTTGGAAAATGCTCAACTTGAACTTAATATTGAACCTCAAAATCATTTACCAGTTGTTTATAAAAATGAAGTTGAGGCTGGTCATTTGGTATCTTATTTGCCTACTATACTCACTATTGGCATGTATATTTTTTAAATCATTTTATTTAATACATTATTTTTAAATTACATACTTACATAAATTTACAGGACTTATTTTATATTTTACACGTCAAACTGCAAGTATGTTTGGAGGTAAAGGTGGTAGAGGTAGAGGTCTTTTTGGAAATGTTACAGCTTCTACTGCCAAATTAATTAATCCTACAGAAATTGGAGTTCGCTTCAAGTATGTTTATTATTTTAACTACTTTTTTGAGTAAGAAACTATTTTATATTATCTTTACTTATCTTTAGAGATGTTGCTGGATGCGAAGAAGCTAAAATTGAAATCATGGAATTCGTAAATTTTCTTAAAAATCCACAGCAATATATCAATCTTGGAGCTAAAATACCAAAAGGAGCAATATTGACTGGTAAAAAAATTTAAGAGGCTCAGAACTATTTATGAAGGTAGAATTGTAAAAATATTTTTAATAAATTATTTTTAGGTCCCCCTGGAACAGGTAAAACTTTGTTAGCGAAAGCTACAGCAGGTGAAGCAGATGTACCTTTTCTGACTGTGTCTGGGTCAGAATTTTTGGAAATGTTTGTTGGTGTTGGACCATCTCGAGTTAGAGATATGTTTGCGCAGGCTAGGAAAAATGCACCTTGCATTTTGTTCATTGATGAGATTGATGCTGTTGGCCGAAAGAGAGGTGGCAAGAGTTTTGGTTCACATTCGGAACAAGAAAACACTTTGAATCAACTTTTAGTAGAGATGGATGGTATTCACTTTTTTTTGTAATTTCTGCACTTGAAAATTTCATTTGGATATAATTAATATAAAAAATTTGATGTTTTTAAGGTTTCAACACTACAACCAATGTAGTTGTACTAGCTGCTACTAATAGAATTGATATTTTAGACAAAGCTCTCCTCCGACCAGGGAGATTTGACAGACAAATCTTTGTACCAGCCCCAGATATCAAGGGTAGAGCATCTATTTTTAAGGTTCATTTGCAACCTCTAAAAACGATCTTAGATAAAATAGAATTAGCTAGAAAAATGGCTGCCTTAACACCAGGCTTTACTGGTAAATTCATTGCATAAATAAAATTTCTTTGTTGATTAATATTTCAAACAATATTGTTAATAAATACATTATTAATTATTATACATAGGGGCTGATATTGCAAACGTATGCAATGAAGCAGCTTTAATAGCAGCTCGAGATAAGAAAGACAATATTGACTTAAAAAATTTCGAGCAAGCTATTGAAAGAGTTGTTGCCGGGATGGAAAAAAAAACGAATGTGCTTCAACCAGAAGAAAAAAAGACAGTAGCTTATCATGAAGCGGGTCATGCAGTTGCAGGTTGGTTTTTGCAACATGCAGATCCTCTGTTAAAAGTATGTTAATTTCTTGTGTAACATTATTATTATCACTATCATTATTATTAATATTATTATTATTAGTATTATTCTATTATACTATTATACTATTATTATTCTATTATTATTATAATTAATATTATATATTATCTTGTATCATTTTTTAAGGTATCTATCATTCCTCGTGGAAAAGGTTTAGGATATGCCCAGTACTTACCACGTGAACAGTATCTTTATACAAAAGAACAATTATTTGATCGAATGTGTATGACACTTGGTGGAAGAGTTTCTGAAGAAATATTTTTTGAAAGGATAACAACTGGTGCACAAGATGACTTACAAAAGGTACATATTTATAATTATTACCTAACTTTTTTAAACACACTATTTATGCCAAAATATAATAAATGTCATTAGGTGACTCAAAGTGCCTATGCACAAGTTGTTCATTATGGTATGAATGACAAAGTTGGCAATGTTAGTTTTGAGATGCCACAACCTGGTGACATGGTTCTTGATAAACCATATTCCGAAAGTACTGCTCAGCTTATTGATCAAGAAGTCAGAAAAATGATTGAACAAGCCCATAAACATACAACAGAACTTCTAACTAAACACAAAGAAGATGTAAATAAAGTAAGAATTGCTATGATAAATCATAGTACATTTTTTGTAATTTTTATTAATAATTTTCGTCAAATTATGCAGGTTGCTGAACGATTACTAAAACAAGAAATTTTGAGTCGTGATGATATGATCGAGCTCCTCGGAGCTAGACCATTCCCCGAAAAATCAACATATGAAGAGTTTGTTGAAGGGACAGGTTCCTTTGAAGAAGATACTAGCTTGCCTGAGGGTTTAAAAAATTGGAATGAGTCTAAAGAATCAACGACGAAAACAGATAGTAATTCAGTACCACCACCTAAAAATGAACAGCGTCTGTAATTAAGTTTTTGTTTTTTCTGCACTAATTCTATTTGTATTAGCGATTGTAATATAAATTTGAAAAATATAATTTATAATATAAGGTAGAAAAAATTTGCTTGTCAAGTTATATTATTAAAATAGTGAGGACAGATCATATACTTACACTGTTATTTTGAAATGTACAATAACAACGCTGTTGATTACAAGTTTTTTTTATTTAGAAAATCTTTCATAATTGATTAAATAATGCAAGAAAAAGAATGCAAGTCAACCATGAAAGATTGAGTTTTAAAAAATGTATCTTTCATGAACTATAAGGTATGAAGACATTATTTGCAAAAAGTTTCAAAATTGCAAAATTTTAATTAAAAATTGGTCTTTTGACAAATTTGTCTAAAATTATAATGTTTTAAAGCACACCAAATAAATGCACATTATTCATAAAAATTTAATAAGTCGTTTTATTGAATATCTTTCAATTTTATAATATTTCTTGTAAACTTAAAAATTACATGAAGTTGAAGTTGTCATGAAACCAATCCTGTATTATTATTTTTAGAGCAGCAAAAATGAAATAAACAGTTGAATGTACATTAAAGGAACAAAACACTATTATAGCCATTTGTTGTCTTATATTGCTATAAAACAGATATATATATTAATAAATATAACTTATTTCATAGTGATTTTTGGTATATTGTGAGCCAGTTTCTAAAGTTTCGGATACAGACTTAGCATCTTCTACAAAACTATATATACTAAAATTACTTTTTACTCATTACAGATTTTCGATTTAAGCTTCATCTTCTAATTTAATCCTAAATTTCTAATCAATTATATTGTACAATCACTAAGTTATTGCTTTGTCGTACTTCTATCACACTTATTTCAACTCTATTATAGCTTTTGTTTTTTCTTACCCTTACAAAGTATGGTTATTGATTTTTTTTTATTTATATATAATTATAATAAGTTATTCATGAAATGCATGCCAATAAATAATATATGATTTACCCAAATTTCCAAACAGACGGTAATATTTGTAAGCTTAATCATATAATTTTTTACTTATATAGTATGTTACAGTAATTAAAGTTTTTGAATACATTTTTACATTTACTAATTCTTAATGAAAATCATTGTCAGCGTTACTCTGTATACATCATTTTTGCAAAATACTTTTATGCAAATACTTAAATATTTAACATATATATCAGACAGTTCCTTATTTTCTAAGATGTTTGAATCCTCGCTCCATATGCTACTTTCGTTTTTTTAAGTCCAATGGTAAAATTTTATGGTTTTAAATTTTAATCAAAAAACAACGTGTGAAACTTTTTGAAATTTTTCAAAGGATATTTAGACGCTGACTAGCGCTCGGTGAATTGACTATATGAAAAGGTCGTAGACACATATTGTTTTTACTTTTAAGTTTAAGCAACCCTAATACAGCTTAGGAGCGAGGTTCCATGCAACTTGGTAAATAAATGTCGTTCTAATATATAGAGTAATTAAACATATTTTCGTTACGACTAGTATAATCGTTGGCCTTCGAGAACAGATATTCTAATGTATCATTTCATTTAGGTTTATTATAAAATGACGATTGAATGAATGACAATGTTGCATTATATGAACTCCATTCTATTATTCATATGATAATTTTACCTTTAAAATTTTAACTGTAAAATTAGAGACAATATAATTTTCGTTACTAATCCATCAAGTGCAGTAAACCCTCATCAAATCAATAAAAAATAGAATACCTATTTGTTATTTCCTAAATGTCTCAAAATGATTAACATATATTTTTTTTTAATCTACGTATCGTTTATTCATCGCTCTTTTTATCAAGGAATAAGAGATCTACATTTACATTTGTCTTATTCGTTGAGAAACAGGGATTCTATTGGATAGCTTTTGATAAGGATATACTTCCAAATGTATATGTAATAAGGAAAATTATAATGCTATTTACAATTTTAATATTTCTTACATAGCGGAACCTTGAACATTCAACCTTTTTCCCGTAAAAAATGTTCATTTAACATTACTTGGTGTCAATGACTATTTGTATAACTTGCATTCGACATTTGATTCGAGAATGGAGAAACGCCGACTTATGTAACTATTTATTGACCATAATTACATATTGATCGTATAAAATAATGTATTGATTGACCATTATCATTATTAGCTACTGTTTTTTGGGTCGATATTAATTTAAACTTTATAATATGCAATGTATTACAAATTTAAATGACCCGTAAATTAATATCCGTAACTTTTCTACAAATATATTCATTAGTTGTAGTATTGATTATTTATTTTTATGATACAAAGTTTTTTTATAGAATTTATTAAGTCCACCCTCAATTAATAAATAATTTTTCGAAATATTTCTTGAAAAAAAAAAATTATCTACATACTTGCTGAAGCGTGTAAAAATGAGACTAACATCTCAAACTCGAATGTTATTAAATTTTACAAATTACTCTTTATCAATCAATTCATAGAGTAATCTTACCATACTTTTACAAAAATACTCATTTAAATCTATTTTACACATTGTACATAACACGTTCAAAATTGAATGGATAACCATACGAAACAACACGCAGTACATTGATTTTTTTAATTGCACTTTTGCGCAATTGCAGTTGGACCAATTGACATTATCTAATTCTAAATCTAATTCGAAGTACAAAAATAGCTCTGCATATGAATATTTTTGGATTGGTTCACCTTTCAAAAAATTCGATATTTGAAGATTATTAGTTTTTTTGCATAAATCAAATTAACGTTAATTTAGGATTGAAGTTAGATTTCCAGCATGATATGATAATATTAATGATCTGTCCTTTTTTACAACACTTAGATACAACTCATTTTATACCTTTTAAATAGAATTTTTAAACATTTTACGAATCGTTTGGGGATATTGACAACAAAAACTAATTAGAAATTTCATGTATTTTGTTACAATATTTGTACGATGCAATGAATAGGATAATTCGAGAAAAAATATTTACATTAATAAAATGAAAATTAAACGCAACATTGTACAATATTAAATCTTAAAGTAGCTAGAATACTGAATAAGACTAGAAATAGAATAATTATTATATTCTAATACAGTTTTGAAACATCATAACTAAAGTTATGTAACTGAATAAAAACCCCTATTTATTTTCATTTACGGTTTTATGAGTATTTTTTATTTGAATAAGAATTACATTCCTTTTTAATTTGTTCACAAATATTATTTGATAATTGGAAGCTAAAATATTCTAATTTTAATACTGATTTTGTCTATCTGACTTTCATCAAATGCTCATGAGTTGAGGTCACAAGAAAAAATCGCTTATTTGTGATAATCCCGTGTAAACCGAAAATAAAAGAGAAAACTTTTAATGAACTTTTATGCAATCATTAAACTGCGTTAAAGCTAACGTTTATTATAATCAAAGTAAAACCTATTAGTGTGCTAATATTGCTGTAGAATTGTTTATTATCTTTTTTTAATGCTTTTTAATATATTTTACGGAAAACTTTGAATCAAATCCATTCAGAAACTTTGATTTGAAAGCATTTGAAGAACAATTTTTTATCTAGAAGATTACAAAGCCAGAATCAAATTTTTAAATTTCTACTGAGTATTTGGCAATACAGCGACCTACATTCTGATGATAGAACTTTTTAAAGAAATATTCAGAAGAAATAGAAAATTTTATTTTTACTCTGGTTTTCTTCATTAAATGAAAATGAAAAAAATGAATGTGCAAAAAGTCTATTTTTAATCATACCCATATAAAAAACAACTTTATTATAATTTTAAAGATTGAAAAAAAATTTATAAGCTTTCATTGCTAAGTTTTGTTTTTTTTTTTGTTTAAACTATTGGTGTACCAAAAGTATTTAATAATTTATTTCAGAATACTTAAAAAAAAGTTTTTGTTAAAAAAAATTTTAGTTTAAAAAAAGGTTTTGTACTTTGAACAAAACTAGCGAGAGATTATTTTTCTATTGATTAAAAGTAGAAGTCTTATATTGAGAGGGAATAGAATGAATCCTTAAGGTACATTAAAAGTTCTGAATAACGACATTTTTCATATTTTTTTCTGTTTTAAAAATATAGATTACCTACATCAATGACTCCGTAGTTTTTCATCGTCTTATGATTATTCCGATTATACAAAAGTAAAAGAAACTTGTGCTTATACTAGATTAATAACATCTAGCTCATTTTTTTATGAACTTTTTTCATGGACAAAGCTATTTCTCCTAATGTTATCAAGTCACACAAATAAAAAGTATAATCTCTCACGAAAACACATCGAGTTGTGCATAATTTTCATTGTATATTTTGAATAAGAGTGAATACTTGGTGATATCATCTTACAATTTGAATAATAAAAGAACAAAAAAGAGATTTAGACTTTCAGGCATATTTACAGCAGTGATGATAAGCATTTTTAATATAATGCAATTTTCACACTAGGCTTAGAAACTATTAGAAGATGGGAAAAACTCGAATTAATACGATCTCTGATGCAAATATATATCAAAGCAGTAAGATAAATTATCACAGAATTGGTATTTTCGTCGCTCTTATTACAGCAATAAATGATATGTTGCCTGCCACCTTATTTTAGTAAATATCTTACCTCAGAAATAATTGCTTCCTATTTATTTTTCTTTTTACTTCCATTTTAATACTTCCGAAAATTTAAGAAACCTAACTTTAGCTAATATCATCATTGCAACCATTGTTGACTACATACATTTAGAGCTATTTTTATCATAATTGAGGGTGGCATTATATGGCACAATATCGTAAATCCCGGCTTCTCCAATGCTATTGAATCAAAAGCATTTTTATCCATTCACATTCACAAATATTTTGTATATTTTGTACAAAAAATGGTACAGCAAAATCAAACTGTCTCGTACAAAAAATCGTAAAGTATTGCATTACGTTAAGTTCATAATTTCTCAGGGTACATATATATTTATATATATAATAGCACTTCTTGAGAAAAAATGTAAAGTTAATTTTTATTAAAACCCTTTTTTATAAAAACTTTGAGAGATACTGCGTTTTTGCAGTATCAGTAATGATTTAAAATTTCATTTTCAATATTTTGAATTCGATGTTTTCAGAGTATTTTAAAACTTATTTTCACTTGGTTTCATTAACCGCTTAAAAATGTTCGTTTTCTCGAATAACTTAATCTGTATAATATAACTGGTCAATGCTTTGAAAAGAACTTGAAATTGTTCATACGCGCGTAGGTGACCTTTTCCTAGTAATACTGAATATATTTTAATTCTTAATGCTATTTTTGTTAAAGTGTAACGTATCTATATAACAAGTAGAATATTTATTTTTATTATTGCTTATATTATATATATTATTTCAAATGAATAAGTAAAAGTTAATTTTTGGAGGAAAAAAGTTGATGAATTTTCATTGGAGTTTTCTTCAACCTATTCAAGCATGTGTCCATGATTTTCAAAAAAGTACTGCCAATAACTAGTAAGTATTTCATCAGGTTTTTCATCATGAATACAAAAAATTTAAGTCGATTAAAAGAGTAATGGATCGCAGTCACTATTGGCATTGTCGTTGGGATCACGCAGACAGGCCGACTCGAGGTGCTTGTTGAGATAGGATTTGAGGGCGAAGCTTTTGTGACAGCGTCCGCACTCGTAATTTTTATCGGCCGAGTGGGTCTGCATGTGAGCGCGTAGATTAGACCGGTCGGCGAAGGCCTTGCCGCAGTGAGCACAACCGTAAGGCTTTTCACCGGTGTGAGAGCGCAAGTGGCCCTGCAGCAGCCACGGCCGCGAGAACATCTTGCCGCAGATGCCACAACTGTGAGATAATTTATGGGTCAGCACGTGCATCGCCAGTGCCGGCATGCTCACGTACGCCTTGCCGCAGTGGATGCACTTTTTCGCCGACTGCGAGTCGATGCTACGGTGAGTCTGTTTGTGCCGAGACAGATTCGACGAAGTTGCATACTGTTTCCCTGTATGCAGCATGATAATTTGTTATACATTAATCTCTGAGTCAACATTAAAACAAGTATGCATCTGACATCGTTTTCAACTTTTATTCAATTAAACGGTGCCAATAAGGTTATTAAATTCATGAGAGATAACAAAACCCATTATTCGAATCAAAAATCCAACATCCAATATTGCACGAGCGACTAATTTTAAGAACAGAACTAAGTAATTTGGCTAAGCTCAAAAGTTTTTCTTCCGAAAGAAATCTATCAGTAAATGATCAACCAGTTGTACTTTATCGTTGTACGTTGCAACATTAAGAAAATAGCGTTTAATATATTAGGGTCAAAATAATACTTTTTTACAAAACCATGCGCACGTATGTCACCGATCTTGACGAGCTTTTGGTATGTTATAGTACATGGTAAAAAGGTCCCAAAAAAAAATTTTTAGACCTCCTCCCCTCTCCTACCCCCCACTTCCGGTATAAATGTCCATTTTCGATCTATATTTTTTCTGAGGACATGAAGCAAGTAAAAAATCTGAAAAAATTCATAAAAATACTTTTCCACAATCCAAACAACCTTGAATTTTTTCAGATTTTTTGAGTGCTTCAGGCCTTCAGATAAAATCATTGAAAATTTCAAAAATCGAGATACGGCGGTATGAGCCGATGTAGTACTCGGAAATTTTTTCAGTTATTTTTCGCATTAAAAAACATAACCTCAATTTTTTTCAGATTTTTTCAGATTACCTAACGCACCTTTTGAAGCCAAAAACCGATTTTTTTGACGAAAATAATTTTTTTAGGACAGTACGGAGCCTCGAAAAATCTGAAAAAAATTTTTTCTTGTTTTTTTCATCAAAATACGTAATCTCAAATTTTTTCAGATTTTTTAATTGAAGGCGATAGCTTCTAGGGCCGAAAAATGCTATTTTTAACAAAAAATGGTTCCTAGAACCCGATGGTTCCGGTGAAAAAATTTGAAAATATTTTTTTTGAATTCCTTGTCAAATTTTAATAAATTTTGACCGTTTCAAAAGTTCGATTGAAGCTTCCTAGCTCATTTTAGAGCAGGACAAAGATTAGTGCAAAATATCTGAAGACGTTTCTGAAGACATTAAGGAATGATAAAACTCGTTTGATGCTCTAAAATGAGCTAGGAAGCTTCAATCGAACTTTTGAAACGGTCAAAATTTATTAAAATTTGACAAGGAATTCAAAAAAAATATTTTCAAATTTTTTCACCGGAACCATCGGGTTCTAGGAACCATTTTTTGTTAAAAATAGCATTTTTCGGCCCTAGAAGCTATCGCCTTCAATTAAAAAATCTGAAAAAATTTGAGATTACGTATTTTGATGAAAAAAACAAGAAAAAATTTTTTTCAGATTTTTCGAGGCTCCGTACTGTCCTAAAAAAATTATTTTCGTCAAAAAAATCGGTTTTTGGCTTCAAAAGGTGCGTTAGGTAATCTGAAAAAATCTGAAAAAAATTGAGGTTATGTTTTTTAATGCGAAAAATAACTGAAAAAATTTCCGAGTACTACATCGGCTCATACCGCCGTATCTCGATTTTTGAAATTTTCAATGATTTTATCTGAAGGCCTGAAGCACTCAAAAAATCTGAAAAAATTCAAGGTTGTTTGGATTGTGGAAAAGTATTTTTATGAATTTTTTCAGATTTTTTACTTGCTTCATGTCCTCAGAAAAAATATAGATCGAAAATGGACATTTATACCGGAAGTGGGGGGTAGGAGAGGGGAGGAGGTCTAAAAATTTTTTTTTGGGACCTTTTTACCATGTACTATAACATACCAAAAGCTCGTCAAGATCGGTGACATACGTGCGCACGGTTTTGTAAAAAAGTATTATTTTGACTCATTATTAAAATATTCGCTCTTAAGAGATCGAATAATCGAATAATCGAATAAGAATGACAAAAGGTGCTTCATTATGGCTTATTAATTAACAGTAGAAAAATACAATTGGAATCTTTTTTTTCTAACCGATTTGATCGTAAAATCTCGTTGATGATTTTAGTAGCATTTATGTAGCTTTGAATAATGAAATAATAATTTGAAATAAATTCAGAATTTAAACAAAAAATATTCCAACAAGTATATCGTACATTGTTTGTACAATAATAAGAAATGAAGCGCTGAGGAAAATACCTAGATTTTGCTTATAATTACAAATAGGATTTTCCTTGGCTCTTGGATATGACTTTAAGGTTCTATGCTATGCGAAACTATTTTTGTAAGGTTGAAAATGAAATCTTTATAATAAAAATCTCGTGATGCTTTGTCTCCCATAATACCTTCTTAAGGTTAAGTATAAAACTTTTTTCGAAAATTTTTCAATTTTAATTGTAGTTAGATCATTGATATTTGGAAAAATGGAGATAAAATTACTTACCACACTCGGAACAAACGTATTTCCCATGCCTTGAGATTTCAGGGACATCCACTTTAACAATATCATTCGGTTCAGTCTGACACTTGTTTTGCTTATCAACGTGTTGGGTGTCTGTATTATCTGGTGACCTAGTCGTCAATTGCTGCTTTCGACTTTTCGAACGACCATCGGAAACAAGAAGCGTATCGTAAGTATAGCTTGCAGACTTGAGCACCGTAGCTTGGCCCTCGGTAGCAATCGGAGAAGTGGCCGACTCCATAGTATCAGTTGTATCAGCAGTCTGTATTTCTTTGTTGTTTTGGTCTGCAGGTAGCTGCGACTCTGTGGTTCGCTGTTCAACGCCAAGCTCGTGCTGCCGCAAAGCGTTTGGATTACTGTTTTCTACGTCACTGCTGCATTCAGAAGTTGGCGGCGTTAGCGGTTCCAACGCCTCGGATCTCTGAGTTCTATGACGTTCTGAGACCAGTGTTACGTTTGACGAAGCTTTCGAGCACGCTGGAATCAAAATTTGTTGTTTTACAGGCGATGGCACCGTCGTAGCAGCTATCATGGTCGTCGTTGGCAGTGTTGGCGTACTGTAGAATAGAATTTCCTGCACTGGAGATAGGGGAATGAACACCCCGCCGTGGCTCTGTTAAAGTATACATTTATTTATTGCTAAAGAGATTTAAAATTCATATTTATGTTTCAAAAACTCAATTTTACTATTACTAGTAAGCGCTTGTTATTCAAAATATAGTAGTATATAACTTTTTTGATAGGCTTTACAAGCAAATATCTTGACAGCACTCGTTCAATATAGAAAAAGCATTTCCACATTCGTTACATAGGAAAGTATTTTTTTTTTGATTATTGTTTGTGAGAAAAGCTGTTCATTAAAACATTGTGTTATTTATGTCACAATCCGCGTAGTAGTTGTAACGCCTATGCACGCTCCATAAGTTGCACTTTTTTGGATAAAAAGTGCTATAAAAAGTAGCAGACATAGTTGAAATGGTTGAGGAATCATGCCTACTCGCGGCCCAAATAGTTTACAAAATTACGTATATGTTATTAAGGCAATTATTATAAACGAATTTTTTCAAGCCGTATTTTTTAAAGTTTCGCTTACAGTATGCAAAAGCGTCGCTGGCTCGTAGATGATACTCGTTGGCGGTGGTGGCTGCGGTGGCGAGTGTGAACAATGTGCAGCCATTGCGTGCAGGTGTTGATAATGGTGCTCCGAAGGATGATGATAAATATCGACAACACTGTTTCGGTCAATCGAGCTAACTTGATAAATCGGGAATGCTGATTCTGGTTGCGAAGAAGTCTGTTCAATTGTAGTTGACAGTTGATAGCCAGTAATCTCTTGGATATCATTAGTCGAGTGTTCCATGACATTGTGTGGACCGATAGCTACGCTTGGCGGCGGTAAAGGCGGAAGCGAGCGTGACAATTCTAGTAGATCGTGTGCTGCTTCCGTCTCGGCTGCAGACCTGAATATCGAAATTCATTAATTTTACTATCAGATTTACACGTGGAATGAGTTAAAAGATCCATTGAAGTAAAAGTTGCCAACCTGTCTCTGAAAAGTAATTGTTCACTGGTATTACGAATATCGGTCAAACAAGCGGATCGCGCCGAGGCTGCGTCTTCCGCGCGGCTATCATAATTTGTTATCTTATTTATGTGCTTGGGCCGTGAGAAGGCTGACTTGGCTAGAGGCTGCTCGATCGCTCTAGGTGGTCGTTCGGCTGGGATTTGATTACTCCTTGCCTCCTTACTTGACGTTGTAATTTTAACTGTCTCGACATTTTTTACTGCTGAATCGGAAGATGCAGAAGTTTGCGTTTGCGATGTCGTTGACACAATAACAGGTAATCGTTCTTTGGTATTGTTGGCGTCGTTATAGTTGTTAATATTGCATATGCAAGCATTCGTTGTTGTGGACGATGAATTACTTCCCGTGAAATTGTGTGCAGCTGTGATTCACAAATTATCATACGAAATTTTAGAAATGAACGTATTGTTAGTAATATATAGCTGACATTTTCAACAAAAAGTTTCATCTTTTTATTGACAATTCATAATGAGAAGTGGGAAAATATGCAATATAATAACAAATATTTAAAGATTTTTTGCGTTTAGTATAAAACAGGGGAAAAAATTACATTAAAACTGATGAGATAAAAGTTGAAGATGATAAAATCGCGAAACCACCTGTGCAGAACCAAGACTTCCTGTTAAGCAGTGCGCATGGCTCGCAAATAGACGCAAATAAAAAGAACATAAGAAGAACAATAATTTAGCTTTAATGCAAAAAAAAAAGTTGAAACCATGTAACTTTCACCGACCTGAAACTGTTGCAGATGCAGCGTAACGAGGCTTAGGCGCCGGGAGTTTCGTCTGCGGCTCCGAGTGCACGGGTGGTTGCGATGTGGCCGAGGGACTCCAATCATCAAAAGTACGCGTCATACTGTTGATATACTTGCTGCACAGAGCTTTCTTTACCATGTAACACCGAGGCATCTTGGAACTTGGCAGCTTGATTTTATAACTTGTGCCTGTGAGTGAAATTGATGAAACGTAAAATCGGACATGGGTAACGAATGAAAAAATTAATACGCATAAAATGTCTAACCAGTTCAACAAATGAAGAGTGACGAGCAACTGCAACGTTCGGGCATAAATGACGACGAAATATGTAAAAGACACCAGGTGGTGTTTATGTAAACTTTACTAAAGCCAGCTCACACAACGTTCTAATTGTTGGATTTAATCAACTAACAGCCGCGCCAAGGAGTACAGCTTGCTAGATCCAACCATGTAGATATATCCAACCAAATGTAGTTATAGGTGCTAGTTGATGAAGCGTAGACTATCAGCTAGTTTGAGCAACAAGTTGGGCACAACAGGTCAAAAGCAAGCACCGCACACACAGCGCGTCACGCACCGAGTTGAGCAGTAAAACACATCAGCCAAGTTTGGCTTTCACTTAGATCCAGCGGGAATCACACTAGACCACCTGTGGGCACAAATCTGCTCAAAGCAACAATTGTTCAGGCTCACCTAGCCACGAGTCATAAGAAACTTGACCGAATTTGCTCGATGGGTAGTCGACGAGACGTACAAATAAAGCTTTTGCCCGAGTACCGAAAATGGTTGATGGGGTAAATGGTGGAAAAGAAAAGTAGATAACGAGAGACTGAGCGAGAAAGAATAAGAGAGAGAGAGAGAGAGAGAGAGAGAGAGTAAGAGAGAAAGAGAGAGAGAGAGAGAAATAGATAGTCGGACAAGCAAAGAATAATGTAGAGAGGGTTGGATAGACAGACAGTGAGAGGAAAAGATAGATCGCAAGAGCGAAAAAGCACAAAAGCTGCTACATGACGACGCGGGTGTGGCTGCAGGCCCGCGACTGCTTTGGCCAAATCAGGGTTGTATTCCGCACCACGCTGTGCAACTGATGCAGCCTGCGTACCTCGGAGTCTTTATGGTATTGTAGGGGTGCGCGCCGGCGCTCCGCAATCTCATCGATCCCAGTTACCACCGCCAACACCTGTTACCGCATAGTCGCGCGCAACAGCAGCCCCAGGAGCCGCGATCGATACTGCCCGAGCTCAAGAAGCTCCGGCGTCAAGCTTGCCCACCACACCCCCTCTCGCGTTTACACTTACAGCAATCAAAACTTAGAAACTAGTTAAACAATTTTACCTATCAATTATATTCCTTTGCTTGCAACTGATTCCTTTTTTTCATAATGATTTATGATTGAGATATTGATAACGTACATATTGCCGATTCCCAGTTCAATTTTTATGCAATCTTGAAAACAAATCATTTTTTATTATTCTACTTAATTTCAAAAGTAGCATTAGAGTAAAAAGCGTAAGATCATCCTATTTTTATTAAAACCCATGTATTTTAGATTTCGTGCACAATAAACAAATGAACAAAAATAAAGCTATAGCTCTACCCTTATCTCTAGCCTGTCGGTAAACGTACTTTCTTACTTGTTACTGAAAAAATTCCATCTTACTGGTCTGCACAAGTTTACAAGTCAACATGGTAAAAATTATTTCTTTTCGAAAATCGAAAAACAATTTATTACGTTAATGTGAAAGAAATTGTATTATTCATGTTTTAGAACTAAAACGTGTAAAATAATAAAAATTGCTCTAAACATTAGCATAAATATCATGTTTTGAAGATCGATTTAGAATGGAATATTGTTCTTTATTTTAAATGAATAACTTTCTTCCATTTTTTATTATAAAATTCTGATAAAAATCAAAAATTATGGTGGAAAAAATTATATTATTCTAACCCTTATAGAACTGGAATTTGAGAAATTTTTAAAAATGAGCATAATAGTCAGTTCCACATATCATTTATTTCATTTTCTGATGTTATTTTGTAAAAATATATTTTCTTAATTTATTAAAGTTTCGCGATATTATTCAGAAATAGACCAATCAACTTTAAAAATTTTAATTGATCAAAATTTCTTTTAAAAATTCTAAACATGCTCTCGTAAAATTTTTAAATTATTATAAATATAGGTTTAATAAGCCTGAGATTTGTTTGTTATTTTTCCAATAAATTATAGCATCGATGTGGCATCAATATTTCACTAATAACTCTCAATTATTAACATAATTGAATTTTCGTAATTTTTGTACATTTTTATATAAAAATTATGAAATTTTTTTTAGTCCAAACCATTCTGATTGGGGCATGATAAAAAAACATAAGGTTTATTATCATGCAAATCGAGCAAATATTGCTTGATATTGTTTTAAATGTAAAAAAACTTTTATAATTGAGAATAATTTACATCATATAATCTTTTCCAATTATGTATCTGAGATTCGTTGAAAATAAGATACAAATTCATTATGATAAGAGTAAGGGAAGTTGTAAAGGGGTTTCATGTGTTTTATATTTATCAGGGATTAACTTCAAAGATCCGAACATGAATTTTAAAATAATATAAAGTTTGGTCTATCGTCGATATATGCATTAAAATTAATATTTTTTATTTGTCTTTAATGAAAAATTACCAATCATTAAATAGACAGAAATTTTATATCTTACAAGCTGCAACATCATGAGTTAGCTTTGCTTTCGCCGGTATTGAAAAGCTACACCAGGTGCACATAAGTAATTTGCTGTACTGGTCACCCTTAGTTTTGAACATTTCTGTTGCATGTTGCACACGTATATTCACACACATACAGTTAGGAGTCACGCAGCGCATGTTGCCTACACTCTAAGGGTTGATCAATGGCTAGGGGTTATTTTTACTGTAAGAAAACGTGAATGGATTTCAGTTACAAAGATTATTATAAATAAATAGTAGAAGTAAGAACAAAAGAAATACTTTTTTAAACTCCATCATTCGCGATCAAAATTATTTCATTGCGTATTTGATGCTGTAAAAAAATGATAAACTTGATAATAAATTTTCTACTATTGAGAATACTTATGATAGTTTTTGAAAAAGTAGTAAAATTTTATTAAAATTTTAATTTTTACAACAATAGATATAATATTCATAGATTAATAAAAAAAATTTTTCGATTTATGCAATATTATAAATCTTAAGGATACACCCGTATATGAATATATTTTATATAATGTGAACTCCTACACAAAATAAAAATGTTGATATTACAAAAAATGTATAAAAATATACAAAAGGAGCCAAAAATAATGTACGAGAAGTGAATATTTGGCAAAAGTTGTGTATATTGACATAACAAGCATAAGGGTTGTTAGGACAAACTGCATACTATAATGTTTTCGCTGGCAGTGCATGCGATTGCACGCACATACACAAAATACGAAATGAATTTCGCTTTCGTAATTTTAATGTCTAATACAACTGAAAGAATAGAGAGAACGAAACGTAAAATACATGTTGCATTCAAATATACATTAGCTTTATGCAACAGTGTTGATGACAATCCAGAATATCTTGTATGATGAAAAAGCAATATAAAGATTTGTAGGTGTTGGAGCATTGGAGGGGCCATCGCGTGAAAGGGGCGAGGGTTGCGCGCGTCTAGACCCCACCACTCGTACTTACTTGCTTCCTGTCTCTTTTCAGCTGTTCTCCCCGCGTATTTGTCTGTCTCTCTCTCTCTCTCTCTCTTCTCGACTCGCGATATGGCCTAGGGGTGGGTTCTGTAGCACCCAACTGCTAACTATCAGACAGACTTGGAGCGAGTCTTATAAGCACAGTATATACTCACATGGCTGCGCAGCTTGTTTAGCTGCAATAAAATAAAAAAATGAGCAAGTAAATGTCGAGTAAAGAGTGACGATATACAGTGTAGTGAATCATCAAGCATGTGAATAAAGTGACGATAAGCGTCGCCATTGGCAAAGCGCTCGAATCGCCTTTATAATATGAGCGATGAGCGGTTTGGATATCGAAGAGGCTAACCCTGCCTCTTAAATTTATAGCAAGAATCGAAGTTGTGAAATCCAAAATGCCTCGTTGTTTAATGGCTAAAAAGTGGAAGGCCTACCCGTGGCCCGATCGTGTCGATGACGAAGCGATTCAAGTGCTGGATTCACTTCCGGCTGCGTCACAGCATCAAGACCTTATAGTGCTAACAATGCAAACGGATGATGAAGAAATCGATGTTGTCGGCGATGCAGACCCGTCTAAGTCAAATCAACAGCAGCAACAGCAACAGCAACCTTGCTGGGAGCCACACAGCCCCACGGCTGGCGCCACTGCACCTAGTCCTCCGCCACTTAATGCTTCTGGGGCACTTTACTACCATGGTGAGCAATAGATAGCTTTTATATGTACGATAAATCATCTAGTATTGATTGTCCTAGCTGCCTCTAAAAAGCTACTTGTTCGCTTTCTATTTAAGCTGCAACGTAAAAATCAAACGTTAATTCATTTTAATCGAGAGAAGCGGATCAATTCTGTCCAATGCGAAAAAAGAGGGGATGAAAAAAGTATATGCTTGATACATGTTGCGTCAAGAATGTTTAAATATTTTAATGATAATGAGGTCAATGATACACTTAAATTATGAAAATCTTTCAAATAAAGCTCATTTAAAAATTTTCGTGACACAATGATAAACGATTTGTAAAAAACTAACAAGATCTTAATTTATGTAACTTGAAAAAGCGTAGAGTAGATGCCTACAACTACCGTATTTAAGGAGATGGGAACGCCACACCCTTGAAAGCATATATCGCTATATATGTTTGCGAACAATGATGCTTTTAGGATAAGGTTGACTCAAATAATGAGATTTGAAAAGTTGCGCGGTACGTTTATTAATTTCAGAATAAATTTTTTTCTTGGATTAGACTGTCGTATTCAATCATTTCTTCCATAATAATTCAATATCAATATATTTTTTGAAAAAAAAAAAACAACATTTTAAACGATAAAGAACATGCTACTATTTGTAGATTAGTAGTCTTAAGTTATAAGTACAGATAAGATCCAAAAGTTATGATTTTTATTAATATTTAATGAAAAATACTCGAGAACTGTTATGTATTTTTGTTTACAAAGAATAAAATGAAACTGTATCTTAATAACTGTTTTCATAACTAATTGGTATGGACTTTTTGTTAAATGACTTTATTTTAGATTTAAACGACTATAAAAATTATTAAATGGGCTTTTATTAAAAAATTTCTTTTTAAAAAATATAATTAGATTTTTCGCCTTATAAAAATCAAGGGTCATCTTCATTAACGAAGTCAGCGTTTCTGGGTCTGCAACCCCAAATTATTTAGTACACCAATAAATATGATCTTATACGTTAGAGTTTTGAAAATTTTTGCGGATCCTACAATACCGACTCCGTTAGTATGGAGTACCCTTAGTGACAGTATAAAATTATAAAGAACTATGCAAATAATAATTTGCAAAAATATAATATTGTACTAAACAGTTTTATACTTCTCAATAATTATTCATTTTTAGCCAGAACTTTTTTTTGAAATATCTAAATTTATATGGAAGTATATACTGTATGCTAAAAGTAAAAAACAACACGAGAATTATAAATTAATTATTATAAATTAATCATTATAATTTAATCATTTTTAATTTAAAATATATATTCGGGACACGTAGTGAGAAAAAACTTTTAATGTTAATCATTTATTATCCAAATTTAATAAAAAATAATATCAACAAATTTTTCTAATTTTTGTGATGATTTGATCACTTTTACGGCCACGTAGAGTATTAAAAAAACGGGAAAAATACCCAAAACTCTAAAAAATCGCGGCCTCCGAATAAGGATGATATCCTTGGCTTCGAAAGACCAACTGTTTGATAGTATATTAAGGTGATACAATGAGTACTAGAACCAACGTCGATGCTCGATCTAAGAGTCACACATACTCGTAATAGTGTATTTAAAGTAGAAATACGCAGACTACAGTAAAACGAATTATTTAGTTATTTAAACACCTTCATTTTAGGCACATGCCATTTTTACAATTATGTATTGCTATTTTTTCCTTATTACGCGCCTCAAATATTTATTTCGAATTAAAAAATCGATCGGTATAAACACAGTAATGAAATTTATATATTGTTTTTCCAAAAAATAGACTAGGCCTGAAAGTGTCAGTCTGATATAATGAATCGGATATATTGTATCACTATCAATTCTAATCAACTTTCGAAGTTATACAAACAGTTTTTAAGATAAAAAATTATTAATAACATTCTATTTTCACCACATGAGCATAAAATGTGCATGAAAGCGTGGTAGCCGATATGGGTGATATTTTTATTTGAGCATGCGCAGCAATAAAATGCTCTTACCAATGATGCAATTAGTATGTATTCTGATTCCCTTTTTTCCACTATAAAAGATTGCGTACTTAACAAATTGAATTTAGTCAAATTGAACGTAATCAAATATGTATTCACGAAAAATGAAGCGCGTTTTGATTGTTATTTTTTAAATTAATTAAATTCTTAAAGTTAAGAATAAAATTAATACATTACACAAGTAGTACACAATGTGCAGTTAAATTGCTAAAATTGATAAAATTCGCGTATGAACTATCTGTTTCAAGCACAGATTGCATATACAGGAAATAGGTGACAGTTTTTCATCTTTTGCACTAGCAATTTTTTTTACTTTTAATTTCGGAGCTATTTTTCGAAAATGTACAATTCAATTGTGGACAACCTCCCTACATAATCATGAAGTCAACTGTGAACAGCGATTTTACTGTACCATGTTTCATGTTTTTTGATTTTCACTAAGATTTGTTCAAAAAAGATCAATTAAAAATTTTAATGCAAAAAAATGTTTTAATTGCCAATGAATTGGCAGCGGATTTTCTTATTTTACGTATTGAGTCATTTTATATATTTTTTAGATTCCTTCACTTGTTGTAGCATTCAGAACTGTAAATGAAAATTAAATGGAAACGCAGTATCTCAGTGAAAATCAAAAATTTGGAATTTTAAAAAATGCAACGGAAATTCCTGAAAATTTAATAAATTTTTTTTCTTGGCATGCGGAAAAATCTTTAAATCGACTTGCCGCAAGATGATAATAGTATTTTATGAGTTTTTACTCGCTGCGCTCGGGCGCTTACTCGACCATGCCATAAAGTGCTACTATTATCATGTGTATCATACGCAATTTTATAGCACTGTGCTAAGTTCACATTTATGCCCCCTTTTCCGATGCATAAGTCGCACTTTCTGTTACCGCGAAGTCAGATTAGCACACGAGTGCGATGCGAACGATGTGGTGCCACAGTGTGCGACTTATGCCACCGAAAGCGTGCCTGAGATCGTTTTAAGCTTTCGTATATGATACTTTCATTTTACCATGGAATCCTCTACATCTTTGGGTTAATGATAACGTAAATTCAAGGCAACTGGAATTTTAAGGAACCTCGACCTAGGTAGTAGAAGGCTTCGTGAAAATGAATCGAGGAGCGCGTGTCGCGCTCCGAATGGCAAGTATGGCAGACAAGAACAGCGTCACTCCACACTCCTCATATACGCGAGAATTAATTGATTCATCCGACTTTCCATTATCTGCACATGTGTCAAAGAGATTTTTTTAAAAGACTCACTCATACTCCTTCCAAAACCTGCATCAGTACTGATAAAAATGATGTAAATTTTTAACTTTATGCACGACAGAATGAAAATTGAAATTTTCCGTACTCCATTATTAAATAATTCTATAGCTATATTTTTTAAATAGAATTAAATCAATTATTTATAATTTGACAATATTTTAACAGGTTACACACAAGAGACGTGGTTAAATCACGAGGAGCCGCCCAAGTACGTAACACTACGATCGGCTGCCGAGCTCGCTCGATCTACGCACTCGACAGCAGCTACAGGAGCGCCGATATCGCAAAAGCAACAAGATGATAAACACGAGTCACCCACAGAACAGCAAGTCTTACCACATCGTAAAAGTCTTTCAATGTGCTTCACCAGCAGTGGTACAGCTCTTTCGCTGCCACCAAAGAAAAAGGATATTTACAGACCTTATAGTTTACCGCAAACTAAGGAGATCCGAACCGCGGCGGAAGAAGACCTTACGGCGGCTCAGGCTATCCTCGACCTCAGTGCTTCACCCGCAGCGCCTTCGCACTCAGTTTATATTCATACATTATCGGGCCCACTGTTGCCTAATACAGCTGCACCTCTACCGACGCCAGCACCACCACCACCACCACCACCACCACCACCGTCACTACCGCCACAACAAAATTCCACATCCATCCCTGTTTCGGTCTTGGTGCCAATTTCCAAAGTTCAAAAATCTCAGTCGCAGCCTAGATCGCCAGCAACAGCCGAGGCCCAGTCATCGGTTGGCGCGGGTAAAAGCAAGACTATCGCCTATACATACGAAGCTTTTTTTGTATCGGACGGGCGCTCGAAACGCCGCGTCGGGCAGGCAGCAGCGTTGCCCGATCGCGAAGCCGCCGCAGTCGTGTCTGTTCCGGTCCTAACGGCGCAAGCCGAAAGACCCAAGTTCACTTGCGCCGAATGCGGCAAGCAGTACGCGACATCGTCCAACTTGTCTCGGCACAAACAGACGCACCGCAGCCTGGACTCGCAGTCGGCGAAAAAGTGCATCCACTGCGGCAAGGCGTACGTGAGCATGCCGGCACTGGCGATGCACGTGCTGACCCATAAATTATCTCACAGTTGTGGCATCTGCGGCAAGATGTTCTCGCGGCCGTGGCTGCTGCAGGGCCACTTGCGCTCTCACACCGGTGAAAAGCCTTACGGTTGTGCTCACTGCGGCAAGGCCTTCGCCGACCGGTCTAATCTACGCGCTCACATGCAGACCCACTCGGCCGATAAAAATTACGAGTGCGGACGCTGTCACAAAAGCTTCGCCCTCAAATCCTATCTCAACAAGCACCTCGAGTCGGCCTGTCTGCGCGACGACGATCCACCTGTCCAGCCAGATTTACAGCAACTTCTAGTCAATAGGGGCCTCTAGCCGAGCTCCACCGTAGTCATTAATTTAGCGACTAGTTAACTACTAATTTGCGCTTAAGGTACTGTAGCGCATCACACGCGGCGCAAAGTGCAAATGTATATCGATAGTTGACAGTCCTACCTTGAATCCTGGAGCACATACTCACGAGCGTTTACGTGCGTATAAAGTAAAAACAGTTGGATTGTGCAATGCGCAAGACTTCTGAGGTAGATTAAGTAGAAAAGTGCCAGTACCACGTAGATACAACTTACGAAACGTCCAATAAGTTTAAGCAATATACTTTCGCGCCAGAAAAGTTAAATACGATAAGCAACATCGAGCAATAAATGCCCACGCTGTAATCTAGTCATTCTAGTCGAAATTTATTCGTTCAAAAACATGAAATGTTAAGAAAATATATATATACATAGATGTAGAAGTATTAAAAAATAAAATATATATATACACATGCAGCATTACGTTTGTAATGGATTAAGTATATTTATATCGTATAAGCATGATAAAAACTTAAGTAAGTGAAAATGAACTATAGCATATAATAAAGTAGGCGCGAGTATGCCTGTAAAACGAAATGAAAGAATACATCACGAGCCAAAGGCCAGGGTTGTAACAAGTTTCGCTAAAAATTATATTCATGAAAATTGCTTACAATATTTTAGAGCACAAGAGCCTGTAAGTAGCAGCAAAATTGGGTTCTTTTAACTTAGTGCTGCGAAAATTAGACACCATGCTGAGTTCTAGCCAAGTACTAAAGTAGATGCTATTGGTGAAGTTAACTTCATTACAATTTTTGCGACTTTTTTTGCAGAATATGATAAGTTTGAAAATATGCCATTTATAAATCGTACGAAAGCATTACCAAAGCAGTCAAAATTTAAAGCTACATGTTTACAGTCATCAGTGATGAGATGCAACTTAGTAAGATGTATCCAACATCATTCTGTTAATATAATAGATTAGTATTGTAGTGCCTTAATGGACGTATAAGGCATTGTGAATTTCTGTAAAATCCGCGTAGACAGCTATATTTATAATTCTTAGCGAATAAATAATCAAAACTCTTGTGATCCACTGTTGAACATCAATCTCATATTGAAAAATTAGTGATATGAATTCAATTGTTTACCGTCGTAAAATATAAGGAATTCAGAAATTCAGTTATACATTTTTGTGCATTATAAAATAATGATTGAGTTGCCATTCATCTAGAAATGATTAGTGAGTACGTGAAAAATAGGATTCAAATACATACGAACTAAAAAGCAATGTTTCGACACAACGAATTAACAATAATTAATAGTTATTGACCAATAATTAATGGTAAATTCTTGTCCCGATATAAAAAGAATTTAATATTATCACGTCATTTAATTATAATCACATCTACAGTTAAATATTAAATTCATTATAATGCATAATGAATCATAAATTTAGCAACAATGAAATAATGCACCTGGATAGAAATCCACGGATTTTTTCAACCAAAACATCCAATGTTAAAATTTGACTAGCGTGAAATGGAATATAAAAATTTCCGTTATTCTAAATGCATACTCAAAATTGATCTGAGCAGTGGACAGTGCGATTATGGTTTAGTTATTAATAACTTATAACGCAGTATGTACTCATTCGTATTATCGTGGAATAATCGAAGTAATTTTACGATTTTTATCGATACAGCAATTAGTATGTGAAAAATATTCATAAATATTTTCTAATATACAAAGAGACTGTAGAAGAAATAATTCATGCATACATACTAGAATAGCAGCAAGTGAAATATATATTAACCTTCATAAGATTTACTGAAATAACGTATTGGTAGTAACTATTGTATTTGAAAAAATTTAGTTATAAGTGCTTGTGCAAAATCGGTCGACAACCCTTAAAATATGTAAAGGAGCGACTTTTTATCGAACAAAAAATGACTTTTAGTACATGGTATTATCGTGTACTAACGCATCACGTCCTATATTAAACAAAAAATCTAATTAACATCGGCACATATATAAGTTTTATAATTCTACAAGCAACGAAAAGAATTTTTGATATTCAGGCCTTAATATTCTTCCTGCGCGTTTATATTATATGTTTCAAATCACATTGTGCCAGTTTTTATATCATGTAAATATTAGAGTTGAAGCGTTATGAAGTTGTTTATTTAAATTTAAAAGTATGAATATGGCTCACATTAAATGGCATTTTACTCGAAAAAGTTTGAATTTACTGTTCTCTTAAAAAAGGGGGTCATTGTTTATTGATAGAAATAAGCAACTAATAACAAATACTTGTGTTAATCAGGCAAGTAAATCGCAGTTTAAAGCTCTTGCTCAAAAAAGTACATGTTAGAGTTCAAAGTCTAATTCAAGGCTGAAAATGCTTGGTTAATTAAAATTACCTTTTTTTGCTACAATACATTTATCATGTGAATGTTTTCCTCAAATTAAATTGATAATACATTTTTTCTAAGAAAACTTGAAATGATTGCCTAAAGCTTGTCTTTAGTTTTAGGTATCGAGTAGTCAACTTGAGCCAGACGATTTTTTGAATTGAACATATTACTTATTATGGCACTAAATATTTCGTAAACTCAGTAACCGAATAAAAAACTATTAAATTATAAATGAAAAGAAGTCAATGATACAATGTTAGGCTTTGAGAAAATTAATTTATAAATGATGTTTACCTTGTGATCGATAAGTTAACAATTTGTTGAGTGCAACGACAGAAGGTCAATTGTTAAATTAACAAAATTCTCCGCAAATACTTTCAAATAATTTAAGTGTAGTCAAAATCCAATCTTAATTTCATGGTCAAGTACAACTGCAATGTCAAAGATTTGCGAATTTCCTATTCTGTCGATCGTCAATTTGATCTAGTCAACTTAATGGGCTGTATGTTATTATATTTTGATTATTATTTTTTCATCAGTTTTAATGAACTAAACAATAACATTCTATAATTTACGATAAGACAACAGAAAAATAGCAACAAAGTTTCATGGTTTAAATTAGAAAGCTGTAAAATAATCGATCATAAAACTTTGGCATTTCGATTGCTTTCTATGCCAAATTATCTAGATTATTAAAGTTTCACAGGAAGTCAAATTTTCTGAAATTTCAATATTATCCTATTACATGTTTGATTGCGCCTGAGACATTTAGGAATAAAATCTAAATCGGCTGATCATATAATAATTCTATCTAATTTTATATGGAAATCATCGATTCGTATACTTTACAAATATCAAGTTGGTCTGATTTAAGTAAAAACTATCGTGAATCATGTTAATGCAACGATTTCATCAACGAGGATTTTGTATCTGTAATAACAGAATGAAATAATTTTAAAAACTGTAGTGAAATATTACTTAATGTAAACTGTGACTTTTATTTGTATGCGAATCAAATATTTAAAAAATACATATATCCTACTGAAGGAGGCTCCGTCATTAAGAGTTTCTAGGCAAAAAACTATTGAAACTGATGGATTTTAATACTACACATTAAATGATACAACCCTAATGCGCAAAGATCTTCCAATATCTTGAAAAAAGGAGTTAGAAGATTGAATGCTTATATAACGGGAACCGCCCAGAAGCGAATTGTATATCATGTTAATCAGATATATATGACTTGTAAAAAAATTTCTTTTCTGCAAAAAGTGTCCCAAAAATCGGAAAAGCATTTATTTTCTTAATATTTTCTTATTAAATGATACAACAACGAGCCTTTCTATACATTCGGGTATGAGCAAATGACAAGCAATTTAACCTTGCCCATGTTATTTCTTAAACATGCATTTGACAAGCGGTATATATAAAAATGACGGAGTCTCCGTAAATGTAAAATAAAGATTAAAAATAACTGAAAAAAATGAAGTGACTTTTGCTCTTTAATGTTATTAAAAGAGAGTGGTGAGAATATAATGCTTTCAAATAAATTTTTCGTCCAAAGAAATAATACTTAAATTCAATTGCACGAATTTTTAATGCTATGAGATTGAAAAAAATATATAGAAAACAGTAAGCAATAAAAAAAGTTTGAATACTCTAAAATGCTTTTAATGTATATTTTATAAGCATACTGACATGAAATAGAAACTTATTATATTATGGTTTATTTAAGATCGTATTAAAATATTTAATTGTATGTCATAAAACTTTCGACACATACAAAATTTAGATGTACTAAAACATTTATAGGGTAAATTTGATAATAATGAAATTATAACATCGACGTGGTGAATAAAATTCATCGAAAATCCTTTTTACTTTGTAGAAAAAAGTAAATGATCATACTTAAAAAAAATTGAACAAACTACACAAAATAATCAATAACCTGGTACCATTATTTGTTTTTATAGTCCATTTGTTCTACTTATTTATAATTTTCCATTTCTGTCTTAGAGATTTTCAATTAAAAATATTAAAGTACAAAATGAAGAAAAAAACTATAGTGCATTAGTTATAAATTTGGTTTATGAATGTTAATTTATTTGCTCGCAATGTACGAAAAATAGTAAGAATCTGTTAGTTATTTAATGTCAACATAAATTAATGTAAATTTTTCCATTAAAAAAAATAAAAACAGATATCTTTTTCCTGTCATCAATTTTAGCAAGAAATGTTCTCTTTCAAGTTATTTCAAATTAATATCAAGCCGTCATCACTTTGGAAGATTATTATCATTTGACTTATACAAAGATGATAAAACGATGCAACATAACCCGTCGGTTATAAACTCTAGTTCTGAAATAGGTTTTCGCGAATCTAATGATCTTATTATTTTAAATGTATATCACCGTTGACTTTTTTTATTTTATGTCTTATTAGTTTTTCATCTTTCATTTATCTTGGTATCTCATCTAATCCCTCGAAAAGTAGTTTGAAAAAGAAATGAATCTGAATTTTCTGATGAAAATTATTGAAACGATCAATCTCATCAGCATCTGTCCATTTTTTCTGAATTCCTGAAATTTTGAAAACTAAACGTGCAGGCATTTCATACAATAACGTTCAAATAATTTGTAATCATAATTATTCACACATGAAGTTTCATGATACTATAAAATCATTAGCACGAATTATATTGTTGACTTAGCAGCCAATATTAATTTAGAACAATATTTTTGCTTATTTTGCGTGAGTAGTAAATATGGTTTTTAAAGGTTATTGAAAAACATCTCTAAACAAAAAATATCGTTATTTTTCACCAAGTCATAATTGTATACGATTTTCATGGATCGTTATTACAGTGTACATTCATTATGGTAGGGAGGATTGTAAAAGTAGTCCAGGCTTGAAAAATGTACAATAATTGATATTCGGTCATCTTTCAATTAAGAACATATATTTTTATTGCCATAAAGTGATGGAAAAATTTTTTAACACATACAAAAACATAACGCCTTCGCGTTAATGAATATACAGTAATACATACAATAAAAACGCTTTATAAATACTGTTTGTAGCAATTTTTTTTGTATAGTCTTTTAAATAAAGGTGAAAAAAAGATTTATATAATACCAAAGGGCATATTTGTCGATAAATATTTAATCTAGTTAACGCAGCGTTTAAATTGTTGAGGTATTTTTGTATCGTCAATTTTCATGTTTTATCTGTGCATTACTCTTCAGCCTTAATGCCTTATCATAGCAGAATTTTAAAAGAATTACGTAATACTTGTTTTTTTACTAACGGAAATTGCGATTTTCATGACATTAATAAATCAGTTAATTTTATAAGGTCTTTTTATTTAAAATTGAAATAAAAAGTAGATAAAAAATTGCTTTCTTAAGTTAAAAATTACTTCTATACTATAAAAAAGTAAATTTTGACTTGCATGTTAATAACAACCTGTACGTATTAAGAGAATCGTTAATAGTCATTGCTTGTGCTTTTTGTATTTTTTATATGTAATAAAATAATAATATTAAATTTGTCATTGTTTAGACATAATGATTATTACAATCGCAATATTCAAATGGTGGTTTATAAAAACTAGTTTGATTTTATGAATATAGAAGAATATAGTGAAATTTTAAAAACTATAGCAAGCATTTAATTTAATAAAATGCATTTTAATAAAATTGATTAATTTTTGTAAAAAATTATCAATTTCCATTTTTTTTAATTACTCGAATGAACAGGAATTATGATTATTTATGAAACTTGCAATAGCATTGAAATAATAAAGAAAATTAATAATAATAGTTGGTAAATGAATGGTTATCGTGGAGTTTTTTAATCAAGAGAATATAAATGATAAAAAATTATTATCCTATAAAATTATTTAGATTTACATAGATATAAAATATACTGGCAAGAGCTGGGTGCATCAGATGGCAAATATTCCCCAAATACCAGTATGAGCCATTTTCTGATGTGACAAATGAAAAACAATTGAGATTATTATTAATAATTATTTACAGTAAAAAACTGCCATTGTAAATTATATTCTTACACCAAAACAAAGAAAAGGAGGAAATAATAAATAGTCCCCAAAACTAATAAAGCGGTGATCGTCGAACGTAATATGTCATCAATTTTAAAATGCAAATACAATTCATGAATTGCGGAAATAAATTAAAAATAAGTCACTTTTTTGATAGTACTTTATTTAATGTACAAGAAAACACATTTCCACTTAAATATTCTTTATAATGACTGCCGAAAAATGCACTTATTATTTTCCCTTATTTTGAAGTTACATTCAAATCGTTTGTGTGCAATGTGTGAAAAAGCTGACTGCTAATATTTTTTCATAGCTAAATAAATAATAATCAGATAAAAAATAATGAAGCTACATACTGTTCATAATTTACACTATTGAATGAATAAATAAGATGCATTTTTGCAGTTTAGAATTTATGTGTTGTAAAGAATAAAAATGAAGAAAATTGTATGAATAAATCATCAATATATTCTATTACACACAAAAATGTAGTAAAACATTTCAATGTAAAAATAATATTATAAATTAGGAACTGGTTTGTATAGTATATTTTTTTATCGAGTTTTGCACATGTATCTGTATTTCTCATTTACGTATCAGCATTGCGCGACAATTAGGAAATCGTTTTTAAAATGTATAGTTATGTAACGGGGAAAAATCACGACATAGTTATCAGTAAAATCAAACATTTTTTACATATTCGTAGAAAAATTAAAATTTGATCATGATTCTCCGCATGATTTTGGTTGACAGAAAAAATGGTAAATAATTTTCTAAATGGCTACATGCATATTTAAAAACGACAAGACTATTTAGGGGAAATTCGTACACGAAATCCTAGAGATTTTTAGAGTTTCGGGTAAGAAAATCATAATTTTCTAGAGATCTTTAGGGTTATTTGAAGTTTCGCATACGAAAATGAAAAATTTAATGTAGGAATTTTCCCCTTAATATCCGAACCCATTTAAAAAAAATAAAATGAAAATATGTGTGTAGCTTTTTTTAAAAATAAATTCAACTAAAGATACAGAAAACGTTTTTGAAAATTTGAATATTTATCTGGCTCCATATCTGCTTACGCCGTATTGCAATTTTTTACAGCCACACTGTCTTTGAAACTTATTTATAGGAAAATTTATGTGCATAATATAAATGTTTATTCTAAACACGATTACCTTATATTATTAAATTTGACTGATTGTTACATAATTAATTTAACAACTATATGAATGGTTTCTCCACACTTTTGAAATAAAGAATTCTGAAAAATTGGCACAACAATTTTAACATACAATGGTGAGAAGAATGTTTCCTATTATTTATGAAAAATATCAACTAAAAAAATGCCGTTACTCCTTTCGTGTGCAGTTCTTTTTGATTTCTACTTTTCCATTTTCAATGTGTAATCGAAGGAAATGTTTAATTGCGATTTTTTTTTGTGAATTACGGCACCACTTACAAATGTTGAATTATATGCAGAATTGTCAGTTTTAAAACTACATACATACTACTGGTCAATTTTTGCTATTCCAAGTACTTTCTTCGCGTTTCAATAACTTACAAATTTACAATAAATCGCCTTTTGTAAGAGAAATGTGCGATAAAATTTTTTTTACAAATATAAAGTTCGTTTTGAAAACATGTACCACAAGACTTAGCTTGAAATATTTTAATAAAAAAGTTGCCTAAAATGGTAAAAAAGAGATGCTGGTCAATTTCAAAGATTTCCAGTTTTAGTAAATCGAAAAATGCGTGAATTCGTCTGATTTTAAAAGTAAGGAGGAATTGCTCGTATACACCTGTTCGGAAATCGTTATAATGATTATATAAAAAATATTGTAAGTCACGAAATCTGGTTTAAATAATTTATTTAATTTATTTAATGTAACATTAATTGCAAGAAAATTTGATTTATTTCAAGTCCTATTGATCATTTACAACTGTTTTTGAAATATGGTCGAACCTATCTAAACATAGAAAAAAATTTTGGTGAAATTCTAATATTTTATGCTAAACAGTAAAAATAAGCAATAATATTGACAACCGCATTTATGTGATATTTCTCAGTCACAGATAATTTAAAATTTTTTTCTATTGTTTTCAACATTAAGTAAAATAATTATGCCAAAATAGATCAAAACCGAATGAAGACAAATAGATAAATAAATATTAGCATTGACTGATATTTGAAGAATATTGATCTATCTTGATGTCCCAATGAAGCCAAGGTATTCAAAAGCAATAAATGAAGTAGGGCGTAAGATTGTTCGCTCATGTTTGAGTAATTTCAATCTTTAAGCACAAATTAACGTAATACCTTAGAATAAAAGCAACGATAAACTTTAAAGAGCATATGTAAATAGCATATGTAATAACATAGACGTGCGTTTGTTTATCTGGATCAGCGGTCTAGTGACTTTATCATAAAAAAAATTAGTATACGTTCATTTTCATACAGAATGAAATGAGTTTTATTCAACTTTAAATATTCTTGTTTTTTCAATGAACAATTCTTTTTTAGAAAAGTCACTAATGATAATGATCACTTTAATATTTTCAATGGACTAATGTAATTTCATTTTGCCTAAAATTATCTACATGCTTGGAAGTTTTTAAAAAACTGAATTTAAAATTATGAAGAAACATCGATGTTTGGCGTGATTTTCTCATTCGATTTTAATTCGAAAGCAAGTACTGAAAAAAATTGAAAATGTATTATTCGATGTATTGAGAATTTAGAGTACTATGAACAAAAAAAATCATTGTCAAATTTATTCTACATAGTTGTTACTTTTTATAGAATGAGTAAAAAAATTTTTTTCTCTAAATTTTGTATGATAGTGCTTACATAAATAATGAAACAAAACATTGAAGTTTCATATATTTTCTAAAGTAACATTTAAATAATGAGTTTTTGTTAAATTTAGAGGGCCAGGCATAGCTTATACTACATTTTCCATTAAAAAGCAAAGCATTTTAAAATAAAAATTGATTGCTCTAAATTTAGAGTTGAAATAAACTGTATAATTATAATTCAAATCCTATCCTACCGAGATACGCAAGCAGAAGTGTGCGAGAAGAGACATTGCAAGCGTCGGCTTCCTTTCATCTTCAATGATTTTTAGCGATACCAAATTTTTCTATAGATATTCGATTGAAGTTCGTTTGATTCATTTAAAGATAAAACACTAGTTATCTCCGGTGAGATCAAGCAGTAAATGAAAAATCTACTCCTATGGCAATGATCAGTTTCCTCCTTCCTTAAGAAACGGAAATATTTTAATTTTGTCCAAAACACCTAGTAGTAGTAGTAGTAGTAGTAGTAGTAGTAGTAGTAGTAGTAGTAGTAATAGTAGTAGTAGAAATAACTAAACCAAAAATCTTCCCATTTCATTCAGTATTTTTTTCGGAAATAGGATTAACATTTTTGATTTTCGTATTAAGGATTAAGAATTTCAAACGTCGTTGCTTCAACATAGCGATTTAAATATTTTGGTTCGCTAAATTTAAGTTAGCAAGATTACTGTATAAAATAAAATACTTCTCCCTGGTACGCGAAACCATGCACGAGCTAGAAAGGAAAAGAAAGCTTCGTAATGTGACCCCAGAATCGGGTGAAGGTACCTGAAACCTGGGTATACAACAAAATTTTGCAATTGCTAGCGCATGTAGCTATATAAAAAGTAATGTTAAATTGAAAATTTCTTGCTGTCAAAAAACAGACTCAATAGCCAATACAGATACCAAATTGCACAGTGAAGATCACTAAAAACATTGTTAAGAATATCCAAAATACATCACTAAAAACATTGTTAAGAATATCCAAAATAAGAAAGCACCCGGTAATGACTCAATCTCAAACAAAATTATAAAAAATTTACCATTTCTATACAGATATCTGACAGTTATTTTCAATGCACGCTTCAGTCTCTGTCACTTTCATGTAGAATGGAAAGAGTTTCAAATTATTTTGATCTTGAATGCCGTCAAAGTGAATGCGATTTTGGCTTTATATGTATTAATTAGTTAATGACTGTAACGTGGTAGGAAAAAATTGTATTTGCATCCATGTAGCGAAAAAAGAAAGTCTCAGAGCCCGTGTAATTTATCATCCGAGGCGAAGACGAGGCTTTCCAATTTTTCACTTCCTAGGTGCAAAATATACTATTTTTGAATCCCCCAGCCTAAAGTAACATTTTTATTTCGCTCAGCGGGAGTAAAATGTTACTTTAGGTTGGGGTGGCACAAAAAAGTCATTTTCTCAATACAAGTACATGAGATTTGATAATTTTTCATCAAAATACTTTTTACTGACAAATTTAACTATTAAAATACCTAAACAGAGTTGATTTTCATTCATGAGATGACATATGCACATAAGAGCTGTTTGCCATAGTGCATGGGAAAGCTGACAATGAGAACTTATCAACACGAATTGATTGAAGAACTCCAAACAGCTCTTGCTCGTGTGTTGTCAAAGACGTACGGTTCTGCCTTTTTCACATACAACCTTTTTCTTTTAATCAGCTCAATCTAACTTGTAATTAATCTATCTCTTGCAAGTCACTTTAAGTTGGAAGGTGTTCGGATATCAAATATAGATATTAATTCTTGTATAAGTAAATTGCGTTTATTTCTTCTCCTGTCCAACATTCGCCGGGTGCCGCCCCAGAGAATATTCTAAAACTCAACACCAAGCATTAAAACAAACTATAAATAAAAAAGAAAAATCAAGAAAGCAAGGAATCACAGGTATTATATAAAATAAAGTCGCAGTATCAGATTGGGACTTTTCATGAAACTGAGGCAATTTCGAAAATTGATAAAAAGCTTTTTAATTTGTATATGCACAGTCCAGTCAAGTCCACCAAGATTTTCAATTTTCGGAATAGGCGCAAGTCGGAGTACGAGTGTCGATTTGTTCTGGCTGGCTGCCAATCGAGAGACGACTCCCGTGTGAGGTCGGGTGTCTCGCTTATATAGCAGCGAGGAACACGCTAATTAGTTGGCGGCACAAGGTGGGGATGCGTGCAGCAGTGCACGTCTATTGCACAGTAGTCTAGTCTCGCGAGTGGGGATAACAATGTTGATATACGCGATTGGAAATGAAATTAGCTTTTTTTTTTACTTCAATACCTAATTACTTGAAAAATATGCATTTGAGAGAAAACTACTAAGAATAATATCATCTTTTAAATGACCCAAATTACTAAGAACAGAAGGGTTGAGCGAAAATTTCAAAATTTCCATTTTTGTTTAAAAAGCTAATCGAATCGAATTGGTGCGTAAAAATTTGATGGTAAACTTGGTTTCCCTATTTGGAAAATTCTTACGGAGGTAATTTTGACTGTGAAATATTTCTGTAAATTATAATGTTTTTTTTGTTCGCGGCACATTCTGCCATGGTGTTCTCGGTACGTACTGATTGTGGAATTGTTTTCGCGGCATAAATGAAATGGAATATTTATAGAGACACTTTTAAGAGGCATTTTATTCGTAGCTACCATCAAATATATTACATGGCAAAAAAATTTCAGAACGGTTATCGAATTCTATCGCTGGAAACGAATTTTTCAAATTTTCAAAGATTTTTTTCTGAAGCTCTGGAGCATCTAAAATTGAATTGGTTAGCAAATTGGTGACAATAATTAAGAAAAAGAATAAAAATTACATACCGTTTCTCTCTTAAGATTTTATTAATTATTCAATATCGGGTCGATATAAATTTAAAGTACATTTAAAAAGATTTTTCTCTTCATGTGGAAGATTCAAAAGGTATTTTGATTTAATTAAATTACGATTTGAATGTTGAGTTTGCATGATTTCCACACTAGATACCTGAAAATCATCATACACATGATTTAAATGCTTTTATTATTTAATTATGTAAAAAAAATAATTATCAAATAATATACTTACAATTCCTTTAAAAACACGAGAAACTAGACCATTCAATTCGTGTGATAAAATTATTACATAATACATCTTCGGTCCTTTAATAGTTTTAAGACTGGCGATGTTTACTTCCAAGTCCCCTTTTTCATCAATAAAAAGATTGAATAAAAAATATCCTACATTCGATATATTAATATCGTACTTGTAAGTTTTCATTTTGTTGTAAGAAAAAATCCAAGTATTTTGATACAATCCATTGATCAATTCTTCAACCTGCAATAAAATATCAATTAAAATTGGCTAGATCCATTTTATTTTGTTAGAAAAAGTGCTTCGAAAAATCTGTGAAAAATTCCCAAGTTACTTCGCACCCATGATTACCTCTGACCTATTTAAATCTTGAGTTTTTCACCACAACACTTCGAAAAAAGTTCTCAAAGTAGAGTTTTGCACAAATTTTTGTATTTTTTTTGTTCAAGCGACAATTCTAGTTTTTCAGCCAAAAAAAGGTATTTTTCGCCAATTTTTTACCAGCTAACTATGATAGATATCGTTCTGAATCTTTTTGGTCTTAATAAAGACACTATTGAAGTCCAAAAAAAACCGCTGCCAATTCATTGGCAAAGTGCTTCCTCATAAAAAATTATATTAATGAAAGGGTTATTAAAGGGAAAATTCGTATTTCATTTTTGAATTTCAAATTCCGTTTTCTTTAATGCATACGAAACTCCTAAAAAACTCAAAGATTTCTAGAATTTCGTGTAAGATTACCTTGCTATCGGTATATGTTATACACTTTTATCTTAGCCAAAAGGAGCCATGTTCACATTTCGGAATGATAAATATTAGGAATTATGAATATTCGGAATGTGTGAAATTCGGAATGTTTGAAAATCGGAATATTGAAAACGGAACATAAAAAATTCGGAAAAACAAAATTTCGGAATAAAAAAATGTCGGAATGAAAAAACTTCGGAAAAATTAAAATTCGGAATCCTCAAAATTTTTAGTGGGTTATTTTATAGTCTACATTTTCCACTCAAAATTTTTTCATTCCGGATTTTAATTCTTCCGAAATTTTTTCATTCCGAAATTTTTTTATTTCGAAATTTTGTTTTTCCAAATTTTTCATGTTTCGTTTTCAATATTCCGATTTTCAAACATTCCGAATTTCACACATTCTGAATATTCATAATTCCTAATATTTATCATTCCGAAATGTGAACATGGCTAGCCAAAAGGCCGAGAAAGCAAACAAACACACACACATACATACGGACATTTGTTGAGAATTCAATCTAGTTTATAAATATGTAAACGAAATTGTCCTACGAGGTCTGGTTCAAAATCTCGTTTTCGAGCCTGTCACAGTGCTTACTCTATGAGAAAGCAATTTTTATTGCATTTACTGAACGATGTGTGTACATTAGGGTGTCCGTTATTTCCCGACTTTTTTGTATTGCTTCTCCCCCCACCTAGATGTCTTCTATTTGATTAGACAATGAAAAAGCCGGTATATAGAAGTCGAAAAAAATGATTTTAAGGTGGTCCCCGAGCGGCTTGAAGCTTGCATGTATTTTAAATAAAAAAAACTAAAAAATTTGATTCTTAGCGATAAAACTGATGAAAGAATTCACAAACCCATGTATTTTATGTATTTTTGACGGGGAATCGATTAGTGCCCTTAAATTTGCCCTTGAACATAACCTCAAAGCTACAGCGAACCAAAAATCGTTTCAGCAATACAAAAAAGTCGGGAAATAACGGACACCCTAGTGTATATGTATGGGTAAATCTAAAAATATAAAGCAGTTTCGTTAACAAAAAAAGGTGAAATATTTTGGCTTGCCTAGGGGCCCAGACCCCCGCAAATTGTTCCTAAGGGTGCTAGGGGTGAGAAAAAACGCGTGAACGTGAAATTTGAAGGTTTTTTAATTTTGATAGGTTTTTTTTTGTCACTTTTGTGTTTTAACGCCGAAAAGCCACGTAAGCCTATCGCAAGGATGGACAAAGGGTCATTTACTTTGATAGCTTTGGAGACTTACCCCCACCACACGAGCTTATGAAGTACTGGAATATTGATTATGTGTATTTATAATTACAAAAGGTTCCAGAAGTTCAATTCCTACAACTGTGGACATTTGTGTTTGCATTTTTAGCTGGGAAGGATATAAAAGAAGTTTAAAACGTGATGGATGAGTAGACATGTGTCCAACATCATGAGAGAATCACTATCATTAACTGTGACCGGCCAATCATCTGTTCTCAAATCTCAATATTTTCCAATCATTGAACTATTGAAAAATAACAGTTACGAGATTGGACTTCTATGTCTTTTAACATTTAACTCAATTCCTAATATTGGCACATATAATAACAAATTATATGTGGAGGATATAGAACCGATTCAAATACCAAGTGGAAATTATGAAATAACTGACGTCAATCAGTATTTAAAAAAAATCTTGCTGAAAAAAAATATCTCATTCGAGCTGCGGGCTGATACCAACGCATCGAGAAGTATTATCTATTGTGATAAAAATATAGATTTTTCGCCAAAAGACTATCGCTCATCTTTTGGGCTTCGAACCTCAGATACTTGAGGCAGTTATTCAGCACATATCGGATTCATCAATTTTTACTAATGGTATAAAATCAATATGCATTGAATGCAGCATAGCAACAGGCACTATTTGAATGGTGAAAAGGTGCACACATTACATGAATTTTATCCAACTGTTGAGATGGTTATAAAATTGTTGAAATTCCCAGCAGTATCGTATATATGCCAGTGAGTACTACATACATTGATAACATTCAATTGCGAATTGTGGATCAAGAGGGGCAAATGGTAGATTTTCAAGGGGAAACAATTACAACACGATTGCACATTAGAAGCCTCGCATGATGGGTATTGTTTATAAGACTAGTGCAAGCACACCCTTTAGCATATCAAATACTCATGATAAAAAGAGCTATAAAAGCAAGAGACTATTGGGAAGTGGAGTCAGTTATATGCGAAAGCATCCATCATTAACAACAAAAAATATTCAATATCCAAAGTATCTAGGCTTATCCGTGCGTGGAAAGAAAAAGTAGTCTGCTTGTTTGCAATTGTTGTGGTTGTTATTGTTCGGAAAACGAAGAAGAAGCAAGCAGAAACCAAAAATGGATGATATTTAGAGCATTCACTCCAACGTGTTGTTTGGTGAATCAATCACACATCATGAAATCCACCCTCATCAGCCGTATACATCGAATTTCGACAATAGTGAGGAAATATGTATTTCCATTCAACATCAGGAATTAAATCTGTTTCCATCGCAAAGCTTCATATACACTCGGCAACAAAATTATCGCAACAAAAAAATTTATCGAAATTTTGTCGATTTTCAAATGCTTCTATCTTGGACTAGATTTATCGTATCGACACGCTTTTTTTTTAATTTCTTGGAAATTGTCTTCTTTAAATTCATATAAATTAAGATAAGATTCGAGTTAATGTTGAGTTACCAGTAGTATTTGAGCGTGATACTAAAAATTACTGAAAATAAATAACTGTTTGAATGTGTACCAGTACCACAGTAATTTTTCTATCGAAATCTAACATACACCATCGCAAAGTGCTCTTTTTAACGAGTAATTTAGAAAAAAAAGGACCTCTCTACGATTTTTTTAAGGCCCTGTAGGTCGTTTTGAAGATACCATTTAAAGTACGTAAAATCCCCCGTTTAGCTGAAATCAAGACGATTTTCTGGGCATTTCGAGTACACAAACCGTACCTTCAAATCGACCTACAGGGCGTTAAAAAAATCGTAGAGAGGTCTTTTTTTCTAAATTACTCGTTAAAAAGAGCACTTTGCGATGTTGTATGTAAGATTTTGATAGAAAAATTACTGTGGTACTGGTACACATTCAAACAGTCATTTTTTTCAGTAATTTTTAGTGTCACGCTCAAATACTACTGGTAACTCAACATTAACTCGAATCTTATCTTAATTTATATGAATGTAAAGAGGACAAAATTTCCAAGAAATTAAAAAAAAAGTGTGTCGATACGATAAATCTAGTCCAAGATAGAAGCATTTGAAAATCGACCAAATTTCGATGAATTTTTTTGTTGGGCAACTTGCAATACCTACGGCTGCTGCAGTCACTAATACCCAGCTTGTAAATAACGGAACATGCCGTCTATTTGAGGAGATTAGTTATGAGATAAATACAATAAAAATTGATAGGTGTAAGACTGCAGGTACTACAACAACAATCAAAAGATGTGCTAGTTTTGATTCAGCGAGAGCTCATCGGATGGAGAATGCATGGTGGGGGAGTGATATATCCCAGAACCAGATATCACATCACCAGAACATCACCAGAAGAATCTAAAGTAAATTTGAAAAAATTCAATGGTTTATGCCAACTATTCAATTGTTTAATCAGGATAAAATCAAACTTATCAAGCAGATGGAAGAAAATGTACCGATAAAAATACCTTTTCGCTCCTGGATAAGATATAATATGGAAAATGAAACCAAATTGTATAGCTAAATAAACCTGCATAGGTTTAAATAAAGCTCTAATAAAAAATAAAAAAAATGTTCATATCCAGCGATTAGGCCAATATTGTAATATTTTCATCTATACATCAAAATACAACTTCTGATAAATTTTGTTCATCTGCAGAGAGACAGACTTTATTATTAACCATGATGAATGTGATATTACAATAATGGTATTACAATATTGGCCTAATCGCTGGATGCGAACATGTTTATTTTTTTTACCTAAACTAACTTTTTGAGGGGTGGGAGCGAGGATCCGAGCACTTTGGGGAATAAGGACCACCCTAGTACCCATAAACACTCAGTTCTCATGTCATGTGCTACTGGAAATGTGAAAAAAAATTGTATTCAATGTTATGCTTCACTGTCAATAATGATTAAGTCTTGAAATTCAATAAAAAAAATTTTAAACAATAAACTTTTGTATTATTTAAAAATAATTATTTGTTATATAATAATTATTTGTTATATAATAATTATGTATAATTATTATCAATTTTCCAATCAAATAAGGTTTATTGCCAATTGTGAAAAAAACAATAAAAGCAATTAATTTGAGTCTCACAACGACATTATGTCATAAAAAAAATACTCGTTACCCTCATGTGGCCTCTACAGGATGTCGGCTTTTAATTTTTTTTCAACCCTTCGTGGAGGGTACAAAGAAGGGGGGGAGGGGGGTACTCTGAGGGTGGATCGGTAAGTTCGGACAGGTCTGTACCATGGGGAATAGCACGGTGTGCCAGCTCCGCAACTGTGTCAGGTTCTGTATAGCTCCCTTACTATTGTTGAACTCAATGTATAAACTTTTTGCCTTGTTTCAGTTACATATCATAACTTTTATGTTTAGAGTCTACTTTTGTTACTGACATCGAACGCGAACCCTTTTTTGAAAAGAGAGAGTCTTTAACTGTTAGCATATAAAAAATGAGCGTAGTTTAAAATTAATTTGAATTTAATATATAACTTATTTAATGTGTTTGTAAATATTTATTATAATTATATCACAGTTATTACATATTTCTATAATACAAGTTAATTGATTTCAAATCTCCGATTGTTAAGCTTGTACGAATATAATAATTAATAGCGCTTTAACCTCACTCGCCAAGCTCGTTCGGTATTTTAGACTTTTTTTGAGAATATTTTGATTTCGATTTAAAAGAAGTACTATAATAGTTCTATGTATTATATATACCATAATTCTATTATTATTCTATTATAGTACTACTGTAGTACTATAGTATTATAGTACTACTATAGTACTTTTTTTTAGAAATCGAAATCAGAAATTTAGGGGATCTAAGTACTTTTTTCTGATTCACTGCGTAATATATTAGATTTCTTAGATTACTTTATTAATAAGATAAGTAAGTATTACCTGTATTAAATTTTCTGTTTCATTATTTTCTGTTACTTCTTCAGTTTGCGTATTCACAGAGGCATTATTAATAAATGTCTGAGTTTCTATCGACGACTTTTCGATATTAGTTTGACAATATGCGCTTTTTTTTACAATTCTTCTATTAGTGTAATGATTAGGATCTATGAGCGATTCCTGTAATTGAAAAAATGGTAAATTTACTTAATAATACTAAAAGAATTATTACAGATAAAATATGTTGAAAATGAAAGAAATATTTCTACTTGAAAAAATGCAAAAAACATTTTTTTTCCAATAATTGGAGCTTTGATTAAGGTTTTATTTTCAACCATCACGCTTTTGAAACGGTGATAAATTTTACGCAGTACTTGAGTCTGATATATTCGAAATCAAAATAATTTTTTCAATCGTATTCGTCCATTAACTAAAATCTATTTGAATTGGGGATTAAACGATAGTCAGCGCCCTCTGTAAATTCAATGCGGCCGTCCCATAAGAACCTGAAGACCACCTGTGATCCAGCTGAAACAGTTTACAGGCGGTTCTAAGGTTCTTATGGGACGGCCGCATTGAATTTACAGAGGACGCTGACTATAGTTTAATCCCTAATCGAAAGTCATTTTGACTGTACACTGGGTTAACATGGATTGTGTCCGAAAAAAAAGCTCTCGAGAGATATTTCACGCGAGCATAAAATGCTGTTACTTTCACTCGCTTTTGACTCCTGTTATCGTCGAAAATTGGCAAAGAATTATAAATGTTCAGAAAGGGAAGCAAGAAAAATTATCGAGTCCGATAGGAATGAAATTTTGTCATTATCAAAAAAAAGAAAGGAAAACTTTTTCGAGAATTAAACGATTTAGTAACACAATTTTATGGACGAAATGACATCAGTAAATTATTGCCTGTCATGAAAGATTCTATCTCTGTTGAGGGCTTATATACACCTTAAACTCAACATTTTTTTTCAAATTTTTTAATAGGATTTTTTCTCTTATTTTCATTACATTTTTCGAAAATTTAAAATTTTGATTTTGTTTTGAGATACAGCTGTTTCCGTGAGTCTTTTTCGTATACGTTAAAATTTTTATTCTATTGCGTTTTTTGGCGAGCAGTGTTTTTAGCCACCTATCGTAATTTTCAGAAGATACCGATTGAGTTTTAGCACCAGGGTCGCGTACACTTTTTTAGAACATCAATGCTTGTGGCCAATACTACGGGTGAGACGATCGAACACGTAGATTGCAGTGCGTATTGTACAGTTAAGAACACATTTTTTTTAAATTTTTCGTTTATGCCGAAGTCATAAAAATACTCTTTGAAAGTGATCTATGAGTACAATCGTCTCACCTAAACCATTGATGTTCTAAAGAAGTGTACGCGACCCTGGTGCTAAAACTCATTTGGTAACCTCTGAAAATTACGATAGGTGGCCAAAAACACTACTCGCCAGAAAACGCAAAAGAAGAAAAATTTAACACGTAAAGTATACGAAAAAGGCTCGCGGAAATTTCAACGACCACCTCAGAGCGGCCAGCGAGAAGGCTTCGAGGGTGGCGGGAGCCCTCTCGCAGATCATGCCGATCTAGGCGGCTCTACGCCAACGTCATCGACTCAATCCTCCTCTACGGCGCCCCCATCTGGAGTCGCGGTACCGGAACACAGGTCGGCATGCGTCGGGCGGAAGCGATCCATCGGCGAGCCTGCCTACGCATCATCAGTGGTCGCCCGCACCTCTCGTATGAGGCTACCTACGTCCTCGCCAGCATACCAGCCTAGCAGACGAGCGTAGCCGGCTCTACTAGCGCCGCCACGAGGACGCGAGAGCCGAAGAACGCCAGGAGACGCTGAGAAGATGGCAGAGCCGGTGGGATGGCTCGCCAAAAGGACGATGGACGCACAGGCTGATTCCGAACATCAGATTGTGGATAGACAGGAGACACGGAGAGGTGGACTACCACCTTACGCAACTCCTGACAGGCCACGGCTATTTCAAATACCACAGCCAACGCTACAATCACAACGCTAGCGCAGATTGCCCAGCCTGTCCCCACACGGTCGAAAACGCGGAGCAAGTTTTCTTTAACTGCCCTCGATTCGAGGAGGGAAGAGAGAGGCTCCATCGCCAGCTCCAAAAAGTTGCCAGGCCTGAAAACATAGTCCAGCTCATGCTGGCAGACGAAAAAAACTGGTTGGCGATAGCCACCTTCGCCCACTCAGTCATAGCAAGTCTGAGAGCCGAAGAGATGGCCAGAAGAAGATGACCGGACGATGCGGCATGACAAAGACGCAACAACAACCAGCGCAAACGTGATGAGCTTGCTGCACCAGCCCAGCCTCTCCCCGCGAAGTAGTGCCCAACGGCGGTTCCGCGGGGGTTAAACAGGGGCAGAAGGAGAAGTCGATGGGCCACACAACATCTATATGTTTTTATATCTTTTTCTTTTCTAACTCCACCCACCTTACATAAAATATGTAACAACGGAAACTCAAAAATGTACCGAAATACATTTGATTTTAATAAACTGAGCCCATCGCTCCATTATAAAAAAAAAAAGGCTCACGGAAACAGCTATACCTCAAAACAAAATCAAAATTTTAAAATTTCGAAAAATTTGATGAAAAGAGGAAAAAATTCCTATTCAAAAATTCAATGAAAAAAATTTTGAGTTTAAGGTGCATATAAGCTCGCAAGCTGGTCACGTCGATGCAGTTGAGGGAGCGCGCGCTGCAGTGTCTGATCGAGATCGAGTCGCCACCACCGGTGCAGTGGAGGCGCACGCAAGAAGCGAGCGACTCCGATCTTGTTTTGTTTTGACGCCTGCCGAAGAAGAAGGGGGTGCAAGCTTCGCTGCTGCTCCATTTTTACGTTTTGTTTTCTGTGACAATGATATAACCTAAAATTCTGATGTTAAGCGAGTGCACATTCAAAAGAGACTACCTCTAGGCAATTTAAATGAGCTTTATACCTTATTTTTAAATGAATATAAAGATAAAAAAATAGGATACACCAAATTTAAGTAATTGAGACCACATTTTTGTGGAACAGCTGGGAGTATACACACAATCTTTGTATAGGTATAGTATACATTGTGTACACTACGAAAATATCAAATTGATGCTTGAAGCAATTGATCTTGAAGAGTGGACAAAAGGTAGTAAATGTCTGTTAAAAAATAATGAAGACTCTATACGTGAACTTGTAAAAGCTTCTGATTATCTAGAATTATTAAAAGAACGTTTGACAAAATTAAAAATACACAACTTTTTTTACCAAAATGCAAGCCAGTTTCGTAAAAAACTTAAAAAAAATTTTCAAGATGGAGAAGTAATCGTCAGTTTTGATTTTGCTGAAGATTATGCTTTTGTGGTTCAAGATACTACCCAATCATTCCACTGCAATAATAATCAAGTCACGATATTTACAGCTGTAGCATATTAACGAGAAAATAACGAACTAAAACATAAAAGTTTGACAGTTATTTCAGATAATTTGAGCCATGACACGTACGCTGTTTACGAATATCAAAAAAGAAATTGAGTACTTCAACTTAAAAAAATCTATCTCACAGATGGGACAGGGCAGCATTTCAAAAACAACAGTAAATTCTACAATTTTCTCTTTCGTGAAGATTTTAAGGTGAAACCGAATGGCATTTTTTTGCAACGGCCTACGGAAAAAGTTGATGCGAAGGTATTGATGCTAATTTAAAATGAAGAGCTTGTAAAACTAGTTTGCAATCCATAATCCATAATATAAAAAAATATATTAACCCCCTCCGATCTATATCATTAGGCACAAGACTATTGTAAAGAAACAAAGGTATTTTACAGTAGCAAAGATATGCATGAAAAAAATTATGAATTTTTAAAAGCTCAGTTCAATAAGGCAATTTCTCAGCACATTGAAGTATCATGCAGTCATTCCCATAGATAACACAACTCTCAAACTAAAAAATACATCTTTATCTTCTCAATGTGAATCATTTCCACAAAAAAAACTTAAATAGAGAAAACGAATTCGAATTTTCAAGTAACTGCAGCCTAGCACATCACATCAACGAGACGTATGCGCGGAAAAACCACGTTTTTTCTCTCTCGCAATATCTCGCTAAAATTAAAAAACCGTTCTCTGAAAAATGTCTACCTCGATGGAAAATTTCCTGATCTTTAGATCTAGACTATTTGAAAAAAATCGTAAAAATGAAGCTTTTAAGATTATCGACTTTTAAGTTTTCCGACGATTTTCTCTTGGAAAACGTAAAATTTCGGAAAATCTGAACTCACTATCGGAAAACTGAGGCAATTTCCCATCGAAATCATGTGTTCGTTTTTTCCCCAGGGCGTGGCGCGGCACTGGAAGAGTTGACGTGAAATGCCACACGCTTGGGTCAAAATAATACTTTTTTACAAACCGTGCGCACTTATGTCACCGATCTGGACGCACTTTTGATTTGTTATTGTACGCGATGAAAAGGTTCCAAACCCAAAATTTTAGACCCCCCTCACCCCTCCTACCCTCCACCCCCGCTATAAACGTCTACATTCAATTTATATTCATTCTGAAGCCCTACAGAAATTTAAAAATCTGAAAAATTCATGAAGGTAATTTTTAACAATTCAAAAAACCTTGAATTTTTTCAGATTTTTTTGAGTGCTTCAGGCCTTCAGATAAAATCATTGAAAATTTTGATTAGATAGGCGATATGAACCGATACTAAACTCGACATTTTTTCTGTTTTTTATCAGATTGAAAAACATAACCTCAAATTTTTTCAGGTTACTTAACGACTTTTTGAAGCCAAAACCTTTTTTTTAACGAAAATAATTTTTTAAGAGCGATTAAAAAAGTATTATTTCTACCCATGTGTAACATTCATAGTTTTTAAAATAGCGACATCTACTATAAAACTACATGAAACTGAATTAAAATCCACATGAACAAAGCACGTTTGAATATTTGAAAAGTTAAATATTATCTTTTCTACAAAAAATTTTTAATTTGCTTTTAAAGACAATTACCTTGATATCATTAAATTTTGATGATAAATTTTCGGCAAGAAAATTTCTCGATCCATTAAAAGCACTCTGACAAGTGGGACAGGCATTTATATTCTTCGTAGTTTTACAATTAGAGCACATATGATGCCCACAAGCGCAAGTGATTATAGCTTTTGAAGCATCAGGAATTTCCCAACAAACTGGGCACTGTAAAATATCTTCAAGGTCTTCAATATACTAAAACAAAAACATTGCAAACTTCGAATTAATAATTTTTTTCATTGTATAATAAATTTTTTCGTAATAAATTTTTTATAATTAATCCCAATGAAAATTATAAGTAAGTTCTCTTGCAAGTTCTTAATAATTTTATATAAGATCTTACGTTTTGCCTTAAGTATTATTATCGACAGTAAAAGTTCTAACATAATACGATCTGTATGTACATAATGGTCAAAAGTATGATTAAAAACAAAGATTATGTCTTGGAACAGGTTTAATCCAATTTCTTAAGGTGATGCCTTGGCCACAATTTTTACCGACCGAGCACAGAAAATGTATATTTTCGTAACTTTTTTTCCAGGCTGATATTCGAAAAACGGCTCTGTGGAGCCCTCCGTATTGTTGCTGCGAACAACTGCGACAACTTTCAGCCAATTTCATCGGATAGTTTTCCCGGAAAACAGGATCAAAATTTTTTATGCTGCAAACAGTAATCAAAATTTTCGATCCTGTTTTCCGGGAAAAATATCCGATGAAATTGGCTGAAATTTGGTGCAGTTATTCACAGCTACAGTACGGAGGGCTCCACAAAGCCGTTTTTCGAAAATCGGTCTAATAAAAAAGTTGTTTCAATTTACATTTTTAATGCTCGGTCGGTCAAAATTGGGGCCAAGGCATCACCTTAAAGCTAGAATTATTAGATAGAAAAAAATAATTTTTTTCTGCAGATTTTTTGGGGTCAAGATCGTACATAAGACTATAGGTAAGTTCTTATGTAAGTTATAACATCGGTTATTACCCAACAAAGGTGTGTTGTTCACTTTTTACTATTCGGAATGCGGTATAATGTATTTTTAAGCGAAATTTCGATGGAGCACTCTGCAGAAAATTATTGCAACTCAAAAATTCGTTGAAATTTCGTCAATTATCAAATGCTTCTATTTTGGTCTATTTTTATCGTATCGGGACTAATTTTTTTAAATTTATTGGGAAATGTCCTCTTTAGGCCCATATATATTATACATAAGTTTGATCGTCAATATCGAGTTACCAGTAGTATTTGAGTGCAGCACTAAAAAATTGACTGTTTTATCGTAACTGCAGTAATTTTTTTATTAAAATCTAACATACCCTATCGTAAAGTACTCTTTTTTACGAGTAATTTAAAAAAAGTTATAGCTCTGTACCATTATTTTTGCGCCCTGTAGGTCGTTTGAAGGTACCATTTATGTGCAAAATACCTAAAAATCGTTACATTTGAATGTTCATAAAAATGACTTGTAGGGTCCGTGGGATAAATTAAGGGCTTCATGATTAAGTACCAGGAAGTCACAAAAAAATTTTGGTGAGAATTGGTCACCCACTTTGGTCTCCTTGTTGGATTACTAGTTTTTATAATTTTTTTATCGTCGCATCTAGATACATTTTTATGTACTTTGATACTCTTCTACAAATAATGTCTATAAAATAATACATGTGAAAATGATTGAAAAGAAATATAAAGAATATAATTTCTAAGCATTTTGTGTATTTTATTTTCATCATAATCATAATGATATAAATATATGTAAAACAATACACACAAAATTATTAATCACTTAACTATTTCCAGCTTAGTTCGGCGGGCAGTCAATGAAAAATTTTTTAGTGGCATAACTATACGGCACTCCGCAGAACGATAAAGACAGTCTCGCACTATGCTGTTGAGAAGAATGAGTAACCCGCGCTTCTTATCCTTCACAATCGAATGGGGCAGCTACGGGATCGATAATAGGTACGGACTTCTCAAACGCGATGATGATATTTTGCAGATTTACATTCCGGACAACTGATCGGTGGTCGCGTATGATGACGAGCGCTATCGTGGTTATCGTCGAAGCGAAAGGTTAAGCACGCAAAAATTAAATTGAACACGATTATGAAAAATGTACAGATGTGGATGACGAGTCGCTGCTCAAAAAATAGAATTGCTAATATTGAAGGAAAAACGGTTTGAGATCCACGTACAAATGATTTTAAGGGCAAAACGTATTGATGTTCATCAGGGGGAGGTCACCTATCTTGGAATAACTCTGCATATGACATTGATCTTTTGGTTTCACATACAAAGGGCGGTGAACAAGGCACGACCTCTTTGAGCTGCCTCATAGCGAACATTGGGGGACCCAAGCAAGATATACATAGATTCCTAATAACGACAATCAATTAAATTTGGTTGTACGAGGCCAAAATATGCCGACAAAAGAAAAAGGATCTACGCGATGAACAAACAGTGGCTGAGCTATTTTCCCATTATTAATGATACAACCGTTTTACCTTAAACAGCCAATAATTGATTTGTATACATGTATGTAATTAATTGTTTTTAAAATTGAATTTTTATAGACAACAAACCAATTTTGAATGGGTCGAAATTTATATTGTAATTTATCTTACAGCTTACACTGCAGAATAAAGTACATCTTGTACTCATCAAATATGAAATAATATAACTTGATGTTTTTGCAATAACATAATGTCATTCATGAGTTTAGAGCCACATAGAATATTAAAAAAAATTAATTTATGAATGTTTCAATAGTTTAGGTTTTAATATTTTAATTACCCTAAATAAAGCAAGACATCTAACACACATTTTTTTAATATTCCCTATTTATATTATCTATTATAATTGAATCTACCATCTGTACGCTATAAACATCTGATTATTAAAAGCTTTGGTAAAAAATGTGTCAAAATGTATGTTAGCTTTAACCAATGTTTTGTTTTTTGAAGAAAAGGATACAATGCCTGAAAAGAGTGACCTACCAGTATGAATCCATAAATTAATATGGAGAAGACAATCATTTAGTAGAATAATAAGTAAATGCATTTCTAAAAATAAATTGTTCATTAAATTTTTTTACAAAAATTAATCATTGATTGTTTCTATTTAAAAAAGTTTGTAAAAACAACAATATTAATAATAAACTTTATATTTTTATAAATTTGCAAAAAAAAATATATCCGTTTCATGCTTACATTCATACCAATAAATGAAGCTTGAGTAAATTAAAGGGATATTTACATTTCAATTTTGCATAACATATTAAATACTTAATAAATTCACTTATCAAATTAAAAGTTGAGTTTACATATCATACAATGAAAAAAAGTCATAACGTAAATTAGTGCATGAAAATCAATTCAATTTTGCATCATATGGTGTAACTATTATATTAAAACATTATTAGTTTAATAAACTGCGAACTAGACAAGAAAATAAGCTGTTCAGCATTGATTAGTAAATTATGAAACAATTAAATCATTTGTGCTTCAAATTTACAAAGTTACACTTATTACAATTTTAATAATTAAATATGTATGAAAATTATAGAACCTTACTTGCATTCTCATTGTTACAATAGGATCATCCATTTTTGAAGAATCAGATACAAAGTTTCGAATCTGCAAAAAAAATTTTTAGTGGTTTTTAAATGAATCTTTGTAAAGATAGATTTTCTTAAAACTATACCCAAATTTATAAGAGTTCTCTTTTAAGATAGGATTCTACTTTTTTAATTCATAGGAACACTTTATTGTTAATATTTGGTAAGTGGAATTTGTTTCATTTATAAAAATGTTAATAACAGAAACTTGATAACGTAATAGCGATTCTGTAATTAAATTCAAAAGACCTGTGCTTTATGAAGACTAAAATGTTTATAAGGAACAAGTTGAGAAAATAATTGTGATATAACTAATCAAAGATGCAAATAATTAATAGATGGTATATTATAAGCGATTTTAAAATTTTCAACACAACAATTTGTGCAATACATAAATGTATTTATTAGTAAAAGAATTTGAATTCTATTATCAACATTTATTATATTATATCATATAAAAGTATATTAGAATTTGAATGACATTTTTTATAAAACTGACTAAAAATCAAAATTTTCACAAAACAATATTAGATCTAGGAGGGTTCTTGTAGGGTAAGTTTAGAAAGAAAATGTTCATTTCAAATTCTCGTTATAATTTAAGGATTCTGAAAGAGGTTATGATATTGATTATATTGATTTACAGCATTCAAAACATTCGAACAAACAATGAGTCGTTACAGTAAAGAACATTGACAGAATATCAACCGTTATAACTTTGAATTTTTATGATATAAATTTTCGAAAAATTGAATGGTTTATACTTGAATCCTTTAAAGCTATATAAAAATCGGTATGAATGATCAATGAATTATCGCAAATAATGCATCACTCTAATCTTATTTTTTATGATACATACCAAAAAATTTTAAAGTAATAAGTGGTAAACTATGTATAATCTCGCTCGTAATCACACTAATATGTATTATAGGAATACAATGTGTCTAATACGGTTGGTACAAAAGACAAGCCCCTTAAGTTCACAGTTGATAAACGATGAATAGATATCCGGGTTTCTTTTTCTACCTTGAAAGTGGTAATATGTGTATCCGCCGCAATCAATTGAACACTAGCGCCATCACATTTACTTTGATAAAATCTTAAATCATGATTCAAGCAATTTTTAAAAACTAAATTGATTGTTATGAGTTGTTTATATCTGTCAAGCTAGAAATCGAACATTGCGAGTTAAACAACACGTTATCGTAATTAGTCTTGACGCACTTTTTTAATTTTCATAAAGTTTATATTTGTCAACTAAAAACATCATCCATTTATTCGGCAGTTTTCAACAATTTCCTTTTGACTCGGTACCGCGTTTAAAAAAAATCGCTGGATTTCCCGTTGGAAAATCGAGCAGGATTTGACTGAAATTTGAGAGATTTCAGATCGAAAATCGAGCTGGATTTCCATTCAAATCCTGCTCGATTTTCCAACTGGAAATCCAGCGATTTTTTTTAAACAGGGTAGTTATAAGTAATTAGAAAAAAATGAATACAGAATGAAAAGTGCTTTGGATTAGTCAAAGATGCATACTCATCCTTTCAGCAATTCCAAGTACTTTCTTGTCAAATGAAAAAATCCAGAAGCATCTTCAATTGGCTGATTTGGGGCCCGCCATCTTGAATCTGGATAAACTAATTCCGCTACTTATTACTACAAGCCTGTGTATGTAGTATGTACATGGGTAAAAACGCGAGTAATGCCCCAGCGCCACGCGCGGGCAGCGAAAACGACCGGATTGCTTAGTTTCCAACTCGCTCGCAAAGGGTTAAATAAAATTCAGAAAAATAAACCAACATAGGTTTTCGATAGCAGTAGTTTATCAAAAAATAACGCGTTGAAAAAAGGGTAAAATTAGACCGGTTTCGTGGTTAAAAAAGTGTTAAAGTGTACATAATAAGAAAATCTATTTTCCCAGATTGAGTTACAAACATGAAAAACAAAATTTAGAAGTAATGTAAGCCTATATGGTGAATAAAAACATGGCCGTTGTTACCGTGGATCCGATTCTTTAAGCATAGGAATTCCTCGGTTAACACGGCCATGTTTATCCCCACCATAGGCGTACATTACTTCCCAACAAGACAAATGCTCCCATTATTGACTACCCTCCCCTCTCCTTTACCCCAAAAAACAACAAGTTTTTCTTGTTGGCCATCATTTGATTTTCCTGAGAATCGGTCTTGAAAAAGTACGGCCCATTTAATGGTTTCTAGGGGCAAATTGGGCTCGACCCTCTTGGTTTTTTATCAATCTTTGACTTCATAAAATAGGCTTCAAAACAGATAATTTCTAAATCTTGAGCCCTCAAGGGTCTATATTACAATTTCATTGTCAAAGCGTAAAAAATTCGTTTAACGTAATATTTCACAAATAATTCGGAAAAAAGCATTTCTACTATTTAAGATCAATTTATACCGTTGAAAATTGAAAATGTGCTTTAAAATTGGTTTTTAAAGTCATTTCCTATACCTTCTCTTTTGATCTTTTTATTGGAAAGAGTGGTAAATTTTACATAAAAATCAAAAGAAAGTTATTTCGATTTTTTTATTTTATTTATTTATTTTAGGATGTAGTGCATATGCACTACGTATACCCCCAGGTTTTCCCTGCCCCACAGGTCTTCGGGCCTGGGCAAATGCGAGACAGTAGGGAGGGGGGGGTNGGGGGGGGGTAGTTAACTCTTCCTGCGCACGGGCTCCAAGCCTCCTGCAGGCCCTTCTGAGAAGCAGGTGTCTAATAAAGAGAGAGAGAAAAAAAAATGAATGAGTAAAAATAAGTTTAATTTTTTAATTTGTTCATAATTATTGATAAGTATCGTTCTGGGCTCTCACACACGAAGAAAAAATATTCTGTGAGGTTCTATATAATAGAGATAAAATTTTGAGTATGATTGATCATAGGTTTAAAATTTAGAATAGAATAGAATAAACACGTTGAAAATAGTTTCTGACGTTTTCTTTTCTATTTTAGCTGAATTTTTCCCGGTAAAGTAAATATTATAGACTGGTCACTATTTTCCAAATTACAATTCCAGACTCTTGAATCACTAGTTTACGACCTAAAAACAATAACTAAATATTTTAAAGCTGGTAAGCAAGGGCTTGGACATTGTTTATAATCACAAATAGGTTTTATCGCTATTTTTCACGATTTCCGCTTTTCCTATGGCTCTCATAACTTATTTGAATGTCCTATTGGGCGATGGGCATCAAACTTTATACATAGATAAAGTATGTACAATATGATGGCCTCGGAGATTAACATGCGTTTAAGGAAGCTGTAGTGAAAATGAAAAAAACTTTAGATCGAAGTGAAAATTTAACCGATGATAATTTACGAATTTACAAGATTTTTGGTAAAAAAAAACTTAAGAGTATCCTTGCAAGCTTGGAAAATAATGAGACCCAAATTTTTGTCCATTTAACATTGCCTCTTAGGGGAATCAGCAGTTTTCCGTTTCCAAAAAGTCATTACTTTTTTATTTGCTTGGAAACACGCATTTTTTATTATACACTCGGCAACAAAATTATCGCAACAAAAAAATTCATCGAAATTTTGTCGATTTTCAAATGTTTCTATCTTGGGCTAGATTTATCGTATCGACACGCTTTTTTTTTAATTTCTTGGAAATTTTGTCCTCTTTAAATCCATATAAATTAAGATAAGATTTGAATTAATGTTGAGTTACCAGTAGTATTTGAGCGTGACCCTAAAAATTACTGAAAAAAAATGACTGTTTGAACGTGTACCAGTACCACAGTGATTTTTTTATCGAAATTTAACAAACACCATCGCAAAGTGCTCTTTTTAACGAGTAATTTAAAAAAAAAAGACCTCTCTACGATTTTTTTAACGCCCTGTAGGTCGATTTGAAGGTACGGTTTATGTACGCATAATGCCCAGAAAATCGTCTTGATTTCAGGTAAACGGGGGATTTTACGTACTTTAAATGGTATCTTCAAAATGACCTACAGGGCCTTAAAAAAATCGTAGAGAGGTCCTTTTTTTTCTAAATTACTCGTTAAAAAGAGCACTTTGCGATGGTGTATGTTAGATTTCGATAAAAAAATCACTGTGGTACTGGTACACGTTCAAACAGTCATTTTTTTTCAGTAATTTTTAGGGTCACGCTCAAATACTACTGGTAACTCAACATTGACTCAAATCTTATCTTAATTTATATGGATTTAAAGAAGACAAAATTTCCAAGAAATTAAAAAAAAAAGCGTGTCGATACGATAAATCTAGCCCAAGATAGAAGCATTTGAAAATCGACAAAATTTCGATGAATTTTTTTGTTGCGATAATTTTGTTGCCGAGTGTATATTCGAAAGCTAATGAAATTTCCTGTAACATATATTAATTTCATGAACTTGTAAAATGATTTAAGCCCACAGTAAACGAAAAACTGCCAATTCCCATAAGAGCCAATGTTAAATGGCCAAAACTTTGGATTTCATTATTTCCTAAGTTTGCATGGAAACCCCAAATTTTTTTTACCAAAAATCTTGTAATTTCATAAACTATCATCGATTAAAATTTCACTTCCATCTAAAGTTTTTTTATTTTCGCTGCAGCCTCTTTAAATTAATTGTCCGACAGTGGAATGTGACAACATAATTTTTATGTAAATTTCTGCGAGAAATCCGAATATTGAATAATTTTTTACCTGAACCTCCGGGAAAGTCGTAAAAATTTTGCTGTGAAATGTAAGGATATGAACAATGTAAAAAAATTTAATTTAATGTTATACTTTATAAAAATATTTTTCATAATAAACGCTCATGATCGTTAGGTTAAGTTTGAAAAAACTTGAGAGCTATTTTAAATATTTTAATAATTCTCCACGAATAAGTACTCTATCAGTTATTCTTTATTAGTTTTGTTATTATTTTATTCATTCGCCTCAATCATTTGGGATATACACTGTCAATAGTTGATTGTTGGCCTTAAAAAAACTTTTAAAAATCTCATGAGTTACAGTCATTTTTCCGGCATGAGCATTTTCTAAAATTTTTTTTTAAATTATTAAAAAATAAAATAATATTAAAACTCGTAATATATGAAAAACTAATTACATGGCTCATGTTACAACTATTCGTAGTTCATACCCTACTCAATTTTCAAATTTATAATTAACTAAATCTTTTATTTAGTTAAGTCGTCATTCATCTGTCATTTGTCATAATTTTATCATTAACTTTGTTCTCAACACATTTGAAAACTGAGCGAAAATCAAAACTTTTATTATACTGCTCTGTCGGGCCTCTGGGGTCTTATCTGGACTAACTTGGAGTGATCTCTTCGATACAACTGCGGGTGCTGCCGCTTAACAATTCTCTTTGTAACTAAATAATCGATATCGCAAAGCTGCATTATTGCATATTAAATGCATCTTCATGCGAGAGAGCATGTGCATATGTATTTGTAAATAGTATAATGTTCATATTAATTAATATTGAATGCAGAACTTTTCGAAATAAATGTTAGCCAGTTTTATCAGTATTGAAATGAAATTAACGGCCTCATAAAAATCATTTGGCACTCAGATTGGCAAGTTTTTGTAAAATCTTAAGTTTTATTTGTACACCATAAAAGTTTTGCATTAATTCGAAGTAGCTTTTAGAAAACTTCAAAAACGTAAGCGAGCTATGAGTACTTTGGCGTGATAAAGTTAAATTTTGTGAACAGCAGTGATTCAAGCAGAAGCCAGAAAATTGAATACAGTCAGATGACGTACAGGCAGGCTTTCGGACGCTCTTTAAAAATTATAATTAGTGACTTCTTATAAGTTTTTGCTTCCAATCCCAATTCAGAATTTGGCAGCGAAAGGTTCTGCCTTAATGATGTTATTTAGTTATTATATATAGGTGCCATGACATTGTCAACATTGTAGTTTTAAGCCGGTCTGTCTAATTGACAAGTATGTATATAATAGCATATGTATATGCTTGATACACAATACACACTCATAAACTCAACGTTCACGCTTAGAAGCTAGCGCCGCCGTCTATGAGCAGTTGAGCTAGTACGAGCATCAGTGCCTGCAAACTGCACGCCCCGCCTCCAAGTACCAAAATTATATCCGATGTGAGTGACACTCTTGTGAGTTGATAAAATCTGTGCATATCAAGACTTATTTCGCGCTTAAATAAACATGATTAAGTGAAAATTATACCCCAAAACTCTCATCGACAAACATTTTAGTGTAATCGATTCCTCCCGCAGTCTTAGCATCTCCTGATGCATCCCAGGATCGTTCATGTAACTCATCACTCGCTGACATGAAGGTACGAGACACCACCGGCTTATAATTCACTTCCTGCACCACCACGTACGAGGGCTATGCGAAAATTGGTCCAACGTCATGGGTGCTCAACAGACCAAAGATAGGGTAATAACCCAAGGTACTGTGGTTAGGCAGACTCGCAAACAACCCAGAAATCCCAAAGATTCAAGAGCAATGGGATCTAATATCTTCACAGAACATAGTGGTATGTTTCATGAAACCTTTGATATTAACATTGCATTTTCAATTTCTCTTGCTCTCTCTCTCTCTCTCTCTCACTCTCTCTCACTCTCTCTCTCTCTCTCTCTCTCTCTCTCTCTCTTTCTCTCTTTCTCTCTCTCTTTCTTTAACTTTTTTCATTTATCCTTTTATCAGAATGAATTATTTCATTATAATATCAATTCTTCGAAGTAAGTATTAAGACTCAAATGTATTAATATTATTATTTTAAAAATTATGGAAAAAAACTTGGACTGCCACAAATGCTTTTCCAATAGTTATTATTAATAATACTGTTTAATTCAAATAACTGGTAAAAGACTGGTATTTTTTTTTAGTTTTCTTGTATACTTATGATATCTGTGAATTACAACAAGCATGATATTTAATTTTATTATTGAGATGTCAAAATATTTCATGATTGAATATTATAAATATTTTTCATGATTTGTATTAGAATCTCTTGTAATAAAACTAACATTGTGATCTTTTAATTTTCAATAATTGTCATTTAAAACCATCTTTTTTATTCATCACAGAAGCTCTACTTCAGAGTAGACCTCTTCCACATATTCCAGCCTTGCCAGAGAGTGATCCACCAAGTACATCTAGTACTCCATCAATTTCACAACAATCTACTTTGGATCAACATGTCACTGTTACATCAAGTGGGCTTCTTGAAGCTGCAAATAGGTTCAATATATTTATATTTATATATTATTTTTAAAGATAATATTTTCTTTTAAAGTATTATCAGAAATAACTTTTGTTCTGATACAATCATGTTGTTAGTGAAAAGAAAAAAAATGTTCAGTTATTTATATTTGAATTATAAAACCGATATAAATTATTTATAATAGATGGACTAGTAAGGAAAATCTCTTAGCTCAAGAAGAAGACGATCCACAACTTTTTGTTGCTCTTTACGATTTTCAAGCAGGTGGAGAAAATCAGTTGGGTTTAAAAAAAGGTATGAAACTATTAGTATATTTTTTTTAAAAAACAATAAAGTTTACAACTTTTAAAACGTATTTCTTAATGACAATTCTATGCATATTATCAGGTGAACAAGTTCGAATTTTGAGTTACAATAAAAGTGGAGAATGGTGTGAAGCTCATTCAAGTTCTGGTCAAGTTGGTTGGGTACCATCAAACTATGTTACCCCAGTTAATTCATTAGAAAAACATTCATGGTACCATGGTCGAATATCCCGAAATGCTGCTGAGTATCTATTAAGTTCTGGTATAAATGGAAGTTTCCTTGTCAGAGAGTCTGAAAGTAGTCCAGGTCAACGTAGTATATCATTGAGATATGAAGGAAGAGTATACCACTACAGAATTAATGAGGACAATGAAGGAAAAGTAAATGATATTTAAATTTAATTACTAATGAATTGAAAAAATGTATCAAATGATTCAACCAATAACATTTTGCAGATGTATGTAACAACAGAGAGTATTTTTAATACATTAGCTGAGCTAGTGCACCATCATTCTATGCTTGCTGATGGACTTATAACTCAACTTTTATATCCTGCTCCAAAACGTAATAAACCAACTGTATTTCCACTAAGCCCAGGTTTGAACTAGTTTTTCATGTTAATGATTATCTGTTATTTTTGTATATTTATTTAAATTTATACTTATAGAGCCAGATGAATGGGAAATTAATAGGACTGACATTGTGATGAGACATAAACTTGGAGGGGGGCAATATGGTGATGTTTATGAGGCAGTATGGAAAAGATATAACATGACTGTTGCTGTAAAAACCTTGAAGGTTGTTATCTTCATTATTTGAAAATAAAATTCTATTTATTTGATAATTAAAAATTAAATTAATATTTTGTAGGAAGATACTATGGCATTAAAAGATTTTTTAGAAGAAGCAGCTATAATGAAAGAGATGAAACACAGAAATTTGGTACAATTGATTGGAGTTTGTACAAGAGAACCTCCTTTCTATATTATTACAGAATTTATGAGTAAAGGAAATTTATTAGATTATTTACGTAATGAAAGTAAACATCAAATTAATGCTGTAGTATTAATGCATATGGCGACACAAATAGCTAGTGGCATGAGCTATCTTGAGAGTCGAAGTTTCATTCATAGGTAAATTATTAACTGTTTCTAAACAGCAATAAACAGCTACTTTGAAATCGATTTAACATGATACTGTTTCGACTTGCAAATTAACATAATAATCATCATATTGATTTGAGAATTTACTCAAAAATATATGTATACATATGTTCAATACTATGTTTATTTGCAAGCCAATACGTCATAACGAATCGAGCACAGAAGCTGCATCATTTTGCAAAGAAGTATCAAATTACGTGTAATTAGGGAAGTAAATAGTAGATGGATTTTTATTTACTTCCTCAAGTGGATTATACTAATTGCCTTGAATATTTAAACTATAAATAGATATTTTATTTCGTCTATATGCTGAAGAAAGATACATTATGTTGCATAGCATGCTGGGTAGCATGAGAACCAATTAATTTTATAACTAAAATTGAACTTTTTTATGTCATGCAGAGATTTAGCTGCTAGAAACTGCTTAGTTGGGGAAAGCCACCTTGTTAAAGTGGCGGATTTCGGATTAGCCAGATTAATGAGAGATGATACATATACAGCTCATGCTGGTGCAAAATTTCCTATAAAATGGACAGCCCCAGAAGGTTTAGCTTATAATAAATTTTCAACAAAAGTAAATGAGTATAATTTTTAAATGATTATTATGAAATTCTTAAACTTAATGCCTTTTTAATTTTTTTAGTCTGATGTTTGGGCGTTTGGTATTTTACTATGGGAAATCGCTACTTATGGTATGTCTCCTTATCCTGGAGTAGATTTGACAGATGTATATCACATGCTTGAAAAAGGGTATAGAATGGAATGTCCTCCTGGTTGTCCACCTAAAGTATATGAATTGATGCGTCAATGTTGGCAATGGTCTGCCTCTGATAGACCAACATTTAAAGAAATACATCATTCTCTAGAGAATATGTTTCAAGAATCAAGTATAACAGAAGGTAGAGTATTTGTTGAAAATATTTATATATTAAGTACCTGGACCATACTCGTCGTTAATCCCCAATCAAAAAGTAAAAATGTTGCTTGGCTTGTTGTCATAAGATGATTCCTGAATCTTAGATATCACGAAAAAATTATATTTCGATTAATTTATTTCCATAGAGGTCGAAAAACAATTGCAAGGTAGTGGGTCACAAATTCAACTTTTACCAAGCAACAAATCACAAACAGGTAGTTCAACAAATATTCATGGACTTGTTCTTTCAACCGAACAACTTTCAAATAGTATGCCAGGTAATAATGCAATGACCAAATTGATATAATTTATTATACATAATTGATCTACGTAAAATTTTTTTTTCATATTTTAGAATCAAGTTCTGGCGGGAAATTGAGCACATTTACAGGAGGATTTTCAACAAAAGGCAATAGCAGTTTAGTTCAAATGCGAAGATCAACAAATAAAAAAGGCAAACAAGCACCTGCTCCTCCCAAACGCACAAGGTCAGTTTTTATATTAGTGTTTATAATTTATATTTCAATGATTAATTTAAATAAAAATGTTTATTGAATTGATGATTATCAAAAGTTCAGAAAATTCTATTTTGCATATTAGTAAAAATAATGCATTGTGAAAAATTGACATTTTTTACAAGTAGCAGCATATAGATCAAATTCTATATTTCTTCTTGAATAATTTGAAAAACGAATCATATAAATGTGATCTTAAAATTTGATAAAATATGTATGATACTTAAAAGTATGGGAAATGAGATAGAACATTAACGTTGAACTTCTAAAAATTCTAAATAAAATTAAATTTACTTACTCATCACTTTTGTATTTGCAGTCTTCTTTCATCATGTAGCTCTTTCCGAGATTCGGCATATCAAGATCAGGATCATCAAAATACAGATGTGCCAAATGTTGTATTACACGATAGCAGTGATCTAAATGGTATTGACAAGATTATTCAAGGTATTTTGTCATACGAATCAGTCCGAACTGACAGTATTTTTTGCACGCATAGTAAAAATTACAACCCTCCCTAACCTTGCTGTTGTAAACAGCATCACTGCAATTAAATTATCTTCTATAGTATAATTACAATAAATATACATACATTTAGTTAATATACATGTACAATATTTATATAATTATAAATTATGTTTATAATAATATATATATTATATATGTATATACTTTCAAAACATAAATTAGTAATTTGATCCAAGAAAATTAAAAAAGGTTGCATGTACCCAAAGAAAAAATACATAGGAAATAAGTACCAATGTTACTTACCTATTTCCCTGTAGAAGTAATCATTGAAGTTGCCAAGAGTTATCACAATTCAATTTTACAAATAATTTTCAAATCTTTGTTTGTAGAAGATACTGCATTTAACAAAAAATTTTGCATGAATCACAAATTTTTAAAAGGCATATTCGATTTTTATTGCATCATTTTGAGTATCCTTCGATAATAGTTAATTGAAATCATTAGATTACGCTTATTTTCACATGATCATCATATGATAGGCCAGTCGTGGAACATTTTTTTATGTGAAAATATTTTACAGCAAACTGACTGCACTACCTTGTAAAAAATAAGTCTTGTCGTGAATAATATGATATTTGATCTGAAGTGATATTGATTTTGGGGTCTCTACTGATTCTTGCTTAAACCTTTCATTAAGTTTAATATAATCTTCTTAGGAGTAAAAATAGAAAAACTTATAAACTTTTTTATCAAAGTGAATGACAAAATATTATGAGCTAGTATTATTGAATTAATTATAATTAAGTATTTATTTTATTTTCTTATAACATTGTTTTGCAGTCAAATTGAAGTAAAATGCATTATTTAAGGAGATGGCAAAGCCAGCTCAAAAATAAAATGTTCAATTCAGTTTTCTAAAACTTTTACTAAATATTTCATTAAAAAGCTTTATACTGACCTTCCTTTTGAGGTCTTTAAGGGCATTATAAAGCTTTTTAGAGAAATATTTAGTAGAGGTTTCAGAAAAATGGATAGAAGATTTGATTATTGAACTGACTCTGTCATTCTCTTAATTGGCCTATTAATCATGGGTAGAATTCTTCAATCATTTCAGCACTATGAAAATTAATCAATCATCTAAATTTAATTTTTTCATGCTATTTTTACGCTTTCCACCATTCAAGCAGTGTTAGGTGATTTTACATGTTACCACATGAGATGATCATCTTCAGTTTATCTCATTGGTTATTATTAACATTTTGCTGTGTATACCATCATTATCATTATCATCAGTATGTTAGTTTTATGATTTGATTTATGTCATTATGGTCATATGCATTGCAGTTACTATGAAAGATATTATAAAAAAACAAGTTCTTATTTGACAATATGCACTTTACATTACCGACTTTCTCATTAGATATTGCTATATGTGTATGTGAAAGAATTAAGAATTGAACAATATGAACCTCTTAAATTTTTTATAAACTTACATTTTTTCCGTTAAGATGAAAGATTATTAAACAATGTCTAAGAAAGAAGATATACCGAGAACTTTATTTCTGAATTCTTAATTATAGCGAGATAAAGTTTGATCAGAAGCATCAATAAATATTTTATAATAAATAAATTTTCATGTTAGATATGAATTCAGGAAAAAAATTCTCACAGTAAAATTGGTGAAAAATTATTTCAAAATTTAATTTCGAAAAAAGGAACATAATTAAGATTAAATAAATCTGAATATTAAACTATACTGAGCTTATTGCTTCGCCACTATTTTAGAGATATACTTAAAAATCCACGATTCATTTCTATATGGAACAAAATATCAATATTGTCAAAGACTTTGTTGATGATAGTTAAGTTGAGTGCTATTCATAAGAATAATCGGTACATGTTGAAAGAAAGCAAAAAATACTGTGGATCTGGCAGATACGTAAGACATCGTAGGATAAATTTAACGATTAAATGCGTTAGAATCGGTACTAATTAATATTTTGATAAATATACAACTAAATCGGCTACCAATGCGAAATCGAACGTACAAACTCAGGAGTAGTGCGAGATACGACGACGGGTAATAGTCAATCAGCCAGCGGTGCCGATTGGGACATGGAACACGACGGGGACAGCTCTCAAGGTGGCGGCGGTGGCGGTGGCGCTAGTACCAGTGACGCGAATTTCGGGACGCTGCTGTCCATATCCCCAGAACCGACGTCCAATCATAAACGATTAACAAAGCCACGCGCACATGCGTCTAAGGAAGTGCTGCCACAGAAGGTATCGTTAACTACTGCCATTGTCTATCTATCTCAATCATTTTCTACAGTTCTGTACAGTACACGAGGATTCAGCGCTCGTTCACGATCGCGCGGGTATGCGTCAGCGTGCTTGAGTCTAAACCGCTTATTCGCCAAACCCATTGCACTCTAATGACATGCAATAGTCTGTGGAAGCGGCAAAAATGTAAAAACACTTGGCATTGCTTGAATGCTATTGCGTCAGAGACGCGATTTACCTCTTGTACCTTTGTCTTTTGTATACACGAGATATGATTTTATACGATACAATTTTGAGATAACACCGAAACAATTGTTTTTTTTTTACAGCTGGTACACGTGGGAGCTTTAGAGGTGCAAAATGTTAAAAGGGCCATCCACCGGTACGGAACATTGCCGAAAAATGCACGCATCGGAGCTTATTTGGAAAGCTTGCGTCAGAGCGGGACTCCGGATAGCGAAGGAACGAGTGCCATTGGTATCGATCAGCACGAGTCATTCGAGGCACCGGCCAGCATAAATTGCAGCCTCATGGAGCGCGCGTCCAATCGAAATCAGCTGCAGCAACGCCAGCAAAACAATTCGCTCTCGCCTCGCCAAAGCAAATTGCGCGGCTCGGCCCAGATGACGCGTAGCAATTCGTCGTCGGGCGTTGTCACGCCTCAAAGTCAAACTCAAACGCAGACTCCGCACTCAGCCCGCAAAATGTCCGAGTTGAGAACTTTTTGTGCTCCTGTACCCCCGCCTAGCTTTCGGGGGCCCAGTCCGCCGCGACCGACACAGCCGAGTCTGGCTGATCTGGAGTTTCCGCCTCCGCCCCTCGATCTACCACCTCCACCGAGTACGGACCTGCTCGGTACAGCCGATCCTGGAACGACGGACCTCGAATGCTCCGAGCCTTCGGCGATAGAAGCAAGCTCTCGATTCGGTGTAAACTTGCGTCCTCGTCGCGAGCGTTCGGCCGAGCCAGCGCTTCGAACTATGGCCGATGCTTGCGGTCAGACTTCGCCCCAAAAAGCGAGCGACGCGCTTGAGCTACCTCTACCTCCGCCTCCACCACCACCACCTCAGGAAGAGCCAGCTGCCGCCGGTGCTTCGTTCAGCAATAAGCCCGGCATGAAGGAGCTGCTCGAACTCAAGCTTATCAATGAGATCAAACAGAGCGGCGACGACGGTGAGCTACCAGCGCCGATGCGTGGATCGACCGGAAGGCGCTTCGATCCCGCATCCCAGCTATTATCGGAGCTGTGCGCAGGTTTGGCGCCACCCGAGTACGCGAGTACAAACGTTATACCGTCCGTTGAAAGCCCTGAACCTACCGGCTTGGGATTCAAATTAAAGCGAGTTGAGCGTAGGCCCAAGGAGGACACCGACGGTGCAACAATTATCGATTTCAAAGCCCGCTTGCGAAAAGTTGAGCCCGGTGAGCGAGCGCCTCCCTCGCCAAGTTTCGGTTTGGCCGTTGACGAGCGTAACGTTCCATCGGCCTCGGACTCGGATGAGCCACAAGATGACAAACGATGCAGCACCGGCAGTATCAGTAGTTTGAAAAAGCTTTGGGAGACCAAAGAGCAAGAGCCGATCCCACCCTGCAGTCCACGTGCCCCCCATCGAAGCGAAGAACCGACGGAGGAATCGCCGGAAGAAACGAATACTGCCTCGTCAGGCCGCCCAGCAACTTCTACGAGTGCTACTCGCAATTGGCCACCATCGGCACGCGAAGCAGAATCTGAGAAACCTGTGGTGCCAATGAAACCCAGCAAACAACAACCCACTGCCTTGATCAAACCGTTCGGATTGTCGATTTACGCTACGCCTAACTGTCATAAATCCCCCGAAATTGGAAATAGCGAATCTGCAGACGCTAAAACTGGAAAACAGTCCATTCTTGAGATCATCAATGTATTGGAGAACAGCATCGTTAGTCTAAAAGCCAACCCGAACAGTGCAATTGCTAGCTGGCTGCAGCTCTCCGATAAAGTTGGATTATTGCACGGAATGTGTACCTGCTATGCGCAAGAGATGTCGGAGCACGTACCTGCTCATGCCAAATTTCAATTTCGCGATGTATCTTCACGGCTGGAATTGCAGGCACGACACTTACGTGCTGCGGGATCTCGTAATGTTGATGAAAATACGAGGCTTCTCAACGATTTGTACAACACGGTCAAGGATGTGAGCAATGTCGTACAAAGATAAAGCTAAGGAACTACAAAAGCTTTTTGTTTATTCTTTCATTACGAGTAGTATTTGTCTAACAAGGCTTCAAAATCAATGATAGTGCGAATTCAGCTAAATTCGGTCGAATGAATACAATGTGCTAATTGCTGAAAATTGATATATCCTACGATCTAAGTCATTAAACCACTGTCCAATGACCGAGACTGACCGGAGGACCTGGCATCCAGTGTCTCACCGCTAGAATAGACATTATACTGAGCGTTATTTTTATGATCGAAATGCAACGATTGCAAAATTTATCTACTTGTGTATTTCGCGAATCTATTGACAGATGCTTAAATAATCATCGTGCAGTTACAATTTATTAAATTATACATAAAAAAGTATTTATTCTCTCACACCGCTGAAACTATTAGAAAGTGATGTATACAATACAAATGCAAATGATTTGCTGATGCAGAAAATTGCATGATCATGTAGACTTAGGATTAAAAAAATGATATTGTTGCTGTGACACTCTTCTCTTTCTCTCTCTCTCTCTCTCCCTCTCTTTCTCTCTTCATTTGGCTCTATCTCCATGCATTCATCTATCCATCCATCTTTTTTTCATAAAAATATTATATATAATTTTATATAACTGTTTACGACTCATTACTAACGTAATTTTTATATATTGTAATTACTGAATATTCTGTGCGCTAAATCTATGGTATTTTAAGTCTATTAATAAGTAATTTTTATGTTTTTCCATGTGTATTTTTAGAATGAGACAATATTGATAATGATTTTCTGTCTATGACCAAGTCAGATTAATGACTTTATTGTATCGCTACTTTTCATAAAATTAGAAACAAATTAATGAGATTTATCAAAATAAACAACCGTATGTTCAAACTTGTCAGAGTGTCGATATGATTGTGAACTTGAAATGTTTTCCTGTAATTAAAAATCGACATTTTGTTGCTCTACTAATAGTGGTTTTTTTAATAATAATTATTATTATCAAAGATAGTACAAGCTCTACTGTAAAGAGCATGTGTAAGAGCATAATCAGTTGTGTTTTTTATGTAGAATTGTATTGAATTAAATCATATGAATACAAAAAATAAAAAATCGAAAATTGCACTAAAACTTTTGTTTTATCATTGTGTATATTAAAATTGATCAATTACTATTCCGATTTTTTGCTCTCTGCATAGGTATATTTTCATTTATTTAACTTTTTAAGTTTTATTTACTTAACAAGTTTTTTGGAAGTATTTAAAATTATTCACAAATATTTGTTACTTTATCAGTAAAATGACAATATAATTTAGCTGGTATGTATGCAAATTGCAACCAGTACACAATCCTTATTTTATTTAAATTTTTATTTTCATCTCGCCTTTGAAAAAAACTGCAGAGCTAAGAACCTTGTCAAATGAGTTATTGTAATTATTTGAATTAGTTTTTGGGTGCTTTTGCAATTGTTTTTTACCGATCATTTCATTTTGGAGACTGTCTAATCGACGACCACTGGATATGACTCAAATAACCCATAATATTGTGGTTTCGCATATGGCCAAAGAATAAAATAGACAGTTTCTTCATTTTTTTGATAGATTCACAAAGGAAAGGTATAATTCAAAATTTACATGACATAAGGTAGATAATGTAAAATTTAAAATAATTTAATTTAACTTAATTTTATATACAGGATACACATGATTGTAAAGCTAACTTTCTAGAGCTTCTTGAGTTCTGAAACAATCACTAACTATTTTCCATTTATCTCCTAAAGCTGTTATTAAGAAATTTTGATTGAAAGTTTTAGCTGATTTTTCATGATAACGAACTTGGCCACTAATTTTAACCAAAAACGTCAATTGGTTAGCCACAGCAGGAACTAAAATAAATACAAGTATTTATTAGAAATTATATTCATTAAATTTTTAGTTAATGTTATTCAATTGTAACTAAATAATTTTAAATTATCCAGATATATTTACCTGTGACTGGCTGAGCATCTAAAGTTATCACTGTGTGATCAGAAGCAGGAAGTTCTGTCCAAAAATGTTGTATTTTATCTTTACCCTCAACACCATTGCCATTCCATACCAAAATAGCTGTATCCATATAAAGTCTTGACATTAACTGTTTTTAATTAAAATAAACAATTGTAATTTATTTATTTCAAGAATCTATAATAATAATATATAATATTATAATTGAATACTTACATATCTTCTTTTATCTAAACTTTCATAGTATAGTTTAGTGAATTCTTCTGCTGTACGACAGGCTTGATCACTTTTGGCTCTGAGGTCCTGGAAAATTAATTTTTATAATAAATCTAGTGAACAGCACATACAATGGAAGAAAAAAGTTTGTTTATTAGATAGTTTCATAAAATTCACAGGAATTAGTTATAGAAACACGTTTCAGTGTTGAATTTTGGTCATAATAAATAATTTAAAGCTTCGTTAATTTTTTTTCGATCATGATTTTATCGTTTTACTTGAAAAAATAATTTTTCATTTATCCACTTATTTATAAAAAAACTCATACGACTTAAAAATATTTGATGATGCATTGAAAAATAAATCTTTGTATGAAAACTATGCACGTGCTTACCTCGTCCATTGTAAATGAGTAATCTTTTTTTATCTTCAACCAACTATCACTATCCTTTCGCAAACGGGTGACAAAGCAATGACAAAAAGACTAATAAACGAACTCAAAATAATTCCATAGGTTACATGGCAGTTTTTCTAAACGTTAGATGTATTCATTCGGCTTAGGTCTCTGGAGGCTGGACTCTGATCTGATGTATATTACTGCAGCGATGTGACGAGAATACGCGTGGCGCTTTGACTGGACCTCTATTTACTTTACTCCGTAGAGAGGTGAAGTATAGTTGAAAGTTGAATTAAAGCATAACAGTGGATGCCTAAGGATCTTGGCTTGACCGGAGTAACGACGCGACTGCCGACGATGCAATGCGCCGAAGCAAACTTTTACGGCCGCTGAACTGAACGGACTGTTGGTTTGATGATGCGATATAGCACACAACCCACTGCTACACTGAGGAGTATATGCTACCGAGCAAGAGAAAAAGAGAGAAAGATAGAGGAGAGTGGTGGAGACTAGATGCGGACGACGCGAGCGCAGTAGACCAAAAGTGCAGAGTGCAGACTGCGAGAGAGTGAGACGGAGCGCCGAACGGAATATAATGAAAACAAGCAGCAGCGAGAAGAGCCAGAGTACAATATAAGAGCCCATGTACTGGCGCAAACGAGTATACACACACACACACACACACACACTGTATATACAGAACAAGTGTGTCCAACTGCATCGTGAGTTCGTATTGGGCCTCAGCAGTCAGCTCCAGCGCAGTAGACAGTGTATAGTTGATGCTTGTTGGGGGCTCTGCCTGCAGCCTGCAAGACTACACACTCTCAGTTCAGGGCACACACACTGTCTACATTCAATAAGAGGAGTTAGCATTAAAGGCAATAGTAACAATGATTCTATTGTAGATATCGTACATGTCTTGAGGCAGTGCACATGAAGTTTACTACCCTACAAGCAGCGGCTTGGGTATGAGTGCGTGCGTGTAAGAGTGCCTAAATTCGAAGCGATACTCGCGGATCGAACCACACGTCCATTGACGTGTCCGACCAGCCAAGACGATAAGTGTCGGGAGTTGCTACCATAGTTTTTGCTAATTGTATCAGCTTTCATGAATCATGATGTGTTTATCCGTTCTGTTGCAACTTGCACTTGGTGTATAAGGCTGAACTCTCTCCGCGCGAGTTAGTAGTGTGCACTAGCGCCATCTATATTGTCAATGTTGTTGAGCTGTGCCGTGCACTGTGCTCCGTAAGTTGAGTGAGCAGCAGCACCAGCAGCGACAGCAGCAGTAGTGGCAGCCAAAAAAGCATCAGCAACAACATTGAGGACGACTAGATAGAAGCTACAGCGACGACGACGTCGACTATTACGGGGTTCGAGAATCAGCAGCAACCTCGCCTCGGTAGTGCAACGATCACGCGCACATCGATGATTGTACGACGACATGGATATGTAAGCGCCGCCCCATTTGTCATTGCCTGCATTTCGCTACCCGCGACTCCGCAGCATTGCCGCCCCCGCGCGCGTCTTTTCTTGCTTGTTTTCGTCTGCATCGAAGGTGGCCCGTGGCTACAGTTCTCTTTGGCTATCCCGTCGAGAGGGCGAGAGTGTGCCATCCACGTACGACCTTGCTGCATTCAAGCTATCACCCCGGGTCCCGGCGGCACACGCGTCCGTGTTTACGCTGATAGCGGCGCCCTCGCTTGCACTCTGTAACCTCGGCCAATGACGCACTACACTATTCACCCGCTTTTGTCACTTCGTCTATGCTATTGTTACGAGTGAGCTTCTTCATCTATCTTGCTCTGTTGCTGCTGTTTATTATCTTAATACCCTGATTTCATCAGTTTTGACGCACCGAATGTTGACCATGACAAGGCCTCCCTATGATGCATATATCACCATAATTATTCTTATGAATGTTGAGGCCCTTGCTCTGATGGCCTGCATTATTTATCAAGTTTTGTTTTACCATTCAATCAATTAAGGGCTTTAAGGAACATTTAACGTTCTTTAACTGTAAACATCATAAAAAAATTAGGAATTTCATCTCATTTTAACATTTCACTTTTCACTCCAAATGTATTGTTACTTAACAAAAATATTCAATCGATTAAATTATTAATTAGTAAAATCTATAAAAATATATGTTAAATTTACTCTACCTAATTGATCAAATATATGTTTATATTTCTAATTTTGTTTGTTTTCAGATTCAGAGTAATATCAATTGACAGATAATCCATTAAAGAACTACCATGTAGTGAGTATTAAATGCTAATAAAGATTCATGTATGAATAAAGTTGTTTTTCTGCTATAGTCATCTGAGGATAAATGCTAAAAATATCCAACCAATGATTTGATGATTATAAGTTAACCGTAATTTATTAAATAATTTATATTGTATATAAATAATATATTGTAATTTAATTACAAAATTTATATTTTTTCTTATCTTCTAAATACGTGATATTTATTGAATACTGGTTCCAAAAATTTGGATTCAACCTTTTTTATGTGTGACTTATGGTAATACAATTTTTGGCATTTATAATCATTAGAGCAAAATAATAATTTAAGCAAAATTCATATTAATGATTAATAAGTTTATATGCATAAAATTATTGTGTTTGATTGAATGTTGATTATTTGTAGGATACGCAAAAATTATCTATGTGTGTCACGCACCAGTAGATTGCTTGGTGTAAAAGAATGGCACAACGAGGGAAGAGGAGCAATAAAAACGACAATGACTCAGCATATAGTCTGGGCCCAATTAAAAGGAGGAAATGCAGGGTGGATTCTTCAGCTACTGATACACAAATATCAGCTGCTACATTGGGTCCTTCTGAAGAAGAAGAAACAATGGCCTCGTCCAGTCAAGGAGGGTCATCATGGACCCCTAGACCTCAAGAAAGAATATCTAACATATACAACAGATCAGTGGCTGAAGCTCCTGCCGAGCTTTATCGCAAGGATCTAATAAGTGCAATGAAATTGCCTGATAGCGAGCCACTTAATCTCAATGATTATTGGGTTATTTCTGATCAGTGGAAGCAAGAGTGGGAAAAAGGTGTTCAGGTTCCTGTAAACCCAGACTCACTTCCAGAACCCACTGTATTACGCATTCAAACGCCACCTTCTAGTAGGCTCTATGGCGAATTCAAGTTGTAAGATATTTGTTCTTTTAATTTAATCATACAGATTTTTAATTACACAAATTATATTAATCTGGGTGTATGTTTATTTTAGACCAAAAAAGTATTTAAGAATCTGCAAAGATGAAGGATTTAATGTTGAGCATCATTTTTTGAGTACTACTCCAGCAAGAGCAGAAAAAGCCTGTGGTTATGATTTAGATGATACAGATATTGCTTGGCTGGAAATTTTCAATGGAGAACGAGCAATGGTAACTCATTAATCAATTTTTCATTTATATTCTATAAATTGAAGATGTTGCTACTATTCCAAATGTATTTTGTTTATCTTAGTGTGGACAATCTTCTATTACTGAGTCACAATTAGAACGAATAATAGAAGAATTGGAACATTGTTGCTGGGATAAAATTCAAATTATATTAAAGAATGAAGAAGGTCTAGGAATTGAATTTGATGAAAATGTCATTTGTGATGTTTGTAGATCTGTAAGAATTTGCTTAATTGAGTAATATTTTTTGATTTTCATTGTATTTTTATATTAATGACCATAACATTTTTAGCCTGATTCTGAAGAAGGCAATGAAATGGTTTTTTGTGATTTTTGCAATATTTGTGTACATCAAGCTTGTTATGGTATCACTTCAATACCAGATGGATCATGGCTGTGCAGAATGTGTACACTTGGACAGAGACCTGCATGTGTTTTGTGCCCTAATCCAGGAGGGGCAATGAAATCCACACGTAGCGGGCAAAAGTGGGCCCATGTATCTTGTGCGTTGTGGATTCCTGAAGTTAGTATAGGCTGTGTGGAAAAAATGGAACCCATAACTAAAATATCCAGTATTCCGGTAAATATTATTTGTAATTGTACAGTTCTTACTTTTTCAAATGATATCACATTCTCTAATGTTAAATTATGTGAAAAAATAGATTTAAAACTTTTTATAAAATTTTTAATCAAAAATTTTTATTTATCAAACTAATTTTACCACTTTTAATTTTTAGCAAAGCCGATGGGCTTTGATATGTGTACTTTGCCGAGAACGTATTGGTGCTTGTATACAATGTAGCATAAAAACGTGCAAAACGGCTTATCACGTTACATGTGCTTTCAAACATGGTCTCGAGATGAAAGCTATCATTGAAGATGAACAAGCAGAAGATGGCGTTAAACTAAGAGTAAGATTAATTTCATTAAAAATTTTTAAATAAATAATTTGATAATTCTTTTAATAAATACAATTGTAATTTTTTCAGTCATACTGTTTGAAGCACAGCAAATCAAATGTTAAAGATAAACCTAGCAGCGGAGGTGGTGGAAACGGAAATGAAAAGGGCAGCTCTGATTCTGATGAAGGTGAAGTTCGTAGAAGAAAACGTAAAGATATGAGTTCGGAAGAAAAAACTCAGGCTCGTGCTGCAAAGTAATTTTTGTTCTTAGTTAAAATTATTGACCTAATTCATTTTCATCTGTTAATTTTGAATATATATATATATATATTTTTTACACAGATTACAAGAAATTGAAGCAAAATTTTATAAGCACGTGAGTTTAAAAGATGTTTCAGCTCAGCAATTAGAGGTAGACTTAGATGCCGTCATATCCGTTTATAATTATTGGATACTCAAACGAAAGGTAGAATATTTAATATTACTTAAATCTTTAAAATTTCACATTTAATTATTTTTGTGATTGGCTTGAATTACATTATTTAATGCTGCAAATACAATGAGACATTTTTTTTTAACAGTCTGGTCATAATAAACCTCTGCTACCACCTCGCTGTGGAGAATTATCTGGTGCGGGACTTCGAGCCCAAGGTAAAGCAGCAGATAATGAAAAAATGCGAAAATTCGTACAGTTAAGACAAGATCTAGAACGAGTACGAAATCTTTGTTATATGGTGAACAAACGAGAAAAACTTTGTCGTACTTTCTTACGTCTACGTGAACAAACTTTTTACAAACAAGTGCTTATTGTTGATTTGCCTAATCTACATTCGTCAACACTCTCAGCAGTTCTTGCAGCTAATCATGGTCCTTCAATATATGATCACCTTTATTCGCATGCTGATGCTGATCACCATAACCGTAGTGTTGAATCATTAATTGCTTGTATAGAGAATTCTGATGTACGGGGATTTTCTGGTACAAGTGACAGTGCAAAACATGAACCTAATTTTAATGGTGCAAATAATAAATCTTTGCATTTTAATGGATCAGCTTCTCATAAAAAAATCGGCAATTCAAATCCCTCAGCAGCAAGTGATGAAAGTGAATCTGAACAAAAACCCAGTAAAAGTTCACTGGTTGTTAAATCTGATAAAAAAATGGTAAGTTTATAATTTAAATATGGTGTTTTGAATGTTTCTCACTAAATTTTTTCTTCATTTTGCAGCCTATCAAGACACACATAAAAAATGAAACCGATTCAAGTTCTGACAGTGAAGGAAAGGGCTCTATTGTTAAAAGCAAAATTAATTCAAAACGAAAATCTCGAAAACTTATTGAAAAAGAACGTTTAAGAACATCTTCACGAAAAATCTTTGATGATAGTAGTGAAAGTGATGCAAAAAATGTCAAAGTGGCTTCTGGATCTCGTACACTTCAACATATGGAACTTGAACTTGGAAGCGCATCAGGTAGCGACTCAGATGAACTGATAACTATCCGCAATAAAAGTACTACATCTCACATCGCAGCTACTGCAATGGCTAATATCTATTCAGACACAGATGAATCTTCTCTTGATCGCGTTTCTGTACGTTCAAGTCGTAAATCTAATCTCAATCTCTCTGATCCGAATATTAATTCAAAAAAGAAAGATGAAAGTAAACTTAATATTACAAAAGATGGTAAAGACAAAAATTTGAAAGAATCGTTATTTGATGAAATCACAAAAGAACCAACTTCAAAAAGCAAAGACAAGTCAACGACAAAAAATAAAGAAAGTATCGCATCTGCTCTTATTGTTCCCCAACGACAAGCCGCTAAAAAAGCTTCTGAAAATATCCAGCGCTCTCATAATAAAAAAGAATTAACGTCCTCATCTGCGCCAAGTGATTCTTTGATGGATAGTAAACCACTTATTGAAAAACCGCTTGTCAAGGGCTCAAAAGATAGTAAGGAATCTAAGCTATCGACAATATCTACAACAAATAAAAAATCTAAATCAGATGGAAAACAATCTTCAAAAGATTCTAAAACAATAAATATCAATGATACCGAAAAAGAGGTTGGAGACTCCGCCGACGTTATATCATATGTACCGCAAAGAAAAGCAGCAAAGAAAGCAGCTGAGCATATTAAAAGTGGAATTAGTTCTAAATCAATAGTTCCAATTACTGAAATAGATACGTTTGATAACAAATTGAAAAAAGAATCGGCCGATAATTCTAGTAATACAAATAGAAAAAAGAATGAGACAAAGAAAGAAGATGGTGCTATAAAAGAAGAAGTTTCAATCACGCAAAAGAAATCTGTAAAAAAATCACCATTAAGACTCTCATCCGAATCATCCAGCACTAGTAGTTCTAGCAGTAGTTCCAGCAGCTCTAGTGATAGTAGTGACACCGATGATTCAAAGAGTCCTGAGCCACCTACAAAACATGAAAGCAAAACGAAAGAGCATTCGTTATCTTTGAGCAGCTCGAGTGACAGTGATTCTAGTCCACCTTCGAGTACTCATTCCAAAAGCAACATCTCTTCACCACGAAGTCGGCGAAACATCACCAAAATAATTGAAAATAAATTACTGGAAGAGAACTCTTCTAAAAGTAGTCCGATTTCATCTTCTTCGGTGACGGGACGGAAACTCAAAAAGCTGCCAGATAAGAAGCTTAAAACTTCCGACGGGCGGCATGGACACGAGTTTCAGCCGCCGTGTATTGAAAAAGATGAACCGAACCGAAGAGTCACCACAGCTCTTCACAAGGACGATGCTAAAACGACTGACGAACAGTTGTCGTCCACTGTCGCCAGTAAACATAAATCTACCTTCGAGCTCAAAGAGCCTAGTTCTAAAAGGTCAGAAGTCATTCAATCACAGCAGCAGCAACACCATACCGAACAACAACAGCACGAGTCACAAATTAAGGCTGATGAAAGTTTGTTCAGTGGGTCTCGAGATAATGATGGGTCACGAAATATATTTGGGGTCAAACTTTCTAAAAAACCCACCCAAGTCGATGAACAACAATCGTCCAAGCAACATTCGCCCCAACAAACACCTTCCCATAAGAATATCAAACAAGAAACCTCAAACACGACAAGGTCAAAAACCTCAGATACTCGCAAGCGAAAACCGAATAGTCAAGCAATGCAAAAAGAGGAAAAAGATAGCTGTAGCAAGGATGCATCTCAGATCAAAAAGGTTGAGAAAAAATTGAGCACCAAATCGCGTGATAACCAACCAAGCTCTTTTATTGTTGACCAAGAGTGCGTAAACACTGATAAAATTAGTGCGATTGTGCCTTTGCAAAAGAATGCAAGTTCATCAGTTGAAAGTTCTTCTCCTAGAAGTCGAGCAAAGAAAACAATTAGTCAGTCAAGTGTTGTTACCCTAGAAGAAGAAATGCAGCAACGCAGGGCTGAACGTGATAGCCCTCGAAAATCTTCAAGAGGTTTAGATAAATTATTAGAAAAATGCGAGCATCTAGATAAATTAACCAAGTCAAAAAATGTAACTGAGAATATAACAAGTACTGATAAGTACAAATGTAATTCTACGAAAACAGAAAATGATTTTAAAAGTCATAAAAAAGATCTTTTTGATACACCATTAGCTGAAAGATTGGGTCAAAACAATAAAATAACCGAAGCAAAATCTGATGTTTCAACGAGTAATGCAGAAAGTGGTGAAATATATAAACAACAGCCGCATAAGGATGTTAGTGAAAATTGGGATTTAAAACCTTCCCTTGATAAATTTGACTCTACGAACGATGAAAAAGAGAATAGCAATAAGAGACGTAGATTTATCAATCGATCGATTTTTTCACCGCAACACAGTAGCGGAAAAGATCCAAGTGTATCAGATTTGTTTGATTTTGATCAAGATATTTTGAATGACGACATAGTTAACGATGACGGCTTTACTATACCGCGAGATTCTGAAGAACGCAATGCGTCGCTCTCCTTTTCTTTCAACAGTGATTTACTATTCAAAGAGGAAATAAAAGAAGACAGTGCTCGAGAAACTTTAAATCTCGTTGAAAAGCTTCGCCTCGAAATGTCGAAAAAAACAAATTCTAGTCACATTGATGCAGATAAAAATTTGGTCGATATCAAGCTTAGCAGTCCAAATTTGCCTACACAGCAAACGAATCCAGAAGTCGAACAAATAATAAAAACACCTTCAGAAGCGGTCGACATAGAACTGCTGAAAGCAGATGCACCAAAAAAAGTTGATCGGGTACCGGAACCGGAGCGATCGAAACAATTAGAAACTAAAAGTTGTTTTCCAAATAATAATGAAACATCAGCTCACTATGTTCTTTTTGGAAATCAAGATACTAGTGGAAAAGTTTCAATGGTCGATAGGGCTAAGATGGATCGAGCAGAGGCTGATGAGCGATGGGTTCCACCAAGTAATATTGACAATTTCAATTTAACAGAACCGTTGAATACATTAGTAGAGAATCAGCGTTACGGGATGGCCACCCAGTCCTTTTCTAATGATTTAAGTTCGTCAATTTTATCTCAAGAAAATAATAATACTTCAACGCTCGTTCACTCGCAGTTACAGCACTTGGATGTGCAAGAACAGCAATATATGCTACGAGCTCCTAACGTCGGAATGGATGCACGAGCTGGTGAACAAGCTACGAATCGACTTGTTCAGAATCTTCAGAATTTGGCTTCACTCGTAGAACAGCAAGTTGGAACATTGCCTTCGCATATTGTCGACGAAATTACACCCTTAGAAATAGTTAGTCGGCATCTTGCTGGATTACCTGGAGCACAGAGTGGATCCCTTACTGCAGGTATTTTAACGCTTGACGATGTGCCAAAAAGTGAAATCGAGCGCTCTCTTGATAAAGATTCGATTGGTACTGAACTCACGCGGCAAGATTATCCAAACCAAAGCTCGCCATTCAATGACGTTACAGCTGTTCGCCATGGTCAAGACACTCGCTGGGCTGAGAGCCAAGTTCTTCCATCGCGACGTTCAACTTCTTCATCTATTACCTCATCATCATCCGTTGATGAACATTCGGGAATCTCACCGTATGAAGGCCCAGTTGTAAGCAGCACAGTTGGTTTTCCTCCTTGTCAGCTAGACTCTTACACTGGATTCGACCAACAACCTTCGAGTCAGCCTCAAAACAGCTACGCAGGAGCACCGGTATCGCTTTTTGCAGCTCAGAGTTCGACAAACGCACAGCTACCATATTCCTCGCCAGGCTCTGCACTTTTTCCACCTCCTTTCGGTGCGCCATTCCCTGGAACAACGCAAAATATGATGCAGTCTCATGTTTCTAAAGAGCAACAGCAACAACAACTTGGCGTGCCTCCATGTACTGCAGCATTCACTTCATCTCAGCACAACTTGGCTTTTACAGCGGCAATGGTTTCACCGAGTAAGCTACCTTCTCCGGAGCCTGCTCGAGATCTCTACGTACCCTCGATTGAGGAAGCGCCACAGCCAGCGGTCCCACCACCGCTATCATTGCAGCAACAATCTCAGTTGCCTTTACATCAGCCAGCTCAAATCACGGAGAGTCCAGCTGCCGCTGTGGCTGCGGCCTTTTTAGATAGCGTCGTAGGACCTGATGCAACTGCCGATTTAATTTCAAATACTCCAGCATGTAATGAGCAAAGTAGGAGTCCTGCTAAAAGTACACCCACTCATGGCAAGCGCTCACCGTCTAAGCCAACGCGTACTTCCGCACGAGTTACTTCGCTTCAAGCCAAGTCTCCTGGTAAGTCACCTCGTCAGCAAGTCGAGCCATCGACAAAAAATAATACAGCTAGTGGTCGAGGTCGAACTCGACCTAACAAATCTCAGCAAGCTTCTGGACGAGGTAGAGGACGTGGACGAGGTCGTGGTCGGCCCCGGTCGTCTTCGCAACATAATAGCTTACTTTTGACAGATGATTCCATTCAGCATAAACTTCAAGGTAGTGTTTACGATTTCGATTCAGATGAGGATTCTCCGGCTGAGGCTAACATAGCCGATTTACGCACCATGCGTGAGAGGAAAAAGTCAATAGAATTATCAGGATCTATCGGCAGTGAACGACGCGATAGCTTAAGCAGAGAAACCTTCAGTAGTCCAGCAGAAGCGCAGGCAATTCTACGTCCACCATCTTTGCCTGGAGACGATTCGAATTTGTGCGGTGAATCCGTTGTCCTTCCAGAGCCTGCGATGCCTGCACTTTTACCAGGACTTGCGGAAGTGCGTACCTATAATGCCACAACAAATGTTGAACATTCTTTTAGTAGTCATCTACTGGGACCATATCGAGAGCCAGTCGTCGACGAAAAAAGTGTACTCAATAAGCGCCAACCTGAAACAGACTTTGAGACTGGTGAACCCGGAAAGCTATTAAAAGTCAAGATTAAAGGTCCATTTTTGGATGCCAGCTATGGCGCAGCAGTTGTAGCAAGTACACCTACACAAACTTTAACTCAACCTCTAGTTCCACCTACACCGATTGCAACTTCAGGAACATCGAGTTTACGACGCATGCGTAAAAAAGAACTTTTACGTCAATACTGCTCTCAGGATATGAATATGAATGATCCAGCAGGAGCTGGAGTACCTTCGATTCCTCCAAGTCTCCCGCCTATTAATCGAACAGTTATTACTATTCCTAAGGCGGTTGCATCTATGACAAGCATTCCAACTAAAGAAGATTATAAAGCTGTGGTTGATCAGGCTAACATGGAAAAAGATCTAGACAAAAAACGGCGCAGAGAGCGTGCTCATCTGGGAAATTATGCCCAAGACTCGTCCGACGAGGATACGTCAACAGCTATTCAGAATCCGGCTCAACAACAACCAACTGTTGCGGGTTCTGAACGTCGACGTGGATCTAGTGCCAGTGGAAATAGTGGTAATGAGCGTCGCCGTGGAAGACAGCCAAGACCTATCAGTCAAGGTCCTGCTACAACAAGGACTATAGCCACACCTGTTACTGGAAGCGGTGCTCATCCAAAGCTGAAGATAAAAATTGGTCAATTTGGAGCAGAGCCTACTACCGATGATCGTAGTAGTAGTCGGCCACCGAAAAAACGGCTTAGTAGTATTCCTAGCAGCAATAACTCCGATGAAGTTATGGAAGAATTGAAGCGCGAAAGTCTTAAGTTCCGTCGTCAAATTATGATGGACTTCGAAGGTAATGACGCTCCTGCGAGGACATCAAAACCTAAACGTGACAAGAAGGATAAAAATGGTAAACGCAAGAAGAAAGCGAGCCGTGACAAAGAAGGACGCGTTGAATTTTTAGCTGATGGAACAGCCACGCCAAAACTCATTATTCGTTTGGGTAAAAGTGACGCTGATGCGGCAATTGAGGTTTCGGGTAATTCCAGGCCGTGTAGTGCACCACCTATACAGGATACAACAGCAGCGCGGTTAACTGCTGCCCCTTCCATCAGTGAAGACCAAGTGAATAAATCCGAAATCGGTGCAGCGAGTCACGCTGCTTCTGATAGTTTAGAAAAAATTGAGAAACCTGAGCATTCATCAGTTAGTGCACTTCGAAATGTGCGCGGTGCTAAAGTTTCTCCTATTCGGCTAAAATTAACACGTTGTCAGGAAGGCTATGAACTCAAGTCGGCAGCAGAGGCGGCTGCTGATGGCAAAACAAAAATATCTGATGATACACCTGCAAATATTCAAATTACAGAACGACCGGAACATTTTATTAAAGATAAATCAATAACTGTAGCATCTAATAAGGGTGAAAACTCGACGCAGTCGGACGCTGCAGCAATATCAACACATGATTCATCTGGGTGTCCACCAGCCCGATTACCTCAAGGTTGCCAAGTTAGGTAATAACTATTCATAATTGTATAAAACAAGATCAGTACCAAGACAATGTGATGTACATATTATATTTATATTTATATATACTTACATCGGGCGCGCCTCCTCCTTGTGTTTTTAGATATAGAGTTTACTTGTAAACTAAACTACTTTTAAATTCATATATTGCATTTTTTTAAATATGTAATATACAGTTTGGACGATGGAATTGTTTAAAATATCAATTTAGTTATTCAAGTCGAAGTGTTAGTTGTTTTCGATACTATTAATGTTCTAAAAATATCGAAATTGATCCGATTCTCTACTAAGATGAAAAATTTATTATAAAAAATGACTATTCAAGGCTTGTAATAAACGCAGAGTAGTAGCGATAATCTTAGTTGCTGTAAAATGCATGCTACAATTATTTTTATTCTTATTTTTGCTGTGAAATATTTAATTTTTATTTAAAGTTATATTTTACTATTTCAATTCGAATGTAATGATAACAGTCTTTTGTTTAAATGTTCAATTTATTTACTTTCCGAATATCTCTTTAAATAATTTTCAATTATTCAAATTTCCTATAGTACGAATATTACCTTTAAACTCTCGTAGCAATCGACTTCAGAATAAGTTCTAAATTTGAACAAATACCATAATTTTAAAGCTTTCTTTACCCGTAATATCTCAATGAGGAATAATTGAAATGTATCGTTGTAAAAAGTATCTCTTTTTTTTTAAATTTCGAAAATTTACATTCATGAAAAAGTAAGTAAAAAGATGTCATCTATTTTTTACATCCTCAAAGATGATGATTTAATAATTTTTACACCGACTCTCTTTAAATTTTTAAAAGTACACAATTTTTTAAATTAATCAAAACCAATTACGAAAATTAAAAGCTTTAACATTTAATCATAAATGAAAAAATTCAATTTCCAGTATTTAATAAGAGTATAATATTGTTTTTTTAAATTAAAACAAATCATCATTTAATTCATGATCAGTATTAAATAATAAATGTCAAAATAAAAAGAATTATCGTGATTCGAAGCAATCATAATTAAAAATTCTGAAAATAATATTGTAAAATTTTTTATTTTTAAATTCATCTTACTTTGATATTTTAACAAATTGGCAAATCTCTGATTATCATTTTCAATGTCAAGGAGGTACTTTTTGAATCAAACTAATTAATATTTTTTAAACCGAAGTTGATTGCTGAAAAAAAGTTTTGTTCATTAATAGTTACTATGTATGACATTTTTAACTGCGGTTTTGAAAATATCCGAAAAATTATATAAATAATAAAATGTATTTTAAATAGGAGATAGCCATGACATTATTTAAAGAAAATTTAAAGAAAACGTTAACTAAAACGAAGTTCATGATTGAAAATCTCGCATTAGAAGAGAGCAAAAATCTTTGTTCCCAACAAATTAGGAGTCAAAAAAACATCACATTGTCAACCTTCATTCCAATTGTCGCATAAAACCACAGTATCCAAAACCATAACTTTGAAAGTTGAAAATACCCTTTTTATAAATTAATTTGAGAAATTTAATAAAAATATTTACCTGATGCACAAAACACGTCAAATTAAAAAAAATATGTATAATTGGCGCAGAAGTTAAACTTTTGTTTTTCAAAAACTGTTCAATATAATTTTGTTGAGAATAGAATTCGGCTCTGCATCATAGTGTGAAGAAATTTTCTGCATGAAGTAGAAGCCAAGTTGAATAAGTGTAAATAAAAAATGTGTTTGTTGAATTTTCAATTATAGAAAAATTAATTAACATTAACAATGTAATACGATATTTATATATGAAATAATATGTTGATTGTGCATATACATGTGTAATACTATTATTTAAATTACATAATGATTACATCTTCCGAATCTAGTAACGACGTCTATACAATAGTAGAAACAAGTAAGATCAGCATAAATGAAAGATTTTACTTATTCTTCCACTGAGCTTCAATGATTATAAAGTAAAATAAAATACTATACTCATTATTTTTTGGTGCCAATATTTGGAGTTGAACTGATTTTTCAGACTGGAATTACGATAATTTTATAAAAATCGAATAGTTTATGATTCACCTGTAGGAAAGTAAAATTAAGCATGTTGAAGACTGCTAATAAAAGCAGATCTGAAAATAACAACTATCATTAATTTTTTACTTTCTGAGGTGCTTATACAGTTTTCATTATTACCTCCAGCAAAAAAGTGTCATTATTAATAATACTACTTTCAGCTAGAGTGACACGGAAAAAGTGTATAGTAAACAGATACTAATACATTGTTTATGCTTTAATTCTTATGCACCAAATGTACATGAAGTTTGAGAAATAACTATTGTATAGAAAAGACTATATTATCACTAATTTTTTACACGCTAACGTAAAACGAAAAATAGCAATAAGTATTTTAATATGAAGATTTCATTAAAATTAAAATGAGTGTATAAGTATTTTATTTGTAAGGCTGCAATGTTCACAAGCATCATCAACCAACATTATTTTTTAAAAAGCGCATAAATTGAAAATGGAATGAATTTTATTGCATGTTCAGCATAAATCAAAGTTGAATAAATAACTGAAACTATTTTTTATTTAATCTAGCTGAAGACAAAAATAATCAAAATAAACTTTCAACAGCGATTATTTCATGTTGGTATTTTTCAGAAGCTTATAAAAAATTTTCTCAGTTCTAGCAAGTAAAAAATTTTGTTGTGAATGTTCTGCAATCAAATAATTTATTTTTCATATTTGGTGATTTTAGTAACAATGTTTATCGAATATTCAATTGATATTGAAATTTAAAACCTAATTTGCATAATATATGTAACTTAAACATTTATTTTTATTCTAGGGCTGAAAGATGATTTTTAATTCTATGTTTTTATACCATATTGACTATTTCGAAATTCAAAGACAAAATATTATTTCTACTTTACTATGCCTTGGTACTATATGAAAAAATCGCTGGTTGTAATGACTTTTTTTCTATTACTGTTTATTTTAGTGATTATCATTTGATAGTTTTTGGATGATATTTTTAATTTGAAAGTGCATAAATAATCATGAGAATTTTAAATTATGTTTACTTCTGTGTTATAAACAAACGAAAATTGCCAAGTTTTAAAAGTTGGTGCATCGATTTGAGAATGAGAAAAAAAATTATTCACATTATATATACGTATTCATATATATTAATATATATGAATATATATATACATATATATATATACATACACGACTAGATACACTTATTAATAAATCATTAATGTTAAGAAATGTAAATTAATAGTATAAAAAAGTTTTAAAAGCCTATATATTGTACAGATACAAAGCAGTTTACGTTTAATTATTTTTAAATATTGTTTTTTACATAAGTACTAGACAAAAATATATAATATTAACTATGAATGTAGAAAATTATTAATGATAATGATGAATAATAATATTATAAAACTATCCACGCGTACATGTGTGCGTATGCATATTAAAAGAATGAAGTATCCATAATTATTGTATATAGTGTAAAAGAGAAGCTGGTCTTGTAAGATAAATGATATGGTGTTTTAATGTGCACATAGCCGCGTCATTGTCAATAATTATAATATGATTAATATTACAATTTTTAAAAAAAATGAAGTGCATTTATTTAATTCCAAATCTATTCAAAACTCACTATATAAGATCTATAAAATGATAAAATGTGTAAAACAGCGACTAAATTATGAAATTTTCAAAGAATTGTTTGGCATTAATCGCATAACTAGAGTTACCATTTTTCATACAATATTTGATATTTGATAATATACTGGATCATTTGCATACGTCCTTNTGCAATGGATATTTTTGATAGAAAAACGAAGCTATTACAACGAGAACGAGCAGCATTAGCAACTGATGCCGATGTTTACGATTACATCAAAGATGAAATTGGTTTCAGATTATCAGATAGAGTATTTGATGTTAAACGAAAGTTTAAAAAAGCTTTAGATTTGGGTTGTGGTCGTGGACACTTATCAAAACATATTTTAAAAGAATCTGTAGAAGAGCTTATATTAGCAGATTTCAGCCCTAGTTGGCTAAAACAAGCTAAAACAAATGAAGGTATAAAAGTTGAAAAAAAAGTACTTGATGAAGAACATTTTGTTTTAGAATCAAATAGCATTGACTTTGTTGTTAGTTGTTTAAGCTTACATTGGGTTAATGACCTTCCTGGTAGTTTAAAGTGCATATTAAATTGTTTAAAAAAAGATGGAGTTTTTATGGCTGCAATATTTGGAGGAGATACTCTGTATGAGCTGCGGTAAATATTTTTGTAATTTTTTCATGCTTTTGTTCATCGTCAGTTATTTTAAATATTTGGGTAACTACTATATTTTTAGTGGATCAATGCAGTTAGGAGAAGTAGAAAGAGATGGTGGAATAGCACCACATATTTCCCCATTTACTGAAATCCGGGATATAGGTAGCCTAATGACCCAAGCAGGATTTACAATGATGACAATAGATACAGATGAATTAGTCATTGGATACCCATCAATGTTTGAGCTTCTATGGGATTTAAAAGGTATTACTTGATAATTGGTTTTTATTTTGTAGTTTTCAACTTCAATTTTTTAATAGGAATGGGTGAAAGTAATGCTGTTAAAAACAGAAAGTTACACATGAATAAAAATACCTTATTTGCTGCATCAGCAATTTATGATGAATTATATGGTAAGGTTGATAAAGTTGGAAAAAAATATATACCTGCTACCTTTCAAATAATATACATGATTGGATGGAAACCTGATGAATCACAACCAAAATCTCTAAGACCAGGATCTGGGCAAATATCGCTTAAAGATCTCAATAGGATTGATGAAATAATAAAAGAAAAAACTAAGACAAAATTATCTAAAAATGAAGAATGAGTAGGTAACATTGTTTTATATAATGTAAATACTTGCATAATATAGTAAATATAATTTATTTAGTTGGTGTAACAAAAAGTGTATTTCGTGAATATTATTCAGTGAATTTCCAACTTAAGTATTACTTTTATGTTTCACAACTCCTTTTTCTATAAGTTCTGGAATTTCAACTGCTAACCATGGTCCGAGCTAAAAATTGAACATTATATTTCTTAGTATTTTGGATGTTAAAAGTATTCAGAAATCAAAACAAAATGTTATATTACTCCTAGAGCCATGGCGTGTCCAATTCCAAATTTTGGAACATTTCTTGCCCAGAGAGGCTTGAAGTGATCAGTCAAACATATTTTTCCTCCTCTATACATTTTGGCTGTTTTTCCATCTAGTTCAGGTAGAGCTATTTCAGGTGCAGTAGTAGGATAGGTTATTGGAATCTATGAAAAGTAAAAAAGTAAAATTCAACCAACTTGCATTCATCATGGTTAAAGAGTCTAAGAAATTTACTTACATCAAACTCTATTTCAAACTCATACTTCAACAAGTTATGAACATACCAACATTTTCCAAACCATTTTGTACCTTGCTCATTAGATTGTAATCGAAACCAGTCATTATCTGCATTCTTATTATTTTCTACATACTGTAAAATAGAACAGACTAGTATTAATGAAATTTAATTTTTCTGATATGTTTATAAAACAATAGAAAAATCTCATAAAATAACGTAAGAAATTGAATTAAGTAAAACATGTTGATTATGAATTAATACCAAACACTTACTTTGATGAGAGATAAATATTCTTCTTTCAAACGCTGACCCCATAAATTGGAATCTCTAGGTCCAGCTTTTGTTTTAAGCAAGGGTATACTACTTAGAGTTTTTCTTGTAGATTCATCAACCATATTGATTTTTACAGACAACTTTTCTTTCAAATAAAGAATATAACATTCAAAATTTCCAAATGGTGTAAATATATATGTATAGAATACGAATTCTCACAAAACTGTGAAACATATGTCAACTGTCAAAAATCATGAATATGGCGAGGGAACACGATTAGCACAGGCTTTAGATCATTAAACAAAATATTAATTTTACTACGTTCTTTCATGAAACCAGCATTCTGTTAATGTAAAGACGTAGACGTAAAATTCATTTACTTTCTCTTTTGACGTTACTAAATTGAACAAGTTTCTTCGATATTCATATGATTTAATTATGCGATTTATTACGATAAAATCACTTATATAGGTGTACTGTTGGACAACGAACTACAAAGTTGAACGAACGCCGTCTGCTGTGCTGTGTGTACGAATTACAGTCTACAGAGGGCACTGGTCATTTTTATCGAAATACCTGCACAATCAGAATGTAAACAATTGACTTATGTAGAGTCGTAAACGCGTAAGACTCAAGTCGTAGGTGTCATATGACTGCCAATTGGAAGTTTTTACTGCAGCAACTTTCGGGAATACATGACACATCTTATTAGTCATTCATTGGTAGTATACACATGCCTACGCGAGTTAGATTAGAGTGTCAAGTTGCACATAGTTCAAAGTTGTTTTAAATGATTTTTTCGGAAGGTAAATTTTATCTTTTTTATTTGTTTGTTATTTAATTAAATTATATTCTACATAATGTAATAAAATTTTATCTTCATGCAGTAACTTTTCGACTACGTTGAATGGATTTTGATACTTATTTTTGAAGTAAACGCCGAATTCACATAATTCGCCTCTTAACTTCCAATAGTTCTTGGTGATCATCAAGTTAATTTATGTATTAGAGTGATAAATTAAAAAATGGGTCAACGCGTGTCCAGAACTGATTTTGAGTGGGTGTTTACCGAGGAACCGCACGCGAGTAGGCGAAAACAAATTTTAGGTTAGTTAAAAACAATGTGTCTCATCTTTCCTATTAAATAGTTAATTAATTTTATGTAAATTATACATAAATTGTGAATATTCCAATCAACTTCTATTTTTTCAGAAAAATACCCTCAAATCAAAAAATTATTTGGATATGATCCAAATTTCAAATGGGTTGTAACAGCTATGGTGCTTTTTCAATTGGCATCCATGTTTTTAGTTAAAGATTTAAGTTATCCTAAACTATTATTCTTAGCTTATTGTATCGGAGGTCCAATAAATCATTCTTTGATGCTTGGTGAGTATTTTCAACTTCTTTAAATTATTAACATTTAAAAAACTTTACTAAACACAACATTCTATAATTTATTGGACAAATAATCTTATTTCTTTAGAATAATTAAAAATATGACAATTTTTTTTTTTTAATTTGTTACAGCTGTTCATGAAATTTCCCACAATCTTGCATTTGGACATTCCAGGCCAATGGCAAATAAATTGTTTGGATTTTTTGCAAATTTACCTATAGGCATTCCAATATCAATAAGTTTCAAAAAATATCATTTGGAACATCATAGAGTTCGTAAAATATTTTATTTATTTAATTTTGCATATTTCGAACTGTCAAATAAAATTATTTTTCAAAAAACAACTTCTTTCAGTATCAAGGTGATGAAAAATTAGACACAGACTTACCAACATTGTTGGAGGCAAAACTGTTTAACAGTACATTTGGAAAATTTTGTTGGGTACTTTTACAGCCATTTTTTTATTCATTTCGTCCTTTAATCACCTATCCAAAACCACCTACATATTTAGAATATGTGAATTTGATTATACAATTGATTTTTGATCTCTTGGTGTGGAAATTTTTTGGTTAGTAATTGTATAATTTTAATTGAGTTAATATTTATAAAATATGAAATTTAATTTTAATTTTTTCAGGTGGGAAAGTTTTAGTTTATTTTATCGTTGGTGCAGTAATGGCAATGGGCCTCCATCCAGTTGCTGGGCATTTTATATCTGAACATTATATGTATAAAAAAGGATATGAAACATACAGCTATTATGGTCCATTAAATTTTATTACATTTAATGTCGGATATCACAATGAACATCACGATTTTCCAGCAGTACCAGGCTCTAGACTACCAGAAGTAATAATTGAATTTAGTTTCTTTTTATTTAAGTTTTAAACAATATTTTTGATTATTTTAAATAAAAATTTTACCATCTTCAATATAGGTTAAACGTATTGCTGCTGAATTTTATGACAACTTGCCTCAACATAACTCATGGACTTCAGTGTTATATGATTTTGTAATGGATCCAAGTATTGGTCCTTACGCTCGAATGAAACGAAAACATAGAGGAATGAAATCGTAATTTAGACTGAATAATTTGACTTATGATTGAATTATTATAATTAGTTATTATGAAACATGTGATTATGGTTTGATGTTACCAAAATTCTGATTGAAACTGTTGAACTATTGAATGAAACTAATATAAGTCAATTTGAAGTGTATCAATCAGTAGGTAACTCTCACTTAACTACTAGTTTTTATGACGTAAAAGTAAGATTGAAAATAAAATATTTTTTAACTTATCAAATAATCATTACGTTTTTATCAATTTCTTGTAAATTTTTATCATCCTTAAAAGAGTATGAAGCATTCAAGACCAATTTATATATTTTTTTCTAATCTTGACTAACATACGTAACTATAGATATATTTTATTATGTTAAAATGAGAAGATTTGGTTGATAAACTGCTTTTATCATAATTGTAATTCTAGCTCTTAAATTCATATAGTAAAAAAGCAATAGATACAGTTTAATAAATAAATTTATTATTTATTTATTTATTATTTAATTATTTAAAGTATTTAAATAAATTTGTACATATTTAATAACCAAATTTCTCATTGAGATTAGTTTTCCCATCTCCACTTTGATTTTCAGGAGGCACCCATGTATCATAATTGTCTTTGTAAGCATCTTCATTGTAATTTTGTTGCCCTGAACATTCTTCTACTTCTTTTGCTAATCCTTTTTTATTTTTTTGATGCAATTTAATCGTATTCCTTTTTTGTTTTTTTGCCAATCCTGCTTTTTCATATTTTTGTTCATTTGTACTAGGTTTTAAATCAGTATTTGAAAATTCTTGTTCAATTACATCACATAATTTTGCTACATTTTTCTTGTCAACTTTACTTTCATTTTTATAATTTGTACAGTTCGTTTCACTTGTATTGATGGTACAATTTCGTTCTCCATTACCATCGTCAAATTTTTCAGAAGAATAAGATGATTGCTAGTGAATATAAATATAATAATTTAAGAATTAAATTTATTGTTACTTTTAACATAATACTTGTAATTCTAAAAATGTTGGCGACCTTACCTGTTTTTGTAATTCCATTATTTTATCAGCTTGTACAGATGCATTGGTATTTTTTTTTAAATCAATGGTTCCATGAGGTTTAAAAGGTGGCAAATTAGTTGGTTTAGCTATATTAATTAATTTAATGCACTGCAATTCTTCTTTACCCAAATTAATAAGTTCAATTTTTAATTTTCTGATTTCTAATTTATCTAATGAAGATGATCCTAAAGAAGACATATATGCATCTAAAGCATCTATGTTTGAATCATTTGTTTCACTTTTTTTTGCATTATGCAGTTTCAATTTATTCTGTATACTTGAAATTCTTTCAGTTATTTTAGAATATTTTTGCAACTGTAACAGTAAAACATTATGAACTTTATATATTTATATTAAAAAGTGAATATTCATATTCAAATATGTTTAATAATGATACTGTACCAAAGAATCATAGTTTTCTACTTCAGTCTTTAATTTTCCTGCTAATCTCATTCTTTGTTCTCTTTTTTTTTCTACAGCTCCAGTCCTATCCAAAAAGTTATCTTCATCTGAATCATAAAAGTCTTCTTCTTCCCAATTGCGAGCTCTTCTTTTTCTGGTTTCTATAAATGTAATTGCCACTACTTTACTTATTGTTAATAAATATACTAGAGAATGTTCTAAATCATTTTTGCGTAATAATTTTTATGAATTGCTCAAAAATGCTCGAATTTATTATGAAAATTTTAGAGTCAAATTAAATGATATGACAAATAGATTAATTTATTCACATTTAAGTCTTCAAATAGCAAAAAGCTCTTACCATGGGTAGCTTGGCGTAGTAACCCACATCTATCTAAAATTCTGCATGCTTCTAAAGCACATTGTACAACTGCTTCTTTTTTTTTTCCTGAAACTGTGGCTTCAGCACGTAGTGTCTTTCCAGCATCTATTGGTAAACTAATTCAAAATTATAAATTAATCGTAGTTTATTATTATTATTATGAGTCAATTTTTACAAAAAGAGTACATACTCTACCCAGCACACAAATTTTCCATTGCCCCTATCTTCAGCTTGGTACTGTAAATCTTGACCTTCTCTTTCAAACCAGCCTCGTAAAGTTTTTTTTGGATCATTTAAGAATAATTCTTCACTTGCTGTCTGAGCATATGGATTTTCAGTCATATCAGTTTCTTCGTCAGCATCTTCTCCCATTCCCCAATCAATACCTTGTTCTTCGTTTTCCATCATTACTTCTGGTTCTTGGTTATCAAATTTATGACTTAATTTTTGTAGCTCATATTCTTTGGATTGATGTGCTTTTAATATCTTTAATTCTGTTAAAGATAACTCTGACTCTTGTTCTTGATCATGATCTGGTGCAAGAATAATAAATTTACGCTGACTGCACCCAAACTTTACCATATGACCTCCTTGTAATCGAACAAAAACTTTTGGTTTTATTTGGTTTCCATTCCAAAATGTACCATGAGTACTTCCCAAATCATAAACATACAATCCTTTTTGGATTTTACCATCGTCAACTATTCTGTGCTGAAAAATAGCATGATAGCGTGAGATAGTTGGGTTGGCCATTGGTATATCACAGTTTGGTAATCTTCCAACCACATAGTAACTTTTATTTGATAAATCAATTGTTTCTAAAATAGTGCCTGATTTCAAAACTTCCAATTTGTAAGAATCTGTCGGAATACCACTCCATGAAGGTTCTTTATATGGTATCTCAAGGGTAGGGTCTTTTGGACTCGATTGGAGACTTGCTGGAGGTTTAGATGTCTCAGAAAATTCATTTGTAGGCTGGATCATAACTGATTCATTACTCTGTATATTTTTTTTTATATTTTCAGAAACAGATTTCAATTTTGCATAATTTTTTTGTCTAGGTCCAATTATTATAGGTTTTTTGAAACTATGAATCTCCATATCTTTATTGTTTTCACTCTTTTCATCAACTGAAAGCATTTAAAAATGAAATAGTATTAAGAGAAGAGAAAAAAATTTTTTTACAAAGAACTCGAGTCATAGTCAAATTAGACTTTTATTTACCATTTGGATGGCAAATGTGAACTTCATTAGAGATTTCAGTATCAAACTTGGGCTTTGATAGGTCTTGAGTTTCAGTTTGTGCAGTTTCTTCATTTGCCAAATCCCCCATGATTTCTTCAGTTTTTGCTTCAATAAAACTAATAAACCTGAAATACCTAAATTATACAAAGCTTTAATGATTTAAACGTTTTCTTAAATTTACTGGAACATATGATATTACTTATTTACTCTTAATATTTTTAATCTTTACAGTAACAATCAACTCACCACAATGTTTTAATGATGAATGTCCTTTCACAAGTCAATAACAATAACACTCACAGTCACTCACTTTTTGATTTCGTCGGATACGTAACTTTACTCTATCATGTATTTCGATGAAGAATTAGAAATTCGTAACAAACAATCGTCGAAAAATAAATTTCATTGAATCTAAATTATATGTATACAATAATACTGTAGAGCCGATTGAAAGGCTGCATTTTGAGTTCTTCTTGCCAAAAGCAGAATGTAAATATGCATACATTAGCTTGCTCACCTGCGCTCCCTTCAAGTTGATTTTAGTACTATACATCACTTAATGTCTGCAGACTGCATCAAACAGTGTCTGTTTTCTTACTGCTGCTGTCATTTTATGCGTACATAATTAACATTAGTTTCATGTGTTCTGATATACACAATTAAAATGCATGATAGAGATAGTAATGATGGTGAAAGTTTTGAGGGAGAGACGATGGTTTCATACTACGAATTGGGTATGTTTCTCATAAATTTTCTTCAATTTTTGCAATTACAATAAAATTTTTTGAAGAATTTGAAGTTACAATCAGTTTTATGTACTGAAAATTTTATATATGGAATAAAATTTAAAAATTAGAGAATTTACCACTGAAAATGGTCATTGTTTCTGATATTGCATATTGAAAAACATTTTTCTTGCAGTGCTTTTAATATTTAATCACTGTTCAATTTTATTATATTAACTTAATTTAATGCACACCTTAAAAATATTATACTTGCATCTACTATTTCAGTATTATTGCTGATTACAAATGTAGGATGGTACATTGTTGGGACAACTGTTATTCTCATCTATGCGTGGCCATTTCTTCATAAGCAATGGTTGGGTTGGAAAAAAAATAAAGATGACTATGAATATGATGCAAAATATCATAAGAGTAAGTGGTTTTTATAAGAAATAAATTATTATAACAGATACACAAATAATGATATTTGCTCAATATTTTTTATGGTAGACGTGGATTTAAATTCCAAATTATTATTAGCTCAACATAAAGCAAGAGAAAAAATGGAACAAAAGTATTTGCAAGACCGTGAAATTGCTATTCAAAAAGAACAAGCTGTGAGTACTGCAAAAAAGCAACTTGATAAAAATTAAAATTAATCTAATTTTTAATATTTTTTTACATTTGTTGAAGAAAAAAATGAAAAAGCAACAGGAGTTATTGAAATTACAAAGTCAGTTGCTTTCTGATAATTATCGTCTAGATAGTAATGAATCCAAAGATAGTACTGGACCTTCGAAATCTAGATTAAGAGCCGGTAGGTGATCATCTTTACATATATAACAAAACAAAATTAAGAAATTTTAGAATTTCAATTTTATTGCAGATTATAATCCTCTGATGGGTAGTGGTAGCAGTGGAAAATATGTACCACCAAAACGATCTGCATGTAGCAAAGGAGGGTGTGGAAGACAATGAGTAAAAACTCATATTTAATCTAGCAATTCTGTTAATTTTTTATTATTAAAAATTTTTCAATTGTTTCAACACATTTATAAATAAAAATTATATGATTTCCTTAATATAACGATATATGTTCAGTGGAAACTAAATTCACAAGTTGAATCAGTTTTAACAAAATCAATGAACTTTAAAGCATTATCAATAAATCAACTTTTTGAATAACAAATATATCAATGGTTTCATTGACTTTCTCAATTATTGTTTAAGGTTGATTCTTTAAAAAAATTAATTTCGCAATGAATCTACAAGACAAAGGCTCTTGACATTACTATATTTTTTGTTTGGTATTTATTTGTATTGGAAAAAAATACAGGGATTAAAATTGACACTTGAAAAGTTTATTATTCTTTTTATTTATAAAAATGAAATTTAAATATTTTAATTTAGAGCTTTGTAAATAGTGCAAATACATTCACAACATATTACCGCGACAACCCTCTCAAGAACGTTAAAACTAAAATTCTGATGACTAAATAAAGAATGTATAACTATTTGTTTTCGGTGTAATATTGTCTACTCAAAAAATTATATTAAAAATAAAAATTATAATTTTATCTAAAAATTAAAAATGAATTGTTGAAGAAATAAAAAAATTTTTTTATTTTATGATGAAATCTAATCATCCTGTTTATGAAACCAAAATTAAAGTGCCCAAAATTGCTTAAAACCAGAAAATTTTATGTTTTGTACAGAATAACTTTTATATATTTTTTATTGTAACTATTTAATTAAAAGTCCTGGAATAGTTATTCCGATAGTGAGCGGTCTTTTGGATTTCGCAAGTCTGCGCTCTAACACCTTTGTCTCGCCGATTTCTGAATACTTATACGTATCTTGTTCTTCTTTATAAGATTATGCAACTTAGACCCTACCTTTCTTATCTCTGTGACTTCCTATATATCATTCTAATTCAGTATCGCATATTTTCTTGATCATGTAAGAAGTGAGTGAGTTTTCGTTGGCTTTTTTAGTCTGTCGGAGCCAACTAAAATCTGCTGCAGCGCATCCTGAATATTTTTATCATTATCAATATTTTTATAAAAAATTAGATGAATTCAACCCCTAAAAAAATAGTGATACAATGTATGTACTCAGTGCAATTAAAAGATCAAATAGTCAAATCATTTGTTAAATATCTGTCAAAAAAATATGAACTCAGATAATTTTTAAATAGATTATTTCTGTATTGCGAACGTCATCATAAAAATGTATTAATTAATTATTTATTAATTATTTAATTAATTATTCATAACCGTATATTATTCATTTAAGATTGATTTATTTTACTTGAAAAAAGTGTTAATTGTTCTTAAAAAAATAAATGATATAATCAAGAACAAAATAGATTACAACTTTTTTCCAGAGAAAACCTATGTAAATATGCAAGGATCAAAGATAGAATCATCACTATATTATCAGATTGTACATTCGTAAAAAGCTTTATTACCAAGTTTAGTATATATATATATATTCTATAAATGATATGCAGATCATAATTTCCAATGTTTACGATTTTAATATAAAAGAAAAAAGGAAATACATCTTTTTTACTACATTTGAAAGTATGCGCAAAAGTCTCTCATCTCTCGCCTAATGAGATTCATTCAAGTTAAAATTACTTCATCAATTTTTGGTGAGAAGCAACTTAAATATTGTGTCGTTTTTAAGTTGCCTTGGACTTGTTATCATACTTATTATCATAGATATTGATTATAAATCATATTGTCCATATTTAATTTTTTTATTACTCATACTTTTAAAACCATTTTTTAAATCCATTGATATACATGTAAAACATTGATAAATTATTACAAAAAGCTTGATTTTTGACTGCATGAAAAGTTTTCGTTTTTCTGTAAATTATACTGAAAATCATTGAAAACAAATTATTACCTAGTTAAAAAAAATTGCGTGGATTCCACGCGAAAAGTGCATTGATTCCGTATGGAATCTGCGTGGATCATTTTTGTAAAAATCTGTCAAGATTTTTCGATTATTCCTTGAAAAAGGATACGAGCGTGAAATTAAGGTAACCGAAAAATCTTGGCAGATTTTTACAAAAATGATCCACGCAGATTCCACATGGAATCAATGCACTTTCTATGTGGAATCCACGCACTTTATACATGGAATCTGCGTGGATGATCCACGTAGGAATCCACGCAATTTTTCTCAACTGGGTAGTGTTCGGCTGCAATAGTAAAAATCGTAATTTTCACAACTCTGAAAAGTCAGTTATCTTTTAAAATTGTTATTGATTTATAAAACAATTGTGTACTTCTCTGAACAGCCCATTTTTTTGTATCACTTAAGTATAGTTATATATATTTTAATGATTTATCAAAAAAACTAGATAAAACTGTATGAACTTTTATAAACTTTTATCTGCAGTCTGAAATTGTGTTAGATGTTCATAAAAGTTTGTACATCTCTCAGCAAAAAATTCAATTGACAGTTTGTATAAGTGACTTTACTTTTCAAATTGGTTGCAATTTCTTTGACTAATGTATATAATTGAACGAATGTAAATAAAAAACTAGTATCAAAACATAAGTATTAAAAATAAATGCAAATCACAAAAGAAAGACAACTCGTTCCACACGCAAACAATAGCATAAACATAGAAAAATATGGTTATTTGATAAAATGTATAGTTAAAAAATATTTGAGTATAAAATGATTTAGTACAATATCTTTCTTATACTGAAAGTAAATGTAAACAAGATGGTTGCATACTCAATTTTTTTACCAGAAATTTTTACAGATCTACTTGCGAATGATAAATATCAACAGTTATTGCTTCTTAAAAAGATTTTAAACACAATATTATAATATATTTTCCAACGATTAAAAAATAATTCATTAAGCGTATACTACATACGATTATATACAATTATAAACTCATTTTTTCTGAAGATACATGTGTATGAAATCTTCGTGAGGGGCCGTTAAATTGATCTAAAATTAAATGTATCGTTTCATAAAAAAAAATTTCACATATTTCATATTACCTTGATTTTTAGGCATCATTTTCTTTTTTTTTTTGTGAAATTGAACTCGGCCGAAATAAAATGTACATATTTTTATTTTCCGATTATTTTTTTATTCGACTAGTCGTTCTGCACGGTGATTTTTTTACAATTTTTTATGAGGATTAGATTATGAACCAAAAAAATAATGCCGAGAAACATAACGTTTTGGAAATCGTTGATAAATTTTAGTAGTGACATTTTCCAAAATTATTTTTAAGATGTGTCAGTCATTATCTGATGCTTCAATTTTTTAATACAAAACATTATTCAAGCAATAAAGGCAACGGTCGATACGTTTGAAAAAATAACGACGTTCTTCATGTAATATATAATTCATGCTGTACAATAAAAAAAAACTTATCACGACTACTAAAATAATGTATGATTTTATTCATATAAAAATGTATAATATATTATATTGTCTAGATTACACATGATAAAAAAACTCTTGATATTAATTTGGACTAGAATAGTTATTTACATTTTATATTAGCCAATTTTCAAATTGATTTCGATTATTCCTGCATCTAGAAAAATGATTACTATCTTAATATTATCTTATTCAGTTGCCATAGTACGAGGCTGAGAGGCTTTGTGTGACGAGCTATTTATAAACATGCTTAGGTCGATTGATTTAACTAAAAATTTCATAGATTTACAGCCAAAAACATAATATGATGTTAGGCTGTAGAAAATGTTAATTTCTAAATCAATTCATATAAAATTACTCTCAAAGAGTTTTTCTCTTCATGATATATACGACCATGTTCGGATTAAGCGTTTTTGAATAAACATAGAGATTTACAAGATATTAATAATGCGACGCTGTCTATTTTACAATAATATGACAATATTCTATTGCATGATCTACAACCATTCTGCTTCATGCAATAAATAGGTGATTTATTACTTAATAGTCTATCATGATCAGTGTAAACTAGATTATGTTTTTCATCATGTGAATTTAACACTAATGACTATGTTTTTTGTACTAACTGTATGTACAATTATACAAAGTTTATGTTTCTTACGATATGAATTTGACCTTTCTATTTATCGGCTTTTACATATTTAACAACATATACATAACTTCAACGGTTTTGCATGTTGAATTAATTCAACATTTCTGTGGAAAATTTTTTCCAACTAAATTAATATTTCAGTCACATTTTTTAGGAACATTTTAATAAAAGGTATTCAAGTTCATTTTTCAAATTGATTGAGCGAAATTCGCTAATTCATCGAGTTGTTATTTCAAATAAGGCCCGAATTCAAAGTTTAAATATCCCACGAAGAAAAAAAATGAAAAAAAGACACATGCATGTAGGGTTGTTGATAAACAATGAGAACAGCAGGTTACGAGATTAGGGAAGAAAAAGAAAAGTGACCAACATTATTTGTAAATTATCGATCGTTAGGAACCCGCGAAGTTAATAAATATGTAACCCGAGTCATTCGTTTTTCATCCTCTGGTGCAAGTGACAATCACATTGTATCCGCAGGGCCAAAACTATTACTTTCGTTGTCGATAGTAGTGTGACTCGGATCGAATAATAAAATCTTGAAAACCAGATCATAGCTTAACAGGATCCACGTTCATCAAGCCGAAACGATTCAGAGCATTTGCTACCACTTGCGAAGTGATTATTCTGTCTGCCATATCGCTGACTGCTCGAGTTATCGATAGAATTTGATGAGTTGTGCAAGGTATAATGATCAGAACGCATGAATTCGGGCAGTTCATCTAATGTAAAACCAAGTCTTGAGTAATGTTCAATGTTAGAAATATTCGTCTTTATCAACCTTTAGTGGAGTTTTGTTTCCGTCGATCTTGAGAATGGGAAGAAGAAACTGACTTTCGTTCGGGTATGCAAGAATAATTACTATCAGTACTGTAAGCTGGAGAGGAGGATCGATTCTGACGGCGGGGACTACTTGTGTTGCTTGGACGAAAAACTGACGAGACGTTTCGATTGTTGCATTTTGGTCCGAGACTCGAATGATGCGACACGTTGGAGTTGAACTGATTGCTGCAATCAAAAGTGTCGGCGTATAGATAACTGGACTCGCTACACGAACAGCAAATATCCGAGTGCTCGTTCGAATCGCAAGATTTACGGTCCCATTCTTCGTTTTCGTGTCGGGAAGCCGTCTGCCGCGGTTGATAAGTCGGTAATCTATTACTTCGATACATAAGTGCCGGGTCTTGAACTGGATTACAGGTAGCCATTGGAAAGTTTTCTAAATCGTTACGGTGTCCATAAATGAGCGAGCCACTTTCGTATTCATTCTCTTGATAAATCTCGTAGTGATCAACATTTTGAGAAAAAGATGGTGCAGGAGGCGAATCAGCGTTGAGAGGCAAGCTGGCATAATTTGGCTCAGCGGTCCACGGAGTTAGCGATTGAGAACACGAAAAACCTTTGGAGGCTTGCCGCGCGGATGGCGTCGATGGACTATTGGACTCGCTGCAGCTGTTGAGCTGCTGACAGTCTAGTAAGCTGCGCTTGTTTACATTGGGACTGTGGCCAATCGATAAGGGATGCATTTGCACCGAGAGGCTGCCGTTGTTGGCAGGTGGTGGTGGGTGCTCTGGAGGCGGCGGAAGCATGTCGCACCAGTTCGGTAGAGTCTGCGATTGGTGATTTTGGTTAATTTTTTTGCAACGCGAAGACGAAGCTTGCTGCAAACTATGCTCTACCAATTCATCGGCGTGTATACTGCTGGTATTATCACTGCAAGGTGAAACATTCGACTTATTTCCTAACTGTCCAGAAGTTTGCTGCGACTCCAAGCTCGAATAATTAGGTTTGAGACAAGAGTCGCTGGAATTCGAGCGTTTTCCAGCGCTTGTTTCACGCGAGTCTGGACTACGATTGGCCATGCAAAGTGTTGTCGTAGCGTAGGGTTCTGGTGGCGCTGATGACTTGCGGGTGTTGTAAAACGTTGACATATTGACTTCGGCATATTCAGAGTTTGACATGACCACCAAGCCAGGTACGGCATTGATCGTTCCATGATTATTTAAAAGTTTCGTTTCACAGTCTTTATCGGTGCCAGGATTTATAGCATCGGAGTAACCACTCGTGAGTCCGTTATTTGGTCGCCAACCTCGTTCAAGCCACAAAGCGTCTTTATTCAATTGGCAAATATCACTTGACGTATGCACAGGAACGCTGAGGTGGCCTAATTGTTTACCATGTTTATGTCGGCGACGAATGTAAAACACCCCGAGTAAAGCACCTACTGCGCCAATTACAAGTAGAGTGATCGATGTAAGGAACCACGGTTCCTTGACAAAAGACGATTGGTAGTTACTGCTGTCAGTTTCTCCGTCGGAATTTTCACGCATTGATTTATTACCATTAAGCAGACCTAAATCCATTCTAAGCAGAGCTGGCGCAGAAAAAGGACCGACACCTGCATGCGTCATGCCAGCTACTCGTGCTGTATATGAACCCCCGTTCACCAAACTGTTGATTATAACTGAGGTCGTTGAAGCGTTAAGAGTCATTTGACCGAGGATTTTACTGCTGCTGTTGCCCTTAATTTGTATCTTGTAACCAATTAATTGGCCATTGTGGCTATTTTTTGGTGGCGCCGACCAGCGTACGAATGCTGAAGTTGAGTTTATCAAACCCACGTGAACATTCTGTGGTGGGCTCGACGGCACATCTTCTAAAGTCATAGCAAGCTTGACATTGCTGGGTCGACCTTCGATAGTTTTGTAGAATGGCACAAGAAAAAATTCATAAAGAGTGTACTTTGACAAGTCGGTTAACATATAGCTGGTTGCACCGGCGTTCATGACGGTGACCATCTGATATTCGGGTGGCTTATCTGATATCTCGCGATAACGGATGTAAAGGCCGTCCACGAGATCTGGAGCTCCAAGAATCTACGAAAATAACGATTTATGTAAAGATATCGGATGATAAATTAAGATGATGTAACTAGTACTATTCAGTAGTAATCGTTATTAGTAACTATTTAAATATTTTAAAGTGGATCATTCATAGATATTTAGCATCAAAAGCTATCGTGGATTGCTACCATACGGTATAACATAATAAACAATTATTCAGTATACAGTATACAGTTTAAGCACTAATGGTTTTCTTATAGTTTTTCTAAATTCACTCAAATAGTACGCCCAAATCATATGAAATGTTGAGTCGCAAATATATAGCATATGAAAAAAACGTTATTTTTCATCCTATTTTTTATCTTTACAAACGAATTTATTCGGAAAGTTAACTTTCATCATTACAAAACCTATACTTGTAACTGTAAGACTAATGAATAATTAAGAAAGTTTCAATATTATATATTACTTACATCCCATACGATTCTGACGCTTGTACTACTGATCGGACTGACTTCTCGGAGCTGCAAAATTTCATTATTGAGTCGGTCACGAGCTCGAATAAGTTCAGTTTGTGGAACTGCCTGTTCTCCGAGGCCCATTGTGTGGCCCGTATCCGATAGTGGACCTGGCAATGACAAACCGTGAATATTCTGGGCCCGTACCAGGAACACGTAATTAGCATTCGGCTTCAAGTCACATATCTGAAATCACGTTTTCAGCAGTTGAATAAAAAATATGTCAAAGGATTATCTTTATTAAAATTTGATAAAAATTAAACGTAAAGGCTGTACCGTATAAGTGTCTTTGGTGACTTTGCTAGCGGCGATTATCCACCCTGTTTTATCAGTGCTACTGGAGTACTCAATTTGGTAACCAGTGATTGCGCTGCCTCCTCCAAAACCAGGACTCCACGTGATAGTTATGCAGTTACTTGTCGTATTGACAATTCGTGGCTTGCTAGGATGCTGGGGAAGCTTCAAGAGATCAAATGATTGATTTCCATCCTCTTCATTTCCTATTTTGAGAAACGCAGACCACGACGAGTTGCCCGACGTTGAAGAAGCAATACACGTGTACTTGCCAGCATCAGAAGCTTGCAACTTATCCAATAAAAGACTCCCATTACTGATCGCTGTTATCCGTTCACCAATCTGTACTATCTGATCATCTTTGAGCCAATTTATTTTAGGCGTTGGGGTGCCCACCGCACGGCAGTTTAATAATGCAGAAGTATTAAGTGGCAAAGAAAGGTTTGATGGTCCAAATTCAATAATCGGTGGAGGCACTTCTTCGATCGATATCACCTTAAAAAAATCAATCATAAACATTGTGATTTTTTTCAAGACAACTAATAACATTGTTCAACAATGTCTCCATGACAAAAAAAATTTTATCTGTACGAGTCTGGAGCGTCAAATTTGTTTCAAGTAGAAATGGGAGGGTGAATCACTTTTTGTTCAATTGTAGTGAAGGGAAAAATGCAAAGGTGCGTAAATGAAATATATTTATACATTGCGTAATAACTCATTGAACAATTCAACACTACAATAGCGTCTATCATGTGTACATCTTTACTTACGGCAAGGTATACTGTAGCAGTCGTTGCGCCAACTTGGCTTATGGCACTGCACACGTAATGGCCTTCGTCTTTGCGTTCTATCTGCTTGATGTGTAAACTACCGTCGTCACTTACAAAGTATCGTCCTTGATAGGAGTGACCAGGAAACATCAACTCTTGCGATCCTTCGCGCGTCCAAAAAATTGAAGGGGCCGGTGCACCCTTAGCCGAGCAAGCGAATGTTACATTTGAATTTACGCTCACAGACTCATCTTTAGGAAAATTAGTAAATACTGGTCGAGCTGAAAAAAGACATCAATTAACACAACGCTATTAAATTTTCAACTTATTATTAACTTACAATGAATAGTAAGCGTAGCACTTGCTGAAATAGTGCTAACGCTATTTTCAGCTTCACAGATGTAAGTTCCTTGATCTGTAGATGTAACATGTTCAATTCTGAGACTTTTGTCATCAAGAATGTGTCCGCGACCGATAGGCATTTTTCCATCGTGTCGCCGCCATAATATCTCTGGCATTGGATCACCATTAACTTGACATGCAAACTCTACTGTCTGGTCCAACAAAACCGTTTGATTTATCGGTGTTTTTACGAAATAAGGTTTTACTAGAATTGAAAATATTAATGATAGCCTTCATCAATTAGACCATAAGCTTTTTAAAAATAATTAAAATTCATACCATTAACTGTGAGCTGAGCAATCGCGGATTCTCGTGTTCCGGCAACATTTGAAGCAATACATTGATATTTCCCATGATCGGACTGCTTTATATCTGTTATCATTAAGTTTCCTCCATCGACTAATGATATTCTGTAAAATATTACGTAAGATATCACTCAAGAGGTTTGATAATTTTTATTATATTTTCAAAGTGAATTCGATTTTTAAATTATGTTAATATAATGTAATATAATGTTGGCAATGATGCTAATACCGTTTGTTACTCTCTAAATCGATGACGTGTCCATTTTTTTTCCACTGCAAAACTGGTTCTGGATGTCCTCTTGGTGGACCACACTCCAGAAGTGCCGTCTCTCCCGTTGCTACTCGCGTATTTTGTGGTTCCACTCGAAACTCATCTCGAAGTACTGAGAAACATAATATGAATCCTTGTAAAAGTACATTCGTATTGGTTTAAATGTTAGAAGTTGAATAATAATTAATAACAATCGTAATGATAATAGTAATGGAAATTGTAAGAATTATTATTCAAGTTAATGGTATCATAATCAAACTAGAAAACAAAAAACAGTCGCAGACAAACATCATTAACGTTTAAATGAAAAAAATATCAAAATCCGGGGACTTGAGTAGTACTTGATTTATCAAATACCTTGACAAAATTTTCACTACATGAAAAAATGAGGAAATTACAATTTGCTTCGACTTCAGAATAACCACAATGGTCTTAGTTAATTTCGTGGATTTTCTTTATGTAGTCAGGAAAAATGTATTAATTAATCAGCAAACAACAGTGTAACTGTATGAAATTGGGAAGGATAAATTCGGCAAGACTGACGATTATGATGACCTTTACCAAAATCATACTTTGAAGTGTAGAGGACGAGGAGCTGCTTGAATTATTAAATGAAGTGCATGCAAAGGATCACTGCTATTATGAGCTCGTGATATGACAAAAAAATTTTAAAGCAGTTTTTATGCGGTTGGTGATGAAAGAGAATAGGTGATTAATAAATAAAACATTCCTACACTCTTCAAGTGCGACATTTGAGTATTCTCCTATTTGAGAATACTTCAATGGATGCAGACTGCACCACCTTCTTTGCTAATGAAGATTTCTGCTCCAAAGTAAAAATAATAATGACATAAAGTCCGTATTTTAGTAAAATACATTATTAGGGAATAAGACTTGAGTATATCCACTTTAATTTATAGGGTAATACATTTGAATTGATTTTGATTTTTTGCATTCAATCTACTTTTCTATTTTATTACATTGTATAGAAATAAATTAAATTTCCATAGATATATTTAAATAAAATCATATCATAAAATATTATTACGTACCAGCTACAGTAAGTGTTGCATTGTGACTGACAGCTTGTCCAGCTTGATTCTTAGCTACACACCAATAAGTTCCACCATCTTGCTCTTTTTTACCGTGGATCACTCTCAGGAAAAAAAGTGATCCCGTGGGCAATAAAACTCGGTGAGAATCTGCAGGTGAAGTCTGAACCAATTCTCCATCCTTGTACCATTGAATTTCTGGACGAGGTTTACCTTCAGCTTTGCAATTCAACGTTACTGGCTCGTGTTTCGCCACCGTTATATCTGAAGGATGTTCTGTGATTCTAGGTGACCGTAATTGAGCTGAAAGAAGTAATTTTGATACAGAAATATCGACGTAAAATAAAATACGAAAAGAGAACTTTCAAATATTTATTAAAAAATTTTAATTTAAGCTACGCGTAAGTTTTAAAGTGTCGTTGTAGCGTTGATACAAATAAAACTACTGCTGAGAGAAGCAGATGATTCACGCAAGAGTAATAAGATTCATTGTATGTGTTGTGGGTACTATATAAATATTTTTTATGCCGGAAAAAACGAGGTGCGATGAGTTGACTGTATGAATCTATGTAATACATTTCTTATGATTATTAAGAAAAGCAATCCGAAGTATTAAATTCAAATCTTATGAAAATTAGACTGGTTCTTTTTTCCCAAAGAGTTTCTATCTTTGCTCCAGACGCTGATTCTGGTTGTCAGGGTATAAAAACTGAGAAAAATGCGTGGATCGGCCTAGAAGCTAATGGTTAAAACGTGATGTAACTTCTAAAAAGTTGAGATTGATTTTAAAAAAAAATTCTCGAAAAAATCATGCGTTTTCTTTGACTAATTTTAAAACGTTTTTATTTGTTGGTTTTTTTTCGTTCAATTGCTCCTACCTCGAGATAGAAAATCGCAAAGTTTAAAAGCGTGATGATAAATTACGATAAAAAACTTTTTCTAAAAATTTTAAGTGAAATAAATCACATTTGGAAATTTTATTTCGGGTTTTTGAGTTGCGGCGTGTATTAACTATTAGTTTTTGGATCCAGCGTCGTAATTTTCTTTTTTTTTATACACCCGCAGAACCTAAAACAGCGCCTAGTGTAAGATTGAAATATTTTTAGAACTAAGAATTAATCTAATATATTTTTTAAAATAGTTTACTTAGCAAAAACTACTAAAGTTCGGTGGACTTTGAAGTTTAAGTTTTTACAAAAAGAGTCGTAGTTACAGGTAATTTCTCAAAAGAGACGGGAACCAATGTCGAATGATTTTTAAAATTTAAAGCGTAGTCCAAGATTATAAGCAAAATCTCTTCAACATATAAAAAAAGATTTATTCGAGAAGTATTAGTGATAAACGCTTGTTAATGTATCTCGGTTTCTAAATTCACATGTATTTTCTTTCAGAAAATTTTAATTATAATCGGAGTTATTAACGATTTCAAAGCCATTTCCGTGTTTTTTAAGATTCTTCAAAAAAAGGCCTCGGTATTAAAATCTCTGAAAATTATAGGAAAAATAAGATTGCATAAAATTTTCAAAAAAATTTTATAATTAATTTTATTAATTTTATTATTCGAAAAAAGTGTCTGATAGCGTAACCCGTATGACTCAGAAAATTCATTTTCCATAAAATCAAGTTCTCAATTTTCAAGCGGACGTGCAAAAAATTTTCTACAAGAAGATCATACGTACCAATACCCACTCACTTAAGAAACAATGCACTTATAGAGAATATCTAATAATATTTAGATTAATTTAATTAATTCACTGTCCGGTAATTTTCTATTAAATTTATGACAAATAATTATATTTATTAAATAATAATTAAATCGGCTACACCACTTTAATCATTTTAAAAACCATCCAAACTTTTGTGACTCGAGTGCAAGGGCAAGTTATGTTTTTGGTCAATTGGTGCAAGATTCAAAGCGAACCCTTTGAGCTACGGCACCAGGGTAAAATACAATTCTTCAGAACATGACCACACTTACGCAACCTCGAGCGAGGCGATCCGACCGATAAATCACCGTGCACAGACACTCGAGAATTATTAATTTTTCATTTTACGTTACTTTTCGTAATGTTCACCATAAAACTACTCATCGAAGACAACCTACGGGTCGGATCGTCTCACCTGAGCTTGCGTTGCAATCATTGATGTTCTGAAGAAGTTTACTTCACCTCAGCGCTGTAACTCAATTGATAAGCTCTGAATCTTGCACGAAGTGATCGAAATTAAACACGACTCGCCAGAAAATACAAAAGAAGGAAGAAAGGCTCACGGAAAGTGTTGTATGTCAGAGAAAAATCAACTTTTCAGAGTTTTAAAATATGTAATCGAACGGAAAAAAATTCTTTCCAGAAATTTAATGAAGATTTTTCGATTTAAAAGGGCCTATTAGTCCTTAATTAAAAGTGGCCGAGCATTGGGTTGTGGTCGGGTATTAAGAGAGTCGAAGGTCCATAAATTTTGATTTTTTAATAAGAATTGAAATTTAAAAGAACTTAAACTAAAATTCACAAAAATAAATTTCTAATCAATCCATTATGTTTGTGTACAGGATTCAATGTAGATAGAATAATGCGAAACTTCTTACATGCTTTTGTTGAAATCAAATGCTTTAGAGTCAAGAAAAATGATAACTTCATTACTCTTTTTGTATTTGAAATATGTTATTAACTGTTGAAGTGTATGTACGAAACGCAAAGCCCAAATATAATACCGTAATCAAATTAACAATTTTATTCGATACTTTTTACATATATAGCTTTTGTCAAAAAAGTTTATATTTTATTATAGATTTATTATAAAGTAGAATTTATAAATAATTTATTTTGAACATTGCTTGTGCTAAGTAAATTGTTCTCATTCAACATAAATAAATATCAAAAAATTAGCATTAATTAGTAAGAACTATTCCAATGTGAGACTTGATTTGTAATGGTCCTATAAAAAGCGCGAGTTTCGTGTGACTATAGCGATTGCATTAAAAATATAGAGTTATCGTCAATTATATAGCGCAAAGTTCAACTAAAATTAGTTTCCATATATAAAGTATAAATTATTATAAAAAATCAAATCATATATGGGCTATTTTCAACGAAAGTAACTTTTTATCTTGTCAAATTATAGAATTTTGATACAATATGATTCATTTGAATGGAAAAAAAATTTCGTTAATAACGTTCTATTTCATGCCCCAATTCATTTTTCAATTAAAAAAAATGCATCGTGCGGTGAATTGAACTTTACAAAAACATGAATATATTGAATTACCTCGTTAAATATTTTTATTATTAATTTTTTTTTTTTACCAGAAGTGAACGTTGTATGGACAAGAAAACAATTCTTAAATTAAATTGAGCTTTATAAAAATTATATAAATGAATTTTAGAAACAATTACTGCAAATCCAAACATAGCAGAAATTCAGGGTGGAAATAATTACGTTCGGAAGCAATTATTTCTAATATTTCCTAAATTTCTAAATAGTTTCTAATTGTATTTCATAGAAATTCGTTTTGAGACATAATTTATCAAAAAGTCTTTTGTATTATATAAAAAATAAATAATAAATGGAAATTATTTTGAAGAGAAGCCTACGATCAATTTAAATATTAAAAAATGGTTCAATTGATCGTACTGTATGAGGGTTTTTGCCGTAAAAAACATATTTTATAATTATATTTTCATTGTATTATCGCAATTCCTTCATTGTATATTAACTTTTCAATTATGTATATAAGCATGAGTTATTTGAAAAAAGATAAGTATTAATTATAAGATAATAAATAAAGCTAAAAATTTAGCTCAGAATCGGCAATTAAAAAATTACAAAACTTTCAAAAAATTTTAGAAAAATGTTTTCATTTTGATTGAATTTTATTTTAAAAAACAACTCCGTAGCATAATTAATTTGCGCGAGTAAGTTCGATGCAAAGCCTTAGCAAAATTATTTATCAAGAATAACAGAAAAAAATCGTTGAAAAATAGTTTATTTTACTCTAGCATTGACATCTCTTAAAAAGCTTACACCGTTCGGAGGTCCGTAAGCTCTAGTCGAAGTTATTGCACAAAACCTAAATGCCCATTTCTTTGTTTCCACAGGTTATGTGATTCATGTTGATTAATCAATAAAATACTTGTCAATCATAAATTGCTATTCATAATTACCTCTTACGACAGAAGTTAAGAAAAATAGTTGCAATAGAAAATAGATGGTAAGCTGAATCCGATAGTTGATCATCGTTCTAGCTGAAGACATGATGCAGCGAGAACGCTCAGCCAACAATGCTCAAATATGACCAGGCATAATAATTCTCATCTTATTTTCTTAACAGTAGAAAAACAAACGGAACGTTTGCGAGTATTTATTAACTCAAAATGTTACACAGTCCGTGTAATCACACACAAAAAAGGCACAAAAAGATAATTCAGAAAAGCACAGGCTAAGGGCCCTGCTGCGCTGGCATTTCAGCGATGAGGCGCATTATCGGGTAGCTGCAGAACAGCCACGCCATTTCCACTCAATGATAGAACACTAGTTTGCATCAGCAGTTTGCCTGCGCTCAATAGTTTTACAGCATATTAATATTAATTTTCACATTTTTATTAACGTTAAACTGAATTCGAGCCATTCATAAAAGGATCACTTTTCACGACCTAATGAAAAAGTTATTATTGGTGATATTTTTATTATTATCATTTACAATCACGCGTAACTTACGGACATTGCTAATATTGTCTTAACGCGCAAAGTAAAACAAACAGATACTTGATCTCAACACATATTTATATATTTATTTATACAAGCAATAAAAATAAAAACAATCTAATTTATTTGATATTTTTTCATAGTGTCTGCTTTGAAGGTCGACCCACGACTGAAGCCGGTGCTAAGATTCTTATGCGTAGCGCCGCACTCCACTTCGGTGCCGCTCGGCTTTTTCCGCCATTGCTTCTTCAACTTCGTTCCCCGTGAATATAAAAGTTAACCCTCCCCCACTTTTTCTATATCCCGTCATTCCCATATTAAACCAGTAAATTCTGTTTTATCCATTTCGTTTCTGCTTTATCTTCAATACTAGTAAAATAAATACATGTATGTCAATAACTATGATTGCAACCATCATGTCGTAATATGCTCTAAATTGAATGTAAGTTTGATAAAAATTAATTTTTTAGACGTTTGATCTCCAACTAAGCAAGTAATAAAAACATGATAAAACATTTTCGAACAAGATAACATAATTTGATATTTAGATTATGCTAATTGCTCGTAAATTATCGGGTTGATAGATTCAATACTGGTGAAACATTTTCGGAAGTTTTATTCGAATATTTTTATATAGGGGACTTATATATTAAATAAATTCTTTCAAAATCGGATAAATGGAAATTTTAAAAATATGTTGATTGAAATTATAGATCAAAAAATAACTTCATTTATCTTCGTGCATGTGATTCATCATTTTTATAAAAATCAGTGGTATAAAAATGTTTTATATTATTGCACCGAATCGATACAAGTCTTTGTCCTTCCAATTCGATTCACTTGTTACGTGTTCAAATTACAAATTAGCACTTTACAACTCACGTAGTATTCAATATATATGTTCAACTCATCCCTTTTATGGAATTTCAGGCGCAAAAACAGATTTCTAGCCAATCGACAATAAATTCGATTTTTAAAATTTTCCAGCTGCTTGTCTCGTTTTCAATTTACAAATACTTTAGCCAAATAGAAATGTAGGTAATGTATTTCCATTCGAAGTCATTGAAAGCCCAGTGGAAAAAATGAAAAAAGTGTTCAAGAATTTATTTTTTTATAGAAAAAAGAGGTTTTAACATTTGAAGTATTTAAAATTTTTTTCAAATTAGTCAACTTACTTTTGTCTTTAATCAATTGATACTTGTCCTCATAAAACGATTAGAAAATTCCATGTCTGCAGTTGAATCGATGGTCATATACTACAGGCGTTACTTTAAATCCTCCCCCATGGAAAAAACAGAATATTTAAATAAATTAAGAATTTGTGGTTTCATAAAAACAAAACTGTCAGTTTAAAAAATTAATGAAGATAATCAGACTTCTAATAACATAAAACAGTAGTTCACTAACTCGCTTTGCATGACAAATAGTGTTGGAGCTATTTATCAGTTAGCAGCTTTGATAAAGTGTAGTCTGCACAGCTGTCTTTTGTCGATATCTTACGTAGATTCTGTTTAAAATTTGGGTAAATAGTTTTCAATCCAGATTCTTTAAAAAAAGTAATGAATGAAACGATAATAAATGAATCCCCACAAAAAATTGATTTGTCCAAAAGTGAAATAATATCATAAAAAAAGATCACAAACCCGATTTGCCCGATGATAAATGTTCTTTTCGGTAACTTTGAAAACTAATAGATAAATTTTCGATTCGAGCCACCGCATTATTGTAGAACTTTATGAACTGTATCACTAACAGTACAATATCTTAATGTACTAATATAATTATGCATAATCGACGTTGTCATTGAAAAACTTCTATTTGACTTATTTTGAAGCTGATCGTCCATTTGAATTTTTTTCAAAATTCAAAAATGAAAACAAATTATTTATTTTATTGCTTTCGCAGACAAAATTTTTACGTTTTTTTTTATTTTTGAACGATAACAATGCTGAGAAAAAATTTCAAAGGAAAAATGAAGCTTTTAATTACATACATCAAATACAAATAAAAAATATTTGCTAAAAATCAAAGATATTGTTTTTGTTGCCGACACGAAATGAAGATGAATTTCGTAGTACTTATCTAATTACTGCTGAATAGTGGTAAGAGAAAAATAACTATAAAAAATTAATTCTTCTCTATTTCAGTTTTTTAGTTTTAATTTATTTCGCTTATGCCATATTTGGAATACCAAGATGTTTAATCTTTCGGAATCATAATTGATTTATATGCGTCATATTCCTATAATAATAATATGTTTGAAAAAACAGGATGATCTAACACTTTACAATACAAAAGTATACTAAATTCTAAGAAGCATTAACGAAAAATTATTTTGATGTAAAAATAAATTATTCATCATAATCATAATTTTTAACATTTTTAATTATTAAAAAGAGTATTTAATTTTTAATTTTAAAAAAATTTAAGAACAACAACATGACGAAAAATATGAATAAAGAAAAGCTTCAAAACCAAAGATGGTACTCTTGTCTTTTTGACGATACTAAATTACTATGTATTCAGAACTCGGTACTTGGTAAGTCTATGATAAGACAAACAATGCTATTACATTTATGAAATTTATATCTTTTGCTCGCTAGCTTCGGCTTGCATGCTGACCCGTACTTTCTCTTTCTTGTTCTTGCAATTGACCGGGCGTGAGTAACGGGTCAGTGCTGTCTACTACGTCTCGATAAACTTTACCAATTTTTTATATATCGTGTGAATATCAAAGTATTATGTATTTACGTTCATATATAGTAAAAAAATATGAAACAAATATTTGTAAAACATTTCTATTATTAAGTTAATCATCAAATACGACGTATATATTATAAATAGTTTCACAAGTATCTCAATTATTCTTCGATAAAAGAAAAACGTAAATTTCGAAAATTGATGACTTCTCTTTAACTATCATTTTATCAGAAAAATTAAGTACTATAATAGTCACATATGACATTTGTAGTCGATATATATGGGCTAAGCCATAATTAGCGTGATGGTCAAAAAAATTTTTTTTCTCAAATTATGTACTTTTGAAGAGTACATTGAAAAGTGAAAATCCTGAAAGTTTCAGCCCTCTAGGTCCAACCCTATTGGATTTTCAGGGTCTTGAAGTTGAATTTTCTTTTTTTGATGATATTTTGCTTGCAATTCTGATTTTCTTGGGTAAATATGAAAAAATTGTTGAATCATGGTTTTTAATGTAAAATTTGATGTAGAATTCAAATTTGTACTTAAAAATCATATTAAGAAGTGGAGTCCCCATAAAAATGATATTTTCATGTCCTAATCATATTAATGTACTAAAAAAAATGTGTTCGTATCCTTCGATTAGACCCATATTGTAATATGTTCATCGATACACCAAAATACAACTTCTGATAAATTTTGGTTATCGGCAGACAAACAGAATTCATTATTGAGCTTAATATGAGTCAAGAAACATGGTTTTTCTCTAATTTTTCTTGATTTTTCACTCATCTTAAGCTCAATAATGAATTCTGTTTGTCTGCCGATAACCAAAATTTATCAGAAGTTGTATTTTGGTGTATCGATGAACATATTACAATATGGGTCTAATCGAAGGATACGAACACATTTTTTTTAGTACATTAATATGATTAGGACATGAAAATATCATTTTTATGGGGACTCCACTTCTTAATATGATTTTTAAGTACAAATTTGAATTCTACATCAAATTTTACATTAAAAACCATGATTCAACAATTTTTTCATATATACCCAAGAAAATCAGAATTGCAAGCAAAATATCATCAAAAAAAGAAAATTCAACTTCAAGACCCTGAAAATCCAATAGGGTTGGACCTAGAGGGCTGAAACTTTCAGGATTTTCACTTTTCAATGTACTCTTCAAAAGTACATAATTTGAGAAAAAAAATTTTTTTGACCATCACGCTAATTATGGCTTAGCCCATATATATATGTTTTTGAATTATTTTAATCTACTGATGATAATTAAAGAACCTACCATATCAACTGTGCACAGATTTTAATTATCAAAATAAATTTCAAAGGTGTCATTCTTAAGGATACGTCAAAGTACAGTATTAATGATAGTTGATTTTTTGTAACGTTCATTGAGTATCTTAATGAAATTTTTAGGATAAAATTAATTAAAAATCGTCTTTTTCAGTGAAATATATAACTAAAAGTGTTAAAAGTTTTGTACTCCAATTCAACTATAAATTAAAGTATTTTGAAAAAAAGAACAATTACATTTGTCGCCTACCATCTAGCATGGTTATTTGAGAACTATTAAATAATGGTAAAATTTCATTTTATAGCACAAACGGTGTAAAAAATAATTTCAATGAAAAATTGCGTTATATTTACAACATGTTAATTGGATATAATACCGTTTCAGTCATACACATATCTTATTTTCAAATGCCGTGGACAAAAAATCGCACTTACTATACAAGTGAGAGAAACTTATGCGTTGATTTTTCAAACTAGCGGTCAGAATCTAATATTCAAGAATTCCTAAGAATTATGTAAGAGTGCATAATTAGTACTTGTATAAATTCATAAATAGTTTTTCATCTACTTCATCTAGTTAAAATTTAGGCTTCGATGAAGTGAAAAATATCTTAAAAAATTAAACGAAAAAAATTTTCCGAGAAAATTGTTTCTTAAAATAATTCAGTAAAATGAAATATCATCACATTAAAAATCCAAATCGTCAATTGAAATTAATCTACTTTAAGTATGTGTATAGCTGCAGAAAATTTCCCCAGACTTCACCTACTCGGAGTTCTTCAAACATGCTAGTTTATTTAAGAGTGGTGGAAGCACATCAACAAGTAGGTATTTGTATAATCACTTCGAACGACATATTTTAGTCTTGCTTTTAATTAGACATTTAGACAACTTCTGTTGAATTCATGATAGTAAAATATGACAAATTATCGGTTCATAAAATTTTGTGCAACTTTGATCTTACTTTTTTCGAAAATTATCAAAGCTGAAAACATTATGGAAAATTGCACAAACAATCTAAATTTTGGTGCTGTTTTATCATTGGGAAGCAATATTTTAATTGAAAAATTGAATGTTAGTGATGATGACATGTATTTTAAAAAACTAGAATTATCTGATCAAAACTTAACAGAATTAGTAATGCAGTGTTATACTGGTGAGTACATTTATAAAAAGTAACAATTGTTACGTTTAATCTCAGAAAATATAACTTCAGAGTTTTAAATTTATAACCTTTATATATAAGTGAAAATTGAATTTTCTTCAAGTAGTTGGGGTTTAATCGCAAATATTAGATCATTTAACTAGCTTAATGAATGAACAATTTTATATCGAGATTATTATTACTATGTTATGAAAAAAACTGTATAAAAATTGTGTTCGTTCAAATTAATAACTGGTCAATTTTCTAAGATATATATTTTTATTAATATTAATTGAGGGCCTCGAAAAAAATAGTTTGACGCTAAATTTTGATTTGTTTGCAGATTACAATGATTCTTTGTCGACTCAGCATGATATAACTAATTCAAGTATGAATAAGTACTATTTACCACTCGAATGCATGGATATTTTGAATAAAAAAAGTTCGATTAATAGCTATAATTTTGAATCAAGCAATCAGTGCGATTCTGTTTTTACTTTTATAAATATTTATGGAGCTAGTATGATGATTTTCGCCAACATTGTCTATTTAACATCTTACAGTATAGTTTGCATAATTTACATAATTATCCCAAATATGTGTCGTCGAGCGTATGATAAAGCTGTATTAAGTTTTTGTATAACCCAAGGCATTTTAAGTATCACCATTATCATTCTCGGACATTACATGCTATGTCATAAGCCTCTAGAAAATATAGTAGCAATATCTTTTGGATCATCTCTTCAGATTTTTACCATTAGCGGTGTTTTATGGCTTCTTGTGATAAGCTTTGATGTTTCTTCAACAATTACAAGCTTCCGTTGGAAAAATGTTTCAAATAATAAAGATCGAAATGAAACTAATAAATTTCGTATGTATTTTTTCGGAGTTTTGATTGGCACATTAATACCGTCAATGATATCTGGTATTCTCCAATTTGCACCTCTTGCAGAGGACAGCATAGTAAAACCTAATTTTCAAAACATATACAATACTAATTATCATGTCATATTTCATGTTGCCAGTGTTCCTATTTTAGTAGCATTTGCAAGTAGTATTCTTTTCATATTTACTACCGTTAAAATGATTCAAATTCAAAAATCAACTCGGATTATCAATGAAAATCGCAAAAAAAAAATCAAGAAACAATATATACTGTACTTAAAACTTTACTTACTCATGGATGCACCTTACGTAACTGGAGCTCTCGGGTCAACATTTGAAGATCTTTGGATACTAAAATTTTGTAGAATGATTCAGCCAGTAATGATGTTATATGCTGTCATACCTAGAAATATTTTTAAAAATTTATTTGTAAGGGAAAAAAAGAATCAAAATCAAAGAAATCGCAGTAAAAAGATATTTCGCGAAGAAATAGTTTAAAATACACAAACGTTATAAAAAACAAAAAAGTTAATAATTTTTATTAAGCTGTTTTCTAGTGAGAACATTAAATAAACAGTCTGTATTATTTTATACTATTGGAAAAATTTGATAAAAATTATTTTCACCAATGTAAAAAAATTCGAATTTTTTATTCGTTACCTTTAGAAAAGCAATGAACCATATTTTTAAAAAGTATACTCATGTTTACGCATAAAAAAGGAAATAAATATTTTCTAATTTTATTTTAAAAAATCGTACAGAAATTCTGAACTAAGCTTTCAGGCATGTCTGAACTAAGCTTTCAGGTTTTCTTCGTAGTGAAATTATAAAAAAATAGCAAAATAAAAATATTTACGAATTTGAAAAAAAGTCCTGGCGAAATTCTGTGGAAATTTTTTTAAAATTTGTATTTTGTTCTTGCCTCTGATATGTTCATTTTTTCGATCAAAGCTGGCCAATAATTTTTTACAAGCTGAACAACAAACCGATTTTGTTCATACTCGTAAAATGGGTATTGTTTGTGAAATATCGCAATTACCATTTTATGCCATTGAATCGGATATATCTTTTCATAAGTTCAAAAATAGATTCTCTGTTATACCTCAATATTTTTGACCAACTAGGTATATACTGACACATTAACTTGAAAAATTCCTATTCTGTTTAGAAAACTTTATGTGCAATGAAACAACACAACAAACTATTATTATCCCTTACATTACCTTTACATGCTTTTTTAGACATACTTAAAATTTTAAGTGTAAAGAACCTAGATTGTTATACATTTTAAAAATATGCATTTTACTTTTATTACAGAAGATGAGATATTTAAGCGCATAATAATTTAATCGAATAAACAAACAATGTGCATGAAAATGTTTGTTAGTTTAAAATGATAATTGAGAGATGAAAAATTAATTTCTTATTATTCTTTATTTATTACTTTTTATAAAATAATGACAAAAATAGTTCTTTAAGTTTAGACAAATAGAGTTAGTAAAAGCATCATCTAAAATAATTGTGATATGCCCAAATTTAATGAATTTTGCATATAGTTGTTTTTGTTAAAGGGATTTCTGAAAAAAATAAACATTTTTGAATAAATTCTTTTCGATAGGAGTTGAATTGAGTTCCAGGCGAGTTGAATTATACTTACAGTTGTTTAAAAATCAATTTAATTAAATCTGATGTGCAACCAGTTTGTATGGGTAATGCAAAAGGACTACCAGTTTCCAGGACTTCCACCAATTTATCCATAGAAATTGTTTTTACTGACAAATCTTTTCCAAACTCCAAATAGGAGTTGTTTATTCGAGAGTTTGGCCATGTGATTCTTTGAAGAAGTTCGTCTTGACTGCCCCGAGGAGTTGGATTACTGCGATTCATGGATGCTAGTGACGTTTTTGATATAAGATGTAATGAAAATGTAAAACTTCAATACCTATATTTAGCAAAATTAGTCCACAAACGCACCATGCGTTTTCGAGTTATGAATGTAGGATCATTCGAATTCAATGAAAAATTGAGGATTTTCATGTGAAATAGGTAAGCAAAATCATCTCCGTGAGCTGTTCCTGCAAATATGTACTCATAGTTTGGTTAATTTTTCTTAGTATTTGAACTTACCATTTAGTGAAATATTATATAAAAGTCTATGCAAAGACTGATCAGTAATGTACGAAAAACGATAAAAGAACAATGGTTGATCGTTTCTAGTACTCATTAACTTTCTCTTCATATCGATGCCAGTAACAAATAATATATCTGAAGTTTCCTGTCCAGGAAAAGAAATTTCAATTGACGATTATTAATTTTTCAGATTCTGCAAATATGATTAACATTTACTTTTAATCTAACGAACAAAGAATATTGCTTACATCTATCAATTCAGAAACAAAGGCGTCGACGATATTTATTGATTTATTTGAAATTTTTGAAAAAACTTGATTCGTGATTGGCAAAGGAAGTAAAGATGATCTGGGAAATGAGCCCGCGCACTGCAAAGCAAACTTTGCCACATCTGATACTGACTCAACATCTTTAATCAAATTTAAAAAAAAACATATACGATATTAAAAAGTGCCAATTTTAAACTCGCAAAGACTGATTTACATTCAAAATTCATAATTTCTAAAACATTTTAATTATACAGCCACACAAACAAAATGTTTACATTCAGAAACCATCGACCTATATGACTTTATGTTTTTGGTGTTGCTGAATCCGAATCTGGTGTCAGTTTTTCTAGGTTGGCTCATTTTCAAAGTCATTTGAAGGTCAAATTAAGGAAAAGTGGTAAAAAATCCTAAGAAATTCATACATAAATTTTTAAGGATGGTGAATCCAAATGCGAGAATAAATGTACATAAGGACATTTATATATGTACGTAGACATGTTTTTGATAAAGCATGCCGAACATTTTAATTGTACAATAAATATCATTGGTATTTATGATAATAAGATTATAATACTCTTATTCTTGGTCGCAAAGAAATAAATAGAGATTTTTGAATAAAAAGTGAAAAGTACGTATAACTTTTAAACAGGATCAGCTGGGATTTAGATTCGAACGGTTTTTTTTATCTATGATTAACCTATTAAACAGTGGTACAATAATTTTTCGTTGCCATCTTAATGCTACTCACCGTGTTCAAATACACCTTTAAATTGAGCCAACCTAGAAAAACTGATACCGGATTCGGATTCAGCGACCCCTAAAACTAAAGTCCCCAAGGTCTAATTTCTGGACATGAACATTTTTTTTGTGTAGCTGTGTTATTTAAAAAAAAGGGTATCCCTATTGTTTTTTCATAGAGGAAGCTCTGCGATCCTAGGGGAAGGGGTAATTTAAAAAAAAATTCTTAGGCCACTCCATAACACATTTATGTAGAAATATTATAAATAGAGATGTAAATATATTAAGAATAACTTATTTGTTGGAATTTTATAAATAATGTAAGAATAACTTATTTGTTGGGGTTTTATAAATAATGTAATAACATTTGTACTTACCTCCTGCGAACAAGAGCGTTTCGTTTAAAGTGTAACCGGTTAAGTGCGGGACTCGCAAAAAATTTCCGGATACATAGTTCCCATAAGAACACGAAGTTATAAACTTTTTTTCATTTATTGCAACATCAGTACTTTCAATACTTGGTTTAAATGGAGGATCGCTCTGTAAATAGGTATTTACTTAATTAGCCTGAGTAATAAATAAAAATTCAAAATAATCAAGTATAATTATTTACAGGCTTTTTTAGGTATTTTAAAGAAAATAGAAAAAAAAGTATTCAATTTTTTAAGTGACAGCATTCGCGCGACGCAATATTCAACTAGTCATTTGAGTTACAACGCCTTAGTATAGTTTACATTTTCAGAACATCAGTGTTGAAAATCACCACATCGGACAAGGCAATCAGTTTCATACGTGCAAAAACTTAAAACCCCTTTTATATAATTTCCGTCAAATTTTTTTAGCCATAAAATTTTTAATTGAAACCGTCCTAAAAACCCGAATGTATGTAACTCATAATACTACTAAATATTACGACATTAACACTTCAAGTGTAGGAACAGAACCCAAGGAAACGGATGTATCTCAGAGACAAATCCAAATTTTTAATTTTAAAAAGTGTATAAGCCCTCAAAATAGCGCTAAAATTTTCTAAAAGTGTATAAACAATTTTTACCGAACCCATATCTTCAGTTTTTGTCATAATATCTGTAGCTGATGCATCATACAAGACTTTCAGTAACTCATTTTTATTCGATGCTACTTTACCCAGTTTTTCACCCAATATGAAAGCTTGTTTAACAGCAGCTTCTCCTGTATGAAATGCCCAAGGACATAGTGGAGAAGCACTCATACTAATCGAGCGGTGAAATAATCCTAATAAATGAATCAAATTATTATTGAAATCATGTAAAGCAAAATGAGACGTATTTCAATAAAGCCCACATTTCTTTTCTATAAATATGAAAGCAAATCTTAAAAACATAAATTTTCATTGAAAAATTCAGAAAAATATGCTAGCGCCTGTGAATCAAATGTGTAATAATAAAGCATCAACCTCAACCTTTGTATTCTAGATTCATAATTCAATTTTAATTTCAATAAACAAATTATAAATTTTTTATTTTACCAACTGAAAATAATTCAAAAATACCTTTGGACATTTCAGATAATCCGTGGAAATCAACTGCTACACCCCCGGCACTTTGACCGAATAAGGTGACACTATTAGGATTACCTCCAAATTGGGCAATATTTTCATTGATCCAACGCAAAACTAAATTTTGATCTTTTAAAGCAGCATTGCCGGTGGCATTATCATGTTTTAAGTTTAAGAAACCTGAAAATTAATATTTAATATGAGCAGAATTTTACATTTATGAAATCGTGTATTTTAAAATTTTTAAAAATATACCTAGTGGCCCTAATCTATAGTTGAATGTTACCAAAACTACTTTTTCTTCAATGATAAAATCAGGTCCATATAAAAAACTATTAGCATAACCTCTTTTAAAGGATCCACCATAAATCCACATCATCACTGGTAATAAGTTCCGTGGGTCCGCATCACTAAATTTTACCTGTGGATAAATAGGAAGGTGATTGCAAGTATTTTTGTTTATTTTTATGAAGACCATTTATTGATATTAATTATATTTTATTTATTATGATGAAAAATGATTATATTTTATAATAACAAATGAGATAAAAAGATACCCAGTTGAAAAAAATTATACGGATATTCACGTGGATTACCCATGCGAATTCCACGTGAATCAGACATCGTTACCACGTGGATCAAAAGTATTGTCCACGTAGGTAGATTTCAGCGAAAAACCTCGAGGAATATTCAATTGTATAAGTTAAAAATCCATGACGATTAATTTTTTTTCAAACCATGTCTGATCCACGTGGATAGCTAATACACGTAGATAATCCACATGGATAAACTGTTATATTAAAATTTATAAATTATTGAGATACCATGATATGGCTTTGTCTAGCAAAAAATTCAAACTGATTTCTACCAACTAAGTGATTACTATTGATATCTTATTCATTTATTTTATTTAGTACTTTTTAAATATGAAATAATTATTATTGAAAGTTTAACACTTATTATACCTCAGGAGTGTAGACATTCAAATACAAGCAATCTTCCGAGCCAGTGAATTCTGAAGTGTATACAAAATCTTTCTGAATACAATTTGGACCCTCTTTTGTCGCTTTAAGAATACCATTCCATGGTTTTATTGGAACAGGAGGCTAAAATAAAAGTTATTATTATATATTTACAATGGTACGTTCATTTCAAACAATTTTATTTCAAGTACACAAGGGATCAAAAATACTTGGAATTTAGTAAGAGTAGGTTATGATTAATTTCCGACAGACGAAATAAGAATGTTCTTTAATGAAAAAGTTTTATGAAAAACTTGAACTTTTTCATAAATTTAAATCTGTGGTGGAAAGGGCTAACGAGATAACTCCATTTTTTTCGAAATCGAGTTTATGACGTGAATTACCTATATGTTATGTCTACTTTAATGTACAAGGTCACAAAAGCTGAAAAGAGCACCTATCGTTAAATATAACACCGTGCCAAACGAGATAAGTCCACCTGTGCGAGCTCCAAAATGCGATTAAGAGTCTAAATTGATTTGAAAATGGAAGAAAATGATATTTCAACATACAAATGGCTCTCACACTCTTCGAATTTTGTGAATTTCACTATACGGTTGGTACATTTGATACGCGAGGGGCCATTTTCGCGATTTTTAGTGTGGCCTTTTTTCGTTGCAAGATTTGAGATCTGACACCAGTATAACGTTAAATGAGCTATTTTATCAATGTAAAATCATTAAGTGAGGATTTGATCACAAACCAAGCGAAATTATCGATAATGAAAAAAGTGTGACCGCTAAAAGTGGACTTATCTGCAGGGCTAACGAGATAAGTCCATATTTTTTGCTCCGCATCATTACTATGATGCGTCTTTCAATTTCACAAGTACATAGTTCAAAAGATACCTCATAATAGGTAAAAATATCATAGGTACAGATCTTTAGTCGTCCGCGTCTAGCTAGGCCTTCGTGCGCAACTTAAAACGCGTTTTTCTCGAAAACACGAAAAATGGAGTTATCTCGTTAGGCCTTTCCACCACAGAAATATACTTCATCGTCTTCACAGAAAAAAATGTTTTAATTACATATGGTTTATAACTCTTAACAAATCATTATACAGTGGAATACGCTTAATATGTCCACGGTTAATATGGCCAAAACCCTTGGTCCCGGCCCCATCCAATGTACATGTACATAAAATAAATCGGTTATTATAGACACTCCCATTCAATGTGGACAAACATAATTCTGAAATCATGTTAAATTATCTAATAACGTAAACATTTAAATTCGGTCTGGATCTATGAACAACCCAACGGACAAGAAATTTTCACCTTGGATAGGAAGAAAGATTTAACAATCAAATAAAATCTTAATTTATTGAAACGTCACGATAGCGAATTCAATAGTGATAGTGATAGCAAGAGTTAATGGTCTTATCATGAAAAAATACCAGAAAAATTAGCTAAAAATCTTTGCAAAACCATCGATTTTTAAAAAGTGGCGTTGAAAGAATTTTTCAATTTTCTATTCTTATAAAAATTATATAAATTCAATTGTTTATAGAATCGAGTATAAAAAATTTAGCGATTATTTGGGTTAGATTTTTTGAATAGATTCTATTCCGTCATATATTAAGGTCAGCCGCTTAATAATGCGATCAAAACCTTTGGTCTTGAAGTGGCCATAATAAGAGGATTCCACTGTATATAATTTGGGACACTCGTATCTAAAACATCAATGCAGAATAATATAATGCTACCTTATAAAATGATTTTAAAATAAAACTTGAATTAGGTAAGAATTTGCTACAAGCACTAATACATACAAGTACTAATTCATCAAGCACTAATTCCTCGATTTGAAACTTTCTTAAAAACCATGTACCTCAAAACATTGAAAACCCGATCTATCGAATTATATCGAGATAATTTTCGAAATTTTTTTAATGCACATTCAACTCTAACAAACTAATTTTAATAAAATATAGTTTTGATTTCAATTTCTGAAAAGATTTAAATTTGTAATTTTCAAAAAATTAAATAACCATTATGTTTTATCAAACCTTGAATCTCAAATAACCCAGTGGGGGTATAGCGTATGGAATTCCTTTGAATGAAGAAAACTCTGTAGAATTGCTTATTGTTCTCAAAATTTCTCCCTGAACGTACCCATTCTTGGTTCGAACGACTGATGTCAATTTCGACTCATTTGTATCGAAAAATGTAAAAATCACAAAAATTAAAATAGCAATCATCATGAAGATTATAAGTAGAAATTTGATCTATAACAAGTATTATTAATCACACTTTTTCATTCTTCATTTTCAAGTATGAAAAAATCATTCAAAGCATATGCTTGAAAATTTACTGAAAGAAAATGCAAAAGATATTTTCCAGCTGAAATAACTGATAATATTAACAAATAAAACACAAAGAAAAAATTATCAATATTTTAAGACCGCTCTCGCTTTTAGTCCATAGCGGTAACCATCAACTTATTGGCTTATTATGTTTATGCATTTCTACAGTGAGTTATCTCTATAGTCATAAACACGTAACTTGTTTGAGATAACTTTTTCGTTTGTTATTTGTATGAGCTTGAGTATTTAAAGTCGTAAAAATATTCGTTTGGAGTCGTTGCATGAAAATAAGATAAATGACTAATGAAGATATTGGAGACATCGTAAAAATGAACATTTTTAAATACGTTCCTGAAATATCTAAACAAAAATTTTCCAAAAAGCTACTATGGCATTTTGACGCTGTTAACAAAAAGTAACACGTTTTTATACATTTTGCAAACTAAAAGTGCTAGTTTTCGCTAATATCGACGATTTATGTTTGAGGTTCTTCATAATTTACCTGAAAGTTTCTTCATTTTTATCTTTGATGACAATGAAAAAGTAAACATTAATTCAAGAACTTCAAAAAATTTGTCAAGAAGTTATGCCACTATAAAAAAATGTCTATTACGCTCTAGTTGAGGTAAAGCCACTACTTTGTTCTGATAACCCTCTTAACCAGTGAGGTCTTATCAACTACTGTAGAAAAATAGAGGTGTTAGAGGATATTTAAAAGGTGACCATCCACGCAATTTATGCACATAAATCTCGAAATAATTAAAACAAACATGTGCTAAGAAGTTGAGATCTAAACTAAAGTAACAAGGATCAGGCGAAAAAATATCGTAGTTTGGGTATTTGCAGCTTGCTCGCAATGATGTAAAAAATGACAAGTTGGCTGAATATTTCAATGATGTGCCACTAGAAAGGCACCATACGCCTGCAGTAATTCTTCTAAGGACAATTTTTTTACGGTCAGTGGTTTTACCGTATACTGTATTATCTTATTATTATTATTATTATTATTGTTATTATTATTATTATTATTATTATTATTATAGTATATGTATGTTTTAAAGTATCAGTAATACTGATACTTTAAAATAAAAGTAAAGATCGTTGAAGAAGGGTATATGTACAATAATTGGATCAAATAAATTGTGTTTGCCGAATAAATGGCTCTCCTATTTCAATTATTCAGCAATGATACCAGGAAAAGATTATTGCTTAGTGCAAGTGATTTTAACGTATGTATGGTAAAGATTCAAATATAAAGAGATATACAATGAGTATCAAAGACTATACTTCTTGGTTGAGTTTATCATAGAACGCTATTCTATACATCTTTGATCTCGCCTAAACCTCAAGAGATCTATGATACCAAAGGCTGCATTGAACAAAAAAATTTGGCCCCCTACAGAAAAAATGTCACTGCAAAATGTTGAAGGAGGCACAGCAAATAGACAGAGAATATCAAATTGGTCACAGTCCAATTTACAAAAAAGTGGATAAACTGCTACGCAAAGAGATCAAACGTAGAAAGAGCGAATACCACAAGAAGTCTGTCATAGCAAGTTTGAAAGCCATAAGTCATCGTCTAAACCAAAAAACTTTTATTTTATGCTTAGACTACTCTCGTTATTAAAAATACGCAAATTAAAGCATTATGATGCAAGACCGTAAAAAAAAGATATTGCAGATTTTTTAACAGCGTATTAAGCTTCATTTGCCCATGAAAAGTTCAAAGCCGCCTATGACGGCTGTATAATTCCACAAAATTTATTTGATTTCTTCAATGTAGAAAAAAAAATAATTTGTATGTATTATTTTCAATTTTAGAAGGTTTAAAAATTATTTTTTATGCTTAATAAAATTAAAATTAACCACAAACAAATTCAAATTAAACAAATAGCTGCCATTTTTAATTCTTGTTCAAAATTGATCAAAACAAAAATGTAATAACAATATAAAAACTTGTATGAAACTTTTAAGCAGATTAAAAATATAATCTCTTTTGCTTCTCCTAAATCGGGATGTAGCCATTACTATTAATTTTTATTTAACCATATTTTAATCGAACATTTATTTAAAAGATTGTATCGGCTATTAATTAAGCCATAAAGTACTAATTCTTATTAACCTATTAAGGGGAGGCTCTCATGAGACTCGATCAAAAAATCGATTTTTTTTTTTTTGCTTACTTAGATAGCAAATGTCCCGTAGAATACACCCCCGAAACCCTTTTTATCAAAATCGATTTAGTTAAAAAATTATAGGCAAAAAACCGAAGCTGTCTTTTTACGAGGAAACGATGTATGTATGTATGTACATTCACTTTCTAAAACTTTAAACGCGTTTTTCTTGAAACTATGTTTTCTGAATCGGGCGGCAACATATCTCGAAAAGTACTGCACTTAGAGATACGCTTTTTTTTTTATTTTAAAGCTAATTAAATTGTCTGGAGGTTGAACCTATAAAATTTTAAATTTTTTCATTATTATTACTTTTTACAGCCCTTAAAAGAGCCAAAAAAGGGCAAAAAACAGAAATTTTTTTTCCGAAGTCCGCCATTTTATCAATTTTTAATTTTTTTGCAATTATTTAGGTTCAACCTCCAGCAAATGTCATCTAGTTTAAGAGGAACTTCGCATTTTTAGTTTCGGGCAAAAACTGAAGACGCTAGCTTGCCGCCCGTTGAGGTACCTTTTTTTAACACGACCTCCATCAAACGCTGCTAGGCGATAAATAATTCGATATTTTGGTCTGAAAAAATTTGTAAATATAGTTGAATACATACTTTATAAGTACAAAAAAAATTTGACTGCATTATTCACTTCCTTCCACGAAAAAAAAAATCACGAAAAACATGTCATTTTTGCGGCGCTAGATGAGAGCCTCCCCTTAACGTCCTGAGTGACGAACTTTTTAATGCCTTTTCAGAATTGGACTCAAATTCAAGATTTGATGCTTTGTTAAAAAGTTATGGATGTTTAAACAAAAAAAAACTTGAACATTTGTGCGAAAAATCTACTTTGAGAAATTTTTTGCGAGATGTTGCAGTGTAAAACTCAAGATATAAATATGATCAGAGGTGATCATGGGTGTAAAAGTAATTTACGAAGTTTACACAGATTTTTCCAATCATTTTTTTTAACAAAATGGCGGACCAAAATATGGAGAAAAAAAAATCACGTCGATCGCAATTAAAAATTCGTCATTCTGGACATAAATGAGTTAAAACCCTACAAGTTATTAGAAAATAAATTTTCCGCGTACTTATTTATATTTTTAATTTTAGAATTGTTATAGTATAAAACATAAAAAATTAAGGTACTGTTGACATTTTCGGTCGCTGAAGTGGATCATATAAAGACCTGAAAATAATCATATATTTGTAAAGTTACTAGAACAAATTTTTACTGGACAATTCTGTTTGATGAAAAATTCAGATAAATATATCTTAAAATTGATATTTTGCGCCGTTATGGGTTTATCTGTCAATGTCAGTTGGCGTTCACGTTATTTAACTCTATAACTGAATGGTCCACCTGTAATAACTGCATAAAAACAATAACAAAAAATATTTTTGCAAATTTTTTTTTTTTGATTTGATATTACAATCTTTATTTTAAATAGTACACGCATATTTCCACTGCAATTGAGTGTGAGCTATGCGCGTGATGTAAAAATTTAGACGAGTAATCGTAGACACTCTGTAAGATAATGCGTGGAGTTGCATAATAATAATAAGAATAAATCGAAATAATAGCTGTTGCTGCATAAGTAAGATATGAGATTTTACACGAGTTCCTTACAGTAACATATCTAGCTACTTACACTTACGGATAATGTAAAATAAAAAAACAATCTGATCACATATGCACCTGCATGGCTTATCAAGTATCCAGGCAAACTATTGAGCAAACCATATAGTATGAAGAATCCGAGTCAGAGTATATAAGAGTCTAGAAAACTGCTCCAAGTACACGCAGTAGTTGGATAGGTGCACGAATTTTTAAATATATTCAAGATACGGAGCTCAACAATGCTACTCAAAGTAAGAAATTTCAAAATAATGCAGATTATTTGACTTGGCTCTTTAATCGAATATTATTTCGTTTAATTTTTAGTACATCGTTATAATTGGCTTAGTTGTTTCGAGCCAAGCTGCCCAGTTGTCCTTAAACCAAGTACTGGCTCTTGCAGAAGCAGAAAATCTTGATTCCGTACCTCAGTATAGCTTTAGCTACAGTGTAGCTGATGGATTGACAGGTAATGAATTTCTTCTAATTATCATTTGATAAAGAAAATTGAGCAATTGAGATATAAATGCGATGAATATATGACATTTGTTGCAGGTGATAATAAAGCACAAGAAGAGACTCGCCAAGGGGATGTAGTACAAGGCAGCTATAGCCTAATTGAACCCGATGGTTCGAAGCGCACAGTGACATACATAGCTGACCCAATCAACGGCTTCAACGCCGTTGTACAGAAAGATCCACGATTAAGTGTCAATAGAGCAGTGTCACCTTTGCCAGTACTCGAAAATACGATCGAAGACGTCAACAGAGGCAATGTTAATAGTCTCATCGTTCAGTCAGATTCTCGATTTGATCAATTAATTAGGCCACGGTTGATTGCCGAGGCAGAGCAGCAGCAGCAGCAGCAGCAGCAGCAACAGCAGCAACAGCAGCAACAGCAGCAGCAGCAGCAACAGCAACAGCAGCAGCAGGCCGACATCGAACGGCTGCTGAACTTAAACATTCATGCTACCCAAAGAAAGCAGCTACTTGAACGCGAGCTTCAGAAAAAGGAACAGCGAGAACGAGATGAGAGTGTTGTGCGCTCGAACTTAGCCTCGATTCAAAAACAGCTACAGCAACGTGAACAGCAAGCCCAACTTGATGAAATTCTTAACTCAAACCTAGTTCGTCGTGTCCAACAGCAACAACAAGTGAGACCAGTCTTGGTAACAGCTAGTCAAGTTGAGCAGTACTTGCGACCAGCTTTGCTTAACACTCAGCAAGAACGCGTTCTACGTCCATTTATTTCATCCAGCAACGTTGCGAGACCAACTTTGGTGTCATCCCAGCTCATAGACTCTCAGAGACTCTTGGCCAATTCCATTATTGGACAAAACGTAATATAACTCATAAATATATATTCAAGCAATTTTCGTTTTTCTTATCTTTTTTTTCAATTTTTATTCGATTAACAGAAAATTTCGAATGAACAACGTCTCCGATCTTCGGCCTTGCTTCCGACTTCTACGGTCTCATCGGCTAATCTCATTTCCGTTCATCGTAACCGCTTAATACAGAATGTCAATAGTCTTCCTGCATCTTTACTTCGAGCAATAAATACTGTCAATGGTCCATTGTCCAATGTTCCAGATAATGTCAACAAAAATTCAGTTTCTCTCGACTTGGAAATCGACAATCGTCAAGTAAAATCTAATTTGGACCAACAGCGCGCTATTAATAATTCTCCACTGGTTCAGTAGCATTAATTTTAAAATAATGAATAAACTTTAATAACCACCAAAGTATAAATTTATTAAATAAAGTAAAATCACTTTTGCATTTTGAACACGAGTATATTAAAACAAGTTTTTATGCGGCTAGAAGCGTGGCAAGACATATATTTACTACATTCATTATTAATTAATTGTATTTTAATTGCACTCGCTATTTCTATGAGTATAAAAATCAATTAATAAATGATAATTTTATTAATAAATTTAAAAAATCGATAAATTCGATAAAATATTTCGTAGATTTCGTAGATTTATTAAATTTGAAATCACTTTAATTAATAACTTCTTTATGTGGAAAGTTCTTGAGGTATAAATGTAGATTTGTCGGTTTCATTAAACTTACTTTATTAGATTATACACATTGTAAAAAACAAGCTACGTTAGTCGAAATTGAAAATTTAGTATTTACTCAACACTTTCTTATTGGGAAAAAATTTTAAACGATGAAAAACTGTTGTACAAATGAAAAAAATATTATTATTGTATTAGATTAGATAGTATTTTATCTTGCAATTTATAAATTAAATGAAAAATTCCATCAAGTTTACCAAATTTCGAGAGAATAATATATACTGTTCAAATTATTTTATGGAAGCTAATTTTATTCAGAAGCTGTTACAACTTATACTTAAAAAAGTTTTTTTTTCAATTTTTTTTTGAGATTTTAGGTGTACACCGGTATGTTTAAAATATCATAAATAAAGAATTTTGAAATTTATTTTTGTTAATTTTTAATCCCCCTGTTTCCGAAAAATCTTATTACATACAGCAAAAAACATATCATCATTTTTGAAAGTTAATAAGTATAAAACAAAAATATAATTTAAAAATATATTGTATATATATTTTTAAATTATATATTTAAAGTATGATATAAGTAAAAGTAACTAAATACCGTTAAGACATATGATTGAACTTTCGTTTAGAAAATGTTATAAACAAAAAAATTTTTTCAAAGAGAGAAATATTTCAACGTCAGTACCTGAATAAAAGGTTAATAAAAAGGTGAGTAAAGTTGAAAAAGGATCGGTCACATCGGTGAAAAACGTAAAAGTATTTAAATGTAACTTTTTTTGCATTAAAAGTCAAAAGCATAAACCTCTATAAACATGAGGCACATTCATTTGTGTATGTTAGGGTAATGAGTGTAAATAATATGAGTGATCTTTCAATATAATAATATTAATTGCTTTTATAATAAGTCGTCAAAGAATTAATAAAGATTGTATAAATATGTACAGATCGGCGTGCCAGAGCTGAAAGATGCAGCTCCGCAGAGCACAGCTGCCAGATGCCATTGCGCGCTTCGAATTAAAAGATGCCACTTCAGCTCTCGATTCTGGGTTTTTTTCTGCGTTTGAATTGACACCATGTTAATGTGACATTTTTTAGAAGTAAAATTAGATGCTCTTTCAGAATCTGGCGTTGGAATGAAGATAATAGTTAAAGTTGAAGCTTCAAACGCAGAAATACTGAACGCCGAAGTGGCATATTTTAGCTCTGGCACGGCGACATGGAAGAATACAATAATCAATCGTAGTTTCTTAAGAAGACACCGACACCTTAAACTCAAAAAAAAATTTTTATTGAATTTTTGAGTAGGATTTTTCCTTCCCTTTCCATTACATTTTTCGAAATTCCAAAATTTTGATTTTTTCTTCTTTTGCGTTTTCTGACGAGTAGTGTTTTTGGTCATCTATCGTAACTTTCAGAGGGTACCGATTGAGCTTCAGCATCAGGGTCGCGTACACTACTTCAGAACATCAATGATTACGGTCACTATCTCGGATGAGACGATCGAACCAATAGGTCACTCTCAAACAGTACTTTTATGACTTGAATTTCGGCAATAACGAAAAATGGAAAAAATGTGTGCTTAACTGTTCATGCAAAGCAATCTGCCCGTTCGATCGTCTCATCCGAGGTAGTGACCGTAACCATTGATGTTCTGAAGAAGTGTACGCGACCATGGTGCAGAAAGCTCAATCGGTGCCCTTTGAATATTACGACAGGTGACCAAAAACACCACTCGCCAGAAAACGCAAAAGAAGAAATAATTTAACACGTAAAGTATAGGAAAAAGGCTTACGGAAACCGCTGTATATCAGTGCAAAATCAACATTTTGAAATTTCAAAAAATGCAATGGAAAGAAAAATCCTACTCAAAAATTCAATAAAATTTATTTTTAGTTTAAAAGGTGTATGTGTCCCCTTAATTTAACAAATGCGATAAGATTAGCTTAATCCAAACGAATGGCTGAAATTGACTTATTCCTTATCGCTCAAACAATGCAATCTCAATAGCCAATTAAACATAAACAATTTAACCAAAATCATTTGACAATTCAAATTTAGATGATTTTTCAGAAAATTTCAAAGAAAAAACTATCCAACAATTTTAGTCCAACTAGACAGAGAACTGCCCATATATACGCGTACATTTATATTAATCATCCATGACCTACATATTAAATGCTGTAAATTCGCTATTGATTTCAAATAAGGAAACTAGATACACAGTTTCGATGATTAAACGAAAAATTAATCATAGCTTTGTTGATGTTAGTCTACATAAATTATTCTTATAAAAATTCAATTAAATTTTTTAAATTTTACTTTTGACTGTATTCATTGTTACTTAGGAAAAATTTCCCGGTGTATTTTTTGTGAAATTGAATTATCAAAAAAAAAAAAAAATGTCTGAAAACATGAAAAACTTGTAGTTTTTGATGTCATAGATACATTCCACAATTTTATTAGGAACGACCATCACCCTTTTACAGAGGCCCAAAGTCGGCACTTAGGCGTCTCTCAATTAGTAACTTAGGTCGGAGATAATAAAAAAAGTATGCTCAAGCGTTTGTGCAGAATAATCAACAAGTCTAATCGTCTCATCTGAGGTTCTATTACCATTTACGTTCTGAAAAAGTTTACGCATATTTTGAAAAACTTAAAACGCCAGAAAACACAATACAAGATGAAATTTAACACGCAAAGTGTACGAAAAAGGCTCACAGAAATGGCTGCATCTCAGCAAAAGAATGAACGTTTTGAAATTTTAAAAAATGCTATGGGAAGAAGTAGCAAAATACTTTTCAAAAATTGAATTATATTTTTTTCGATTTTCGATTACGTGAGCCTGTAAAGATCTAGTTTAAAAAGTTCTTTCTTACTCTTTTTTTTACGGCGATTGAGATCGAAGTGTATTTAGGCTATCATTACGCGAGGGTTGTAGAACTAGATAAGTTATGGTCTAGAATTGTCTCGTGCAGGCATTTTTTCTTCTATGTCGCAATACAATTAGGACATGACGATGAAGAAGTGGATAGTAGTGTATCAATTGAGAAGTAAAGGAAAGTTGATTGAAAATACAATTTTATTTCTGTCATATCCTTTAATAGAACTTCTGTCAATTTTTAAACACATTTTAAAACTTATTGAAAGAGTCTTATCAAAAGAGTCTTATACTAAACAATTTATTAATAATTTGTTCATATGTTTATTACATGTTTCTAAAATCTTGTTTAATAAATCTGATTATAAACATTTATTACAACTTGTTGTTATTTTAGTCAATATTAATTTGTATAGAATAAAACAGTACTTAGCAAAGATGTTAAATAAGACCTCAAAAGTAAATTGTATAGTTGAGTCACGAAATTTGACAGATAAAGCGCAGTGCGAACTGATTGATAAGAATTTAAAATTAAAATTAATATTTAAAATAACTTATAAAAATTGTAAAAATTAATTAATATTACTACGGCAACACATTTTTGCATACACCAAAATCTAGTTTTATTCATTTTCATTATGTTTTGGAGTTCCAATTAGTAATAAAGTTTTCAAGGCAACTTTAACTTTATAAGTTTCAACATATTTTTCGTCAACAAATTCATTTTTTACAGAGTTAAAATACTTTAAAATACTTATTAATATTAGCACCCCGAAAAAGACTATTTTCCTTCCGCTGTGTAATGTAGGAAATACTATTTTCGGGCCGCTTGGTATAAAAATCGTGTACAGGCCCAAGCCACAAAAAAGCCCCTAAGCACATGTTCATTACACGTGCCCTCGAACGTTTCCGTTTTTTCTGGCCCAAGTTAGTAATATACTATTTTTTAGACATTATTTTAACTAACCTGCCATTCATTATTATTTATTCATCTAAATCTGTTTCAATTATATAATTATTAATTAAAACCATCTTTATCCATATCGTTGTAAGCACCAGCTAGCCATTCTAACATTTTTTTTATTTTCTCCGTTTCTTCGTGGCAAACGTGATAATTTTGTATAGCTTCCATTATACATTTTGATAAATTTTTCATAACGTCCTAAAAATTGTGAATAAGTTTAAGATTACGAAAAAAATTAGGTTCATTATTTGTAAAAAAAAAAAAATCATACAATTGGCCATTCCATCCTTAATAAAGCTACAGCTTGTTCACTTAATGTGTTTATGGTAATCATGTTATTTCTTAATAGAGCATTCAACATTTTTCCAAAATACAACCAAGTATTGGTATCACGAGCTACAGCAATAAGTTTGATATTGCGAAGGCTAAACAATCTGTTTAGAGGAGCCTCTGGATGTGAGAATTCATGGATTTTCCAAATTTTGAATAGTTTCTCTTGTACTTCATTGCTAAGTAAATCATTCCTATAAGAAACTGTTTCAAAAATAGAAAATCAATTACATAAATTCGAAAATAAATGTTTAAGTAAATTAATTTTTACACACTCAAAAATAGAACTAAGTCCACAGAGAGCATCTGTATAATCATTTTCATACTTGATGTTACATCTGCCTGCTCAATTAAACTTTCATAAATCTGATCACATAATGTGGAAATAACTTGCATACTTAAATTTAGTCCTCTAGTCTCTAATATATTTAAGATAACTTCCTAGTATAATAATTCAATTAATATTTTTTTTCAATAATATTTACTATCTACTTTATAATTAGTTTTGAATTTTACCCTGAGTTCGTCTATTATAAATGCAGGACCCGTATCTTTTTGATTGTGAACTTTTCTTTCATTTTCACCAGCTGGATTTAATTGTACAATTTTGTCTAAAGAGGTTTCATTTGATGTCAACATTTTTTCTAGTGTAGCTTCCATGTCTTTAATAAAAACAGAACCATTTATTAAGTAAGATTGTGTCCATTGATCTATTCTTTCCATGCTTATTCTTGTTCCAATTTTTGCCGCAATTTCTCGAATAGATTCTACACAATCATCTGGTAAAAGTGATTCAATAGATTGAGTAATTTTTTTTTTACACATTTGCGGAATGACTTCGGAAATCTGTTTTTTAAGACTTTCAACAGCACTTGAAGCTTGTTCAAATAATAAATGCTTTTCTTCTAACAAAATTTTCTAAAAGCATAAAAATAATAACATAGTTTTTTCACAATTAAATAATATAAAAAATTGCAAAATAAATTAATTTAAATCTATACTTTTTCAACTATAATTCAATTTTTAGAAAATACATTAATCTTACTTTTACAATTTCAGAATTTAATTTTGATCCATCCAAATTCTTTTCAATAATAATTTTTAAAACTATATTATTTTTATGGCGCTCAAAAGGTAACAATTTATTGTAAATGTATTTAACACAGGATGAAGCAACTCGTTCTGATACATATTCAATTGTTTTTTGTGTGGATGCTGGTTGACTGTGAAAAAACGCCTCTTCTAATCGAACCTATAAAAATAGTTGACAAAAATAAAATTTTCATGGTTGAATTATGATTTTGTGGTTTTTTAATTACCTGCAAATTTTCTACATCAAATTTTTCGGTTTTTTTTTGCAATTTACTGGATACAGGAGTAACATGTCTGAATGAAGTCAAACTTGCAACGTTTGAATTACCAGGAGTTAGTAAAATTTTAAATTCTTTCAAGAAAGGACAACACAAATATAAAATTCTCTCGTCAATCAATTGTAGCCTGTCTAAAAATATACTGCATTTCATTGAAACTATGGAATCATTGTCTTCAACCAAATTGTAATTAGATTCTGAAGATTGAATTTTTTCATGAACAGCTTTTAAAATTGCATTATTGTATTTGAATTGCCAAGAACAATATAACTCTTTAGGAAATGTTGGTAATTCAAATAACCATCCAATAACTAGTTTGATAAGTATTGCAGTTTTATGCGACATAAAATCTTCATTTTTCGCAATGCTGCACTGGTTAGTTGTACGATAAATGCAGTATAATGTTTCTAAAACCTTTTTAAAATATGGTAATCTTATTGTGATAGGGTCCATCATTGCCAGATATTCAACAATCCATGGTACTGTTAATGATAACTTTCCATGTACTAATGCATATTCTAAACATTCTTGCAACCCAATTCGAGGTAAACACTAAAAAGAATGTTTATGTAATATTTAAATTTAATTATTATGTATCTACGATTTGTATTCAACAAACCTTACTGCGAAGTGAGATTTGGGTATTCATTATATCTTCAACCATTGCTGTTTTCGAATTGTAAGGTAAAGCATGTAAATAACCCAGAAATTTTGAAAGAAGTCTTAAAGTGGCAACACAAAGCAAAAAATTTTGTTTTGTTGTTCCATCAACTGCAGTTTCTGTAAAAAATTAAATTTTTTTAGGAATTTTTTGCAATGTACATAGCAAAAATTAATACCGCTAATTACCAAGTTCTTCAATATCACTTCTTGTAAAATTTGAATCATTAAGTTCCATTATATCATGCGTCAAGATGTTCTCTAAATACATATAAAATATAGGTTTTGATGCACATAATATAAAATTTTTAAAAAATTCTTGTGCACCCGGAAATGATGGAAGTGGTACTGGGCCATTTTGAGACAAAGGTGTTACTAATTTCTTTTGTAATTGTGATAATTTATCCTGATTTATATCTTTGATATCTTTTAAAAAATTTAATGTTTCATGATCTAATGAATCTGCCTAAAAATTAAATCAAATTGAATGCATAGAATAAATTCATAAAATTTTCTATTGTAATTAAATTGAATTGAAAAATCGAATTCTATTTACCTGTTGTTCACTTTGAATACATGAAATCAGCATTTGTGATTTAAAAAGCCTGGTGAAGTGGGTTAAATTGGCCACATCAACATGCATTGATAAGAGAGTTTTTATTTTATATTTTAATGCTAACTGAAATGACCAATTGGGAGAAAGATGATTTTGTTCCCATATTTTTAAAATTTCATAGAATAAATCACGTTGTTTTTTAAAATCTTGAAAAGCTAGCGTAGAAGGAAATTTTTCACGGTTATCAGTTTCCAATTGGAAACACACATTTGAATCTGCCGTACTGAAAAAAAAAAGTTAAATAACATTTCAATTAATAATTTATTAGTAGAAGACTTTTTTCATACCATGTAAAAGATGAAGATTTGGTTTGTTTTGATTCAAATACCCTCTCATAGTAAATTTTTTTGAAAAAAAGATGTAATTCAGGATTAAAATTACTAATAAGCTTATTTTCATATAACAATTTTAGAGTTACTCTGTCTAAAGAATTTAAAAATGGTTTTTGATAATGTAAAACTTGTATAGCAAAATGCACACAGTTATGAGGATTATCCAAGAAAAGTTTAATATCACTATCTACTGTATCAATAATTTGTATGTGGCTCATACTTGATTCATTCAAAGAGGAATCATTTACTTTTGTATCTAATTGTACATTTAAATTGTTTAAACTTGTTACAAGGCCATCTAAATTTAATGATTCCAATTTTTCATCAGATGATTCAACTGATTTTATACCCTCAGGAAAACTGATGAATTCATTTTTACTTTGAGAAAGACATTTTTCAAACTGTAAGCACTTTCTTGAAAAAGATGAATTATTTTTTTTAGTATTTCTATTGTCTGAATCCAAAGATTTTATTTCTTTTACATCATATACTGTTGAAATATTTGAACCAGATTGTTTCACATTAGCTGTATAGTTTGCTGTGATCAATTGCATCATCAAATAAAGTTCAGACATAGGATTAATAATCAAATTAAAATCTAAAAATCCACTATATAGCTCAGCAAGAATATTTAGAATGTGTTTGTTTTCCACTAAAGTCTTATTTACTGTAATAACAGATGCATTAGTGATTTTACTATGTATATTTTGTAATGTTTCAAGTACCGATTGATTTTCTTCAACAATTACATCTGACGCATCACTGGCTATTTCATCGGGCTTTTTTTGTCTTTCTAGTTTAACAAGTCTGCGTTCTATTTTGAATGATTCATTATCAGTACATTTTTCAACAGTTGGTACATCTAAAAATTGCGGATTTTTTATATTAGGCCGTGATACAATTCCAAAAATTGGGCTTTCTTTGTTAGCTAAAAAAATAAATATTTAGATTACACACCACGATTACACATCAATGATCTAATGAAAAATTGTAAATACCTTTCTCATCTGTTGTTTCTAAACGAGTAGGATTAACTTTTTTCTTCTTTAGATTTTGTTCTGCTTGTACTGATAATAAATCTGAAGCTAATTGATTGATACTATTTTGTGATTCATTCTTTGATTTGTTTAATTTTTTTTTATTTTTTTTATTAGAACCTCTGTCTGACACAACAAAGTCAGACAAATTAAAATTTTGTCTGGGACTATTTTTTGAATTTCTTGAAAGATTATTTAAACTTTTTTCACTTGCTTTGCTTAGTTGACATGAGCCATCACTATAACTTTTATTGTAGACATTTGGAGACATATTAATTGGACTTAAAGATGATATAGAGTTATTATATAAAGCTGACATAGGACTTTGCAAAAATTGATTTGAATGTCTTGCAGAATGAAGAGGGCTGTCAAAATGTATTTTTCTTTCAATAGATTTATCTATTTGTTCATACTCTATACTATTTTTAAAAGCAGGATCAATTACATTTTTCAGAGAATTACTGCATTTAACTGGTTGTATCCTTTTCTTAGCTGAATTATTTTTCAAAATATTTGGGGTACTAGTTTGAGGGCTTTTGTTTAAACATTTGCTGTTTGCAATATTTTGAAGCTTTTCAGATTGTATTTCTTGACTTAAATTTTCTTCCTTTGTAATTGTTTGAGAATTTTCATCGTAATATTTATAGTCTGTATTCATTTCAGAAAAGTTTTCGAATGAGAGACATGATTCTTCTTTGTCACTTTTTGATACTTGTTTTTTCAATACTTTAGTGTGAACGTTTGTATTGCACAAGATACTGAATATTTAAAAAAGTGTATAAATAAATGAAAATTCAGTTATATGTATAATATTATCTTGAATTACCTTGTGAATTGTTTTTGTAAATAATTCAAAAAATAGTTGATAAATTCATCCTTTTGACAATACTTGTTGAATTCTAACGAATGATCAACCTTGAAAAAATTAATTTCATTATGTTTACAATATAACCCAAACAATCAACATGTATTTATAAATATAAATTACATCAGAATCGTCAGAAGATAACCATTTCAGGATATCTGCAGGTAGAATTTTGAATGTCAAAATATTTGTCAACAATTCTTGAGCCATTTTTGAAGTATTTATAAAATTAAATTTTATGATTGAAAAAAACTGTTATCACTCTCATTGATGATTAGATATAAAAAATAACTTGTTATCCTGTTATTAACACCACTGAAACATCTTTTAAAAACTTATATAGTTCGAATTATAACCATCTTCAACCACTGTAACAAACGACCTTAATTCTAGTTTATTTGTAATCATGTCGTCGTAGCCCGCAAGCGCTGTATCGTGTATGAATTTACGGTCGTCAAACTTAAACCATTTTTATAATTTTACTATGGAGGCAGCGCGCGTTACGCACTCGCGTTACATACATAGTAAACGGTGTTAACACAAGTTATTGTTTGATATCGTTTACCAAATTATGTGCAAATTTGTAATTGATATGTATATGTTCAAGCTCATTTCGTTTATGTTTGTTAACGGGTGCAACCATTGGGTTGTTACCGAAGGTTGATATTGCATCTTTAGTCTGTAATTATTAATTGTTTTAAAAAAGATGAAAAAAAAATTCATTTATGCAGAACATTAATTTTAAAAATAAAACCTATAATTTTCAGGCTGGTGCTATGGATTCGATTAATGATTGACACAAAAAAGTCGCAGTGAAAATCTTTACTCATTGTTTTTGATGCTTAATAAATTTCTATCGCCAAAACAAACAGATTTCCACTTTTGAATCATCTTTATTTTTATAGTGAATACATTTTATATAATCGCATGCCCTTCCTATACAATTTCTGCATTCATGTTTAATAAGATGCAGTAATCCTAACAATTTAATACAAAAGTTTAAATGGGTTGCTATAACAATTTGCCATTTTTTTATCTAACTTTAAATTTAGGTAGATTGACAGCTGATCAATATTTAGACCAATACCATATTTTTATGTAGTCTTTAATTCATTTATATTAAAATTTTAATTTCCAAAGACAATAGATATTTTCTAGAAAAAATTTAAAAACAAATAATAATTGTGATAAAAAATTCTTTTGTATCAAAATATTGATAAAGTAAAAATGTGAAAATCATGTAATTCTAAAAATTACGACCATACAATTATTTTTAAAAGGACCCGTGTAAAATTACTAACGATTTCGGTCATCGGGATCGCGTATACTTTTTCAGAACGTCAATTGTCACAAACGCAACCTCGAGCGAGACGATCTGACTCTTAGGTTGCCTTCGATGAGTAGTTTTATGATGGGCATTACGAAAAATAACGTAAAATGAAAAATAAATTATGCTCGAGTGCTTGTGCAGGGTGACTCGGATCGTTTCGTCCGAGGTTGCGTTTGTGACCATTGATGTTTTGAGGACCGATGCTGAAGCTCAATCGGTACGCTCTTACGGCAAATGATCGAAAACACGACGCGCAACGTGTACGAAAAAGGCTGATGGAAAGTGTTGTAAAATTGATTTTCTAACACTGCGTGCGTGAAACACCGGTTTTCTAACGTTAAAGCGTCAGAAAACCCTATTTTCTCGCAAGCAGGGTTAAAAAATATCATTTGCAACTTAACCGCAAGGAACTCACCCAGGAGTCTTTGCACCCTCGCTACGCTTGGGTGAAAACAACTCCTGAATGAGTCAACTGCTTCGCGTACTTGTTACAAAATATACCATTTAAGAGTTTGAAAAATACGATGGAAAAGAAAAATAAATGTTCAAATTAAAGGTACCTATGAGCCTTTAACTCTCATTAATAATATCTTTTTTTTTTAATATTTTACACACACTTTCGGTTGCATACGAAAATCCCTCTTAGTTAATTTGGAAAAATATACGCTTATATGATTTTTTACACTTTTGTTAATAATCTATTACCTCAATCTTACGATTATAAAACATTTCTACATATACAGTGGAATCCGCTTATTATGGCCACTTCGGGACCAAGTGTTTTGGGCACATTAATATACGATAGAATAGAATCTATTCAAAAAATTGTATATAAAAATAATTTCGATTTTTATAATCGAAGTAATCGCTAATTTTTTTATTCTCGTTTATATTAACAATTGAATTTGTATAATTTTCATTGGAATAGTGAATTGAAAAATTCTTTCAACACCACTTTTTAAAAAATCTCTGGTTTGCAAAGATTTTTAGCTAATTTTTCTATTTGTTTCATGATAAGACCATTAACTCTTTCTATCACTATCACTATTGAATTCACTATGGTGTCGTTTTAATAAATTAAAATTTTATTTGATTGTTAAATCTTTCTTTTTATCCAAGGTGAACATTTCTTGTCCGTTGGGCTGTTCATAGATCCAGGCCGAATTCAATACTAATATAAATGTTTACGTTATTACATAATTAAACATGATTTCGGAATTTTGTTTGGCCAGATTAACTGGCAGAATATCTATAATAACCGATTTATTTTATGTACATTTACGTCGGATGGAACCGGGATCGAGGGTTTTTACCATATTAACTCATTAAGTCCGCGGGACGGACACATTTTTGATACTTTTTTGAACCGTTCTACTTTTGCTGAAAATGGGGTCTGGAGAACTTGCGAGTAAGCTTATTCTACGCAAAATTTAATGAACTTTCCAAATCCGGTGTCAGATTTTCGATACAACAAACAGGTCAAAAGTTATGGATGGTTTTATCCAAAACAACGTGATTTCGAAATTTCACATGAATCTTTGAAATCCTGGCGTCTTAGGTACAAATAAAGCGTCCATGGGTCCTTAAAGTTATGATGGTTCCAATTAGTGAAATATGAATTCGAATTTATCGAAGAACTCATTCATCAGTAAAATTTTTTTCTCAAATACATCGTTTCGAGTTAACATTGGACTTTTAAATCAAGGAATTTAGTTTTTGTGGTAATGTATTGTTGCGAAAATGGCAGTTATATTAAACTTTATTCGAATTAAAATACCTCAGAGAAAAAAGGTTTTCTCTGTTTAATTGATACGTTTTTTTTACAAATATAAAACATCAACTTAATATTAATACATGTTAATTGCTCCAAAGCATTTACATAAGTGAAACTTGACTGTAAAAAGAAAGTATTGATAATAATAATAATAATAATAATAATAATAATAATAATAATAATAATAATAATAATAATAATAATGATAATAATGATAATAATGATAATAATGATAATGATAATGATAATGATAAGGATAATAATAATAATAATGATAATGATAATGATAATGATAAGGATAATAATAATAATAATAATAATAATAATAATAACATAACATCAATTTATCTGAATTAATCTCTTGTAAAATATCAGCGTTGATATTTCATAGTAAAATTATCGAAAACAATACGAGAAAAAAGGAAATAAAATAGTTCTTCCACAGCGAAGATCAATCGTACACTAAACCTAAAAATAAAAAAAAACTAAATCTAAAAATTCCAGGGCACATGTAATCAGCGGTCTAGGTAAACCCGAGACCAATAAACACGTGCTCCATAGTGTACATTATTTTTTTGCAGCTTAGGTTTGTAAGCCACTTTTCATACCTAGTGGCCCAAAAATATATTTTTCCGCTTTGTATGATGTCAGGAAAATAGATACTTTCGTACCGTTGGTATGAAAAAGTTATTTAAAATTTATCACGAAGAAAGCATTATGGATGTATATGAAATATTTATTATGAATTACTTCAGCCAAAGCTAAATATTTTTCAATAGAAAAATAAATATTAAAAATATCAAAAGCTACTACGATAACGGGATTACAATGGAGCAAAGTAATAAAAAGACGTTTCGTTTTGAATGATTGTATAGTAATTTACTCGTGAAATTTCGGTTTAATTAATTTGTACTTGTAAATTTCAACAGCATTTCATGGTTCGTAATTTTTTAACGGATATTCAAAATTAATGACACTGGTCACATTTTTGGCAATCTGTCAATCAATTTACGTTTTTAATTTCATTGAATTTAATGAGTAGGAGTGTTTTATCCACTTAAAATTTTAGTTAATATGTAAAAAAAAAACCAGTTATCTCAACCACTATTTTCTCGTCAATTGCCCATAAGGATATATTCATTGTTTATGTACAAAGAATAATAAGCTATTCTTACGATACATTTAATTCCATATCTTTTTAGTAATAATGAAAACATCATTTTACAATAGCCACATAAAGTACTTATTTTATGCTTATTTTCTGTATAAAATGATATTAAACGTTACAGCTATGTTTCGTTATTTTTTGCTTATATAAAACACATATAATTATGTTATACCTTTTTTGAGTCTTATCATACAAAGCAGCTTTTAAAGCTCATTGTTCGCCAATAACAGGCTGTAGTCTTGTCTTATTTTTTTATTTTATTTTATTTATTCATTAACTCATTCATTCATTCATTTACACATTCATGTAATCATTTATTCATTCATTCATTTATTCACTTAAAAATGACTTGAAAATTAAACATATAATAATATGTAAATGGATGTGATTTCGTAATTGTTAACCTCTTTTTCACATTTTAGAAGACAATATTTAAAATTTAAAAATCATCTAATTCATGTGCACGCATTTAAAACAAAAAATTGTCAGATAAGTAAATTGCAAAAGATTTTTTTTTCTTTTTGGTTCTTTGTGTTAACGACTTTAGGATTTTCTTTGGTAAATTTTTTCAAAAAGGTAATGTAAGAGAAAAAAAAAAGTAGAACGAACAAAAAATTTTTTGTGAATTTCATCGTAATATTTCACGTTAATAAATAACGTGCGAAGCCTTTAAAAAAAAGAAAATTAATTGAGAATAGGTTTATGTTGTTGAAATTGCTTTAGTTTTTTGGGATTCAATATCGTTATACGTTTTACGATTTTCCTATTCATTTTTTAAAAGGAATGCAGCCTTAACAAGTTCATAAAGTTTCTGGGATTTTTCTAAAAATGAATAATAGTATTAAATTTAAAACACAAAAGTTCTATTGACTTTATGCCTTTTGATAGAGCGACGAAAATTAATTTGAAAACTGATAGCAACAATTTTTACCATTTATTTTTGTTATTTTAGATCCGAAAGTATTCAAATTCGAGAGCAAAAGATTTAAATTTCAAAGTTCATGAGTAAGTCATCCATAATACTCTTACGTAAGTGAAAATAGCAATACAAGCAAGAAGTTTCAAACACTATCCAGATATCCACTGGGGTAATCTTTAGAAAATATTCTCTTAATCATGTTTCGATCAAATAAATTTAATGTTCAATTTTTTAACCGATATGGATCAAAAGAATGGGAATTGTGATCAAGAGTAAATATACATTTCATTCATGCTTGAGTCTATGAAATGAACTTATGTACATTTTTACGAAAATATTTTCAAGTTCAACAATTAATATTTGTGTTTTTTAGTTCCCATTTAAAATAATTAACATAGTATTATCTCAAATATTTATAAAGAGGTACATTTTCTAACATACGTTGATTTTGTATTGTTATTTCGGAACTGTTAGTGCTGTACAGTTAACTCTGAAATGCTATTAGGAACTAAATCATCAATAAATAAATACACCAGGCATATTCAAAAATGCCATTAACAGATCACATGCACGTATACATATTACGTATTAAAAATGCAAAATAAGTATGATTGTTTAGTTCCCAATATATTATGCAAATTACTAAAAATAACCGTAAGTTTTTAATTTAGAAAAATTAGATAACTAAAATATGAGCATACTTCATATCATTGGTACGTGAAAGAATGATGAAATAAAGCAAGAATTTATATTACATGAGAGATAGTTTTTAAATTTCTTGCATGATCATAGAAATTGGAATATCTTAAATCATAAATGCCTTTAATTTTTTAGCATATACTCTTATTAGAGTAAGAGATCTGCATTTTTTTAAATGTACAATATCACTCATAGCGAAATGTGCTGTGTATTTGAAAAATCATCTATACATCTTCATAATTCCACACGTTTTTTGATATGCAATAGTACTACCCTAAAGAAAAACTTACTCTGAAATTAATATTTGGTATTTTTGAATTTTTTTACAAATTAAAATAAGCTTACTTTTCCAATGCTGAAGAAATTTTTAGGGAATAAAAATATCAATATAAAGTACAAAAAATTGAAAAAATGAATCAAAATCAAAAAAAGAAGAAATAAAATGAATAAATAAATTAAATAAAAAACAGATCTGAGTGATTTAATTTTCTTATTTTTATGTTTTGTTTGACTAGGAAGAGATTACACTTCAAGAGAAATTAAACTATCCATTAATGATTTTTAAAATAAAATCTCTTGCAAATAATTAAAAAATAATATCTAGATTAATTCAAATTATTATCCACAACAAATATTCATAGTTCATCAAATGAATTTTTTGTTTAATTCGCCAGTACTTATTTGTGAAGATTACGAATACAATGAAAAAAATTTTTAACGTTGTTTTCTAATAGTCTAATGTTTAATTTCGAAAATAAAAAAGTATATAATACGTCTTTGTTAAAATTTTCAGTATATTATATTAAAACTATTCTGCGTCAATTTCAGTAAATGTTTTAACATAAGCTCCAGGTAAGTTTTTGTGTGAAACTCAATTTTTTCACATTAATATGATACATTTATATCTTATTCCCCGGAGTTATATAATAACATTTTCAGAAAATATAAAATAAACATTAGGCTATACTATTGCATTGATATCTGCCATGGACGTCACATATATAATTTTACCACTTTCTTAATTGTACCATGAGATAACTAAACTTAATACAATCATATAAATCGTTACATATTTTATGAAAATAAAAATCAAACTCCGATATAAAAGATCGTTAATTGTGATTTAAAATACCTATGTGCAAAATTCTACATGGTTAATGAAAAAAAATTTGTGTATACATATTTATCTATATTGTACCATTGAATGCATTTTCAAACATTATAAGACTCAATGAGCTCCAGAACCCGCACCCATGTACATATGTATGTAGACAATCGGCCGTTACAACTTAGTAGGCAATATTTATTCAACTAATTGTTTTCCTTTGAATGCTATAAATACAATTAAATGCAATTTAGTATTTACATTGGGCTACACTATGTCGACAACTATTCTGTTCTATTTATTTGACCTAAAATGGCTTGGGGTCCATTGACGATTATGCTGAGCACATCGGCTAGCATTTTGAAGTTCATTAATATATAAGCGACCTCAATTTAGATTGCCAAGCAAAATCATTGTCAACTAGAGCAAAGTAGATACATAAATAAAATTAAAAAACGATACGTTCAACTTTAAAGTCTAATCTCATAAATTCACTCCTCAACATTTAATGGTGTTTGTTATAAATCTGATTTTATTTTTCTAAATAATAATGAATTATTGATTATTCTGTACATTACTCAGATACAAATAAATAATATTCGGTTTGTGTATCCGATTTAACTAATATGAAAAATTATTTAGCAAGCTTTATTATTAATCTTAGATTGATGTTGTCAATAGTCATCAAGAAAAATGAATAAAATTTAAACTATCAGCAACTAATTCTCATGCAAGATCTAATTAATAACGGTTTTTACATATTTTTTTAAAAACGTTTGATTAACATTAAAATTTACATCATTATTGAAAATAAATATAAATTTACTTTTACACAAATTTTTATGGAGCCATTGGTCAGTGTAATAAATTAAAAGTAATAATTATTTTCATAAGTTACAGTTAATCCATTCTACGTGTTTATGAAATACCTATTGCAAAAAAGAATGAGGAGAGTGACCTTTACAGTAGATATAAAAATAGAAATAAAAATATTTAAATATTCAAATGTATAAAAATTCTAAACAGTGTATAGGTATTTGCTTAAAGCATTCAGCAAATATCTTTCTTTAAATAAAATCTATGAAATCAAATATTATTTTAAAATTGGCATCTTGACTTCAATTTAAAATTATATCATTTTTCATTTCTATCTGTGCACTTATAATTATGCACGAGGTAAATTATTCAGAATGTTTGTTACAAAGTATTGTTCAGTCAAAAATTGACAACAATGAAAAATTATTTGTTATCTTCTGATATTAAAATGATTCACTGCAGTCTTATAAAGCAACGATTGGAAATACGTTAACAATCTTTGGTTTAGTGACTCAGAAAAAAGTAAACGTTATCGTTTTCTCTCTCATTGCACATTGGTCATTAATTAAATGCACAATTTCCTTTTGCAATTTTCATATTCCAGACATAATTCATGTTACAATAAAATTGCTCATTTGCAAAAAATACGCAAGTAAAATTTTCGAAAAATGCATGTATCGCGTAAAACGTAACATTTTTGCATCAATAAATTATATTATTTGAGATGACAGTTAGTAAAAGTTGTAGAGAAGACATTATTGTAAAGTGTACGAGGTATAAGCTGCGTTGAGTCATTACTTGTATTATGATTAGACAGTGCATTATGAAGATGGCCATTGCTGTAATTATGGCGATTATAATACGAATTGCGACGAGTACTTTTCAGGATTGGGCTGACGTGAAAACTTGGTGACAAGTAAGGCCTGAACAGTTAGGGCTTGCAGATGTCGTTATTGATAGAAAGTGTGTCACTCATTTGCTTGTGATGCTGGACTTGCATCTGCTGAAGTTGCTGCTGCACTGTTGTCTGTGCGGTTATCATTTGTTGTGGAGCTATCGTTTGCTGTTGACTGTGTTGAACAACAGCTATTTCATGGAATAAAAAAAAACATATTTTAGAATAAATTTGTTCAAGATCGTGGAAATGATAGCTTATTGCATTGAAGCTTGAAAAATGCCATGTAACACACCGGGATGAATTATTTGTGATTGCGTGAGTTTACTGACAGCTCCGCCGCTCATGAGCTTGGCATTGTTGTTTTCCGTTGCCGTTATTTTTGTGTAATCGGGACGTTTCCGCTGTATCGTTTCGGCTTTGACGATCGTAATGTCTGGATTATTTTCAAGGACGGAACTTGCAGCTTTGGGTACCAGACCAACGGCAGGTACTTCCACATAGCCACCTCCCTCGCGCTTTATGGCGGTAGATGTAGTTGGTGCAGCCGCAGAACTCGTGTTTGTATTTTGCATCTTTTGTAAAATGTCATTGACACTACAATCACTAGTGTCAAATTCGTTACTGGATGTTAGCATATCGACAGGTGTGACTGTACCAGTGGCGGCCACCGTTAAATCTCCGGCCAATGTAATTCGATCGGGGCCCTGTAGTGTTGAGAGGTACGTCGCAAGTGTGTGAACAGTTACATTGAGAAATTCGGCAGCTCGAAAAAGCGTGATTTCTTTTCGTTTGAGCTTTGCCAATATATCTGCTGGTCCCGGTTCGGACCAAAAATCTCGTACTCTATGAAACCAAGAAAAGCCACAGTTATTACAAATATTTTATTATTTTTCAAAATGAAGATTCTAATAAAACTTAACTTTAAAAAATAGAAATGAATAATAAATAAAAACGCATGCAATTTTTTGTTTTACAACTTTATCGATATATTTTTACATTATGCAGTGAAATTTCGAACCACTGATTATTATTATTATTATTATTATTATTATTATTATTATTATTATCATCATCATTAAATAATTTCTTTTATTATTTTTAATTATAGATTCTGTTTTTACTTTGAAAGTTTTATATCAAGATTATTATTTCGTGTATAGATGTAATTTAGTTAATGTATATTTTACTACATTTTCAAATTACCTATCAAAATTGTTATAAGTTATCGAGGAATCAACATTCTGATGATTTTTGTGAATAAAAGTTCAGACTTTATGCAATTTAACAAAAAAAAAATAATTGTTACAAACAATTTAAAATATTCAATCGATCACTTATGAATCAATTTTGTACTTTTTAAATCGAACCGCTTAAGAACTATTTTTTTTCGTTTACAAATCCAAATATTAGCAAGCACCAAAAGATAACGAAAATTGACAACTGAAATTAATTGCAACGTAAAATAATTTTTGATGTTTCTAATATTCTATATAACTTTTTTCAGCAATCAATGTATACATTTCTTCATTTTAAGTAAGCATTCGTGTTGTTTTATACAAATTGTTTACTTTTTCAAAAATCAAGAATTTAGACCCGAAGTATATTTTTACATTAATAAAAATATATCTATATATATCAATAAATGATTACAGTAATATTTACGAATAGACTGTATTGCGTCAAAAATGGTAAGATTCGTTAAGTATCAATTTACAAGATAGATCCTAAGATATTATATTATATTTTTATAATTTATAATTTCATAGGTTTACAAGGACTCGAAGTTGACTTTAAAATTGTAAGTATTCGTAGGATAATTTTTTTAGAACAAGGATTCAAAAGTTTTACTTTAAAAATTATCTTTTAAATGTTTCAACAGTTAAAAATTATAATAACTCCATACCTATTTAAAAAAAATGTATTCACTGTCTGAAAAAATAATAAATTTGCACGTTTGCACATGTACAAAATAACCACATCATTCCCATTTTTCGATAAATCCCATTTCAATATAATTTGAGTTTTCCACTAAAATACCAAGCTTTTTTCTTCTACAAGTTTATTTTTTAAAATTAATTTCACTTTCGGCCTATCTAACTAGCATTCGTAAATAGTGAGTGAGTCACAGACTTCCAAAATTCATTTTTTATAATGTACAGAAGAGTATAAGAGTTAGTATTCCATTTCTAATTGAAAAAATACTGATATGACAGATACAGTACACATTTTACAATATACACTACTCAAAAAAATCATCGCAACAAAAAATTTCATCGAAATTTTGTAAATTTTCAAATTTTTCTATCTTAGTCTATTTTCATCGTATCAGGACGAATTTTTTTTTTTTGATATCTTGGAAATTGTCTTCTATAAACCAATTTTTTTCATTAACTTTCTAAGCGCTCAAATACTACTACAAACTCGATATTGACTCAAAACCATACATAATATATATAGATTTCAAGAAGACAAAATTTCCAAGAAATCAAAAGATCACCAAGATAGAAGCATTTGAAAATTGACAAAATTTCGATGAAATTTTTTGTTGCGATAATTTTTTTGAGTAGTAAACATTCATGTAATGAAAGGACTAATGCTGGAAATATATTAATACTTGGATATGAATAATCTTGGATTCAAGTATGAAATTTAAACATTGTCTACATCAATATATTTTACTTTAAACTATAAACACAGCAGAATAATTTTATTAAGCCTACAAAGAAACAGATTTGCACAAGAAATATTCGCATACCGATACCAAAAGAAATTAATTGCAAATTCATGAATTTAAAATTTATTTTCAAGTACATATTACCATAACTAGTGAGTAATTTAATTTTTCCAATATTCAAGGTTTTTTTAAATATTAGATGAACCATGCTAGTTTGGATTTACTCAATTATTTAGTACAAATTTTTTCAATGCAACCTTTACTGATACTATTAAAATGTTATATTAAGACGCGTGTGTTCACTAAAATTTAGTAGTCTATAGGAAAAATTAATTTCTCGAAAATAATTATTAATTCTTCCTGAAACAAAATGAACAACATATAAAATAAAAAGAGTTCAAATCTTTTCGCTAATGGAAGATTTATAACATTGTGAGCGAAATTATTTGTTAAAAAATATTCTGTATATAAAAACATAACTACTTGAGCTTAGAATAGAAAAAAATTTAAGACAAACTTGAAAAAAAAGTTTTAGAAAACTATTGAAAACCAGTTTTTTCACTTCTGACAAAATAGTAAGTAAATGAGTAAAACCACACATAGCCCAAGAGGGTTTTTTTCATGTTCATTGAAATACTCCTAGATATTATCGAATTATTCGCTCATTTAGTTTGTTAAAAAATACTTAAAACCAAGTGTTGAATTTTTAAAAAAATTTTCCTTACGAAATAAAATGTGAAATTTTAATTGTACGTAGTTATGGCAAATGTAATTGATAAACAGTGTAGTTTAACTTAATTTTATTTTAATTTCTTTAATCGATCATAAAAATATTATATCTCACGTTTAAAAAAAGTAAAGCTACTTTTAATGTTAAATAATTATAATGATAGGAAAAAGCCTTTACCTATTAAAATTTTTGATTCAGAAATAAAAATATTAATATTGAATGCACTGATCTCACTTGCATTACAAAAAGTAATGGCATATTAATGACGAAAATAGCAAAAGTCCTTCATTCAATAATTGAAACAGTTAAGTTCGATATGACTTATATAATTGATATAGTAGACAAATTTACTTCTATATATAGTTTAACTAGCAATAGTAATTTTTAAAAAATATGAAATTTAAAATAAAATTTGAAGAAATTAAAAATATGGTTGTTCGTTTAGAATTGACTAGATTTTAAATTTAGAAGTTTTCGAGTGGTAACTGGGCATAAGTTTGTCCCGAAATTATTTTTGGACATGGACGACCTTGACTTCGGTATATGCGTAAACAAATAAGCATGTGTATACCCCCATCGAGAGTCCTTCAAATCTTTATTAAGTGTTTTTAGAAAGATTATTCTGTAAAAATGCAATTTTATAACTTATATTATAAATTTCTATTAACCGGATGTTATTGAATCAACAATTATTATAATTCAAATCAAGAAATAAAAAGAGCCTAAAATATACATGTCCAGTTTTTTATATTCTATTTACAGTTATTTATAGTTCAATATGCGACCGCTTCATAATACTTTTGTTAATAATAACAATGAATAAATAAGGATATTAAACGATCAGCACCTATACGGATGTTTGAGGCATCCATAACTATCTCTATATCTGCCATAAAGGGTGCCATAAGAAACCCCTAGAATCTCTGCTGCCGTTTTCATCTCCAATTCTTTCGATTTAATTGCATCCATGACGCGTCGTGTGAAAGGTTCCTCCCAGAATTCTTGCCTACGACCTGTTGTGAGATATTCATTCATTTTTATAACATCTCGAAATTGTTCTGGTACCATAAAGTTTGAATTTTCACGACCTAAAAATGTTCCATTAAAATTTGACTTAGAAATGTTTTGATTTTCTCCAAATGTGATTGTTTTAAAAAATTAAATAAACTCACTTTTCTTTTCTTGATCAGCTATACAAGTAATCTATACATTTAAACATAAAAAGTAAGTTTATGAAAATTCAATCGATTTTTATGATTATACTACTAATAAAATAATTCTTACAATCGGCATTGTGTTTTCGTGTTCAGGAACCACATCATCGTCCCAACTTTGATCGCCTTCACTAGTTTCATCTACCTATTATATCATAAAAAAAAGCAAATTATTAAATTGTAGAAATTTTCTTACTTCATAGAATATAGCTAGGAAATACAGCTAACTTATATTGATACATTGTTTAAGGTAATTTTTATACTAAATTTTTAAAACAATTTGTTCAAATATTGAAAAGATACTTATAAAAACAACATTTGTTGTCGTGGTGGATAATTTGTGCTACTCGTGTTTTCATCAAATATTATTTTGGCATAATAGTCACTATGAAATCTGTGGTTAACAATCGAAGAGCTATTCATTTATGCCATATGCCATAGAAATTAATAAAAACTATTCCACATGTAATTGGAAAAATAATTGATTTAATTATGATAGAATTAAACTTACTTGTCCGCTTAAACTGGGCAATTTAGGTGTGAAAACATCGTGCACTGAAGGCGTATCATCAAGTGGAGGTCTACCACGCCGTCTTTGTTTTGGTGGTGTAGGATGTTCAGGCTCTTCTGTGCCCTCGCGTAAAACTGTTTCGACTCCGGGTGTTCCACCAGAACCCGGACTGTGATGCCCACTATTAGTTAACTCATTTATGCCAGCATCATTTCGCCAGCTCACTTCTGCTAATCCTTTTATGTGTAAATCTTCTGCAGTTTTCAGCAACGATGACAGTCTTGACTAGGAAATGATTATTTTTTAATTAAAATTTTTCATGCAACTTTTAATATTTACACATTTAGATTTTTCAGTGGACTTGTACAAATACCTATGACAAGTTTTGTTTATTCGATGAAAAATTATCATATCAATTGTTTATAAAAATTGTGTTAATTTTGATGAAAAATGAAAACCAATTTTGCAATTATATAAATTTTAAATTTGTCAATCGCTGCAAAAGTGTCTACTTATACATTCTTTTTAATTGTGAAAGTTGATAAATAATAAGGATTTGATAATATAATATTTGTTATACAAAAAAATTTCCTTCGTTGATCAATTAAGATTTAGAATAAGTTCAAGTGCACACAACGGTTTCTATTGCCGCTAGTGTAACTGTTTCTTGTGAAAAAACGCTCCAACAGCTATTCTCTTATATCTCAAAATAAAACAGACTTTCTAATCGAAGTTTGTAGTCAGTTATAATATTTATTTAAAATGTATTATAATTGAAAATGATCTTAACTTATAATTTGCATTATTTTTTTTTAGATTTTGCAAATAATTTGATACTTTTTTAAATACAATATAACAATGTACGACCTTAAAACTGCTTTTGACAGTACGGCTATTACAAATAATACGACTGTCAAATAATAGAATTAAGAAGAACCAACCGAAGGCTTTACTAATTATTTATGAAATTAGAGAATCATGATTTTTAACCTCTGAGCAAAAAAAATATTTTTATTTCTACATAGTTATTGTAAAGAAATATAACTTACGTGATCGATATTAATTTCGCCTTTATACATGAATTCAACAAGTGCTTTAATGTCCGAAAATTTTACGTCTTGAATCATGACTATCGTCGTATCCTTCTCTTCATACTGAGATAAAAGTGTATCGAAATATGTACTGCAAGCAGATAGAACGACCTGCAAAATAGTTAATAGATTTTTTAACTTAATTTTACTGAATTTTTTCGTTGCATAGATAAATTATAAAACAATGGAAAATTTATTTAAAAGCGTAATAGGTAAAAAATGAAGTTTTATAGATGTACAAATGTAATGTCTACCCATATGATAAATTCAAAAAATCATGTGCAGTCGCTTGCATACGGAAGTAGTTCATAATTTATTGTACGTTCATGCACTCTGTTAAAGCGCACACAGGATATTTCAATTTCCTTCGGTGCGTGTAACAACCTGCATAGCAGAAATAACGTTGCCATTTACCATACATAAGCACGCTCTCGTTGATAAATTTTTGAACAGTAATTTTCTTAATAAAAATGTACTCAACCAACAACGTTCTTTTCGTATTTCCTAGTTAAAATAGTTTCAAAGCGAAAACAGCTTTAACTGTTTAGTGAATTTGAACCTAATAACGAACAAAAAAATCTTCAACATACCCCCATCTACCCTATAATAAATTTTTCCAAATACGTATATATATACATTTCAAATGATACGATTTCCACTGTATATACATATTAACTATTTGAAATCTTACGGATTCTCACATGGAAAGTTACATATAGTTTAGAGCTGTCAATACCATCATCTTTGAATCTTTGCGATTAATATTATTTTTGAAAGGTACAAGTTTTATATTTTGCAGATTAATTAGTTAATCGTAAGGTTCTTTAGAGACTGATAACCAATTGCGGTTTTATGTGTAAAGCAAACATAATCTCGAGTTTTTTCTGTCTGCGGCTTTATCTGGCATGCATTCAAATATTTTTTGGTCGAAATAATACATTTTTTTGGCATCCACTCTTTCCATTACTACAATATTTCACGAAAATCTCTTATTGATATATTTTTTTAAATATATGATTTTTACTGAGGTGATTTATATACGTATGATTTCATAAAAAATATTCAGTAATTCAGAGAATATAAAAACCACATTTTTTTTCGACTTTTCGACAAATGATGAACATACTTGTAATTTTGTAAAATGTTTATAACTAAAAATTGTGGAAAATGCACGAGTAAAAGTAGTTAAAAATATTTTTATCTTTAAGTTTATTAACTATAGTAAAGTGTTTGTGTATAATGACCTACCGATTGATCGCTTCAATCAATTTCATCAAAAAAATGTATACGGATTCTTTGACTAGTTTTGGACGTTTTTTAACTGAAGTCGTTTCTTTCAAGATAAAAAATCTTAAAATTTAAAAACATGTTTGTTTCACATTTGAACATTGGAGAATTTTTTTTATCTTTACGTTTTTAAATGTTGTGATTTTTTATCTAAAAAAGTAAAAAGACTTCAGCTGAAAAGAATCAGTAATGAGAAAATTTAGGAATTGGTAGAAGAATACGTATACATTTTTATCGAATCTTTTGAAGACTTTTTAGAGTTGTGGCTATGTGTTAACGATTAATTATATTTTTTTCTACTTTTTAGACTCTTAGAATCAAGTGCGCAGAGTAAGCAACTAAATATTTGCGTGAACTTTTTACGTTTATTAGGTATTCAAAAATTTTTTGTATCTTTTTTATCTTTCAATTTAGATTCTTTTTTCAAATTTTTATTCGTAAAATTTCTAGATCTGACTCTTACAGCAACAAAGCTCAAGTTGCACATTTCTTTGTGATATTAGTAGTCACTAACCCGATGGTTTTTATAGTAGTTGAATGCATACGGTCGTTTAGGAGAAAATTTATTAGCTATCTGAAAAACAAATTAAAAAAGTTTGGTTTTCTTTAGATTCGGCATGTTTCTCAAATAATTCTATTGAGAAAAAAAAATAAATAAATAATCAAATCTAACGTTATATTAATAACAATGTACACTATAGTATATTTGATTATTTTAACAATTTGTTGTTACCTATCGATATATAATCAAGCGAATATAATTAGCTATTTATAAAACTAGAATATCGGTAATGATTAAAATTGTTCTAATAAAATTATCTTTGCATCATTTATAAACTAATTTGAATCTCTTTCTTTTTGTTACGCTTATATGAAAATTCACTGACGTTGCAGCGGTTGGTCTTTTTATACGCTACGCTGATGAACATAATGAGAAATGCGTGCTTACTAGCAAGCCCCGCATTTACTCATTATAATAAGAAAACTTCGCGTCAGTGTAAAAAAATACGTAATTAATATATACAAGAAAGATAAATTGCTAATGCATATGTTCTAATTTTCAGTCAAAATGAATTAGTGCCCACTGAATAAGTACTTACATCAAAATCAATTAGAAAATAAAAGAAAATTGGTAGGTGTTCTGTTTATAGAGACATACTTTTCGATTCCCCCAAAAAATGACTACATTTTGTGAAAACTGAAAATCAATGTATAGTATCATTTAACTCATTTCATGGGAAAAATGAATAGTATATTACACAAGAAGGGAGTAAAAGGAAAGAATTTTTCCTTTCTCCCGTGTTGTGTATACGATTTTTCAAACGCTTTGGGCGCGACACTAGGATTGTCTAACATAGAAGAGTCATAAGAACCTCGTTTCACGGTCGAAAGGTAAAAAAGGATGGTGTATACTCGCGGAGTTAGATTAATTCGGACCTCGAACATTTTAGATCGATTAGTCGCTTCCTGCAACGCGCAATGTACGTCGTGAAACTGTAGATTGCAAATTTTGGTGCGCGTATCCAACTTTGCGGGTGTACACGAATAAGATGACTAACCAAAAGTCTTTGCACTCTCGATACGCTTGGATTCGTAGGCCATCCGCTTTGCAGTTTGAAATAGTACTTTACGATACTAGTGGCATAATTAACACTTTGTGGCACGGCGTAGTTTAGGGCCCGAGTGGAGCGAGGGTCCTAATAGCTGGGCCGAAAAGTGTCTCCATGGCACGAGTATCGTACAACATTTTATAGCTTTGTGCTAAGTTCACATTTATGCCCCCTTTTCCGAGCCATGAGTCGCACTTTCTGTTAACACGAAGTGTGCTTAGCGCACGAGCGTATGCCACGCAGTGCTATAAAAAAACTATTTTATGCAATAGTATGACGAAAAACGTCTTTTTTCGCACATTTTTTAGTGCGCAAAAAGCGTTTTTGGACACTCGTGTGCGGTAAAATGTCTCATTTTGGACACGGGTGTGCGGTAAAACGTCTCATTTAAATGAAAGTACTTTTCGTCTACTATTGCATAAAATTTTGTATGCAACACGTACCCAGCTTTTTGCGCACAGTGTGCGGAAAAAACACCCACTCGTGCCGGCATAGCCGGCACTCGTGTCTTTTTCCGCACACTCGTGCCCAAAAACGCCTTTTGGGCACTTGTTACATAAATAACTATTCATACAAGTCAAAAAATTCAAATAGCTTAAGGTAACCTTAAATCAATGATACAATCACTGTGCGAATAATCGAATGAACTAATAAAAATCTATGTAACTCTCGGAAAGTAGCATTTATGAATGGGACAATAGTTTATTGGATTATCTAGAAAATTAACATTCAGAGACGTTACTTTTCGACGTAAAATTAAATGACCTATCGATTTGATACCTAACCTTTGATAAAAAAAAATACATGAGTCTTTAGAGACTATTTAAAAAATAAGTGATTATTCGTTTTTTCATAAAATTAAGTTCTCATGATGAACAGAGGTGACTGTATGTTTAGCAACCTGTCTTTAACATTTGTATAAATGTTTTGTATTTTCAATATCAAAGACTTATGTCTAGAATAGCCGCGTCGTCTGCTTATAATAGTTGAAGTGAAGTACAGCAAAATTTATGTCAAAAAGTATATCTTTGCATAATGATGTGATTAATAACATATATTAAGAGGTCAAATTCATCAGAAACATCGCCACTTTTCTATTTCATTGCTTACCATTAGAAATCAACAAACTTTAAGCTTAGAGTGTTGTATCCGTGCACTCTCCATGAGAGTACATATTAATTTCAATATAGTTAAGATCAATTTTTAAAAAAAAAGTGTGGTAAAAAATTCTAAAAAGCCCCATAAAGTTTTGTAGGGTACTAAAAATTAGTATTGAGCAGTTTTTTTATTTCTCGTCGTACCTATATATGACCACTGACATCCTTAAAAGCGCTCGTATCACACGCATGCGAAAATTTAACTCACTTTAATTAATTCTGCTGTTTTAGATGTTTCAATTTTGATATGGGATTGTTTTCATTCCTAATGAGCTTGCGCAACAACTATTATTGCAAAACTTTAGTATTAAATAATAAAACTTAAAAAATGACGTCCGACTAATAAAAAATTATTTTTTCTCATTTCCCCACTAAATGTCAGGGAGCGCTGCTATTTTGTAGGTATAAGTTATGCTCGCTTAAAATTTCGTTAACAAATGAAAAAATTTTGCATGAAACTTCAACTGCAGAGATAAAAAAGCTATTGATATGCAATAAATTAAACTTTTATTAAAGCATAGGTTTTTATTTTTGTGTTAAGAACTGTTAAATAGATTTAAATTTTCATCAAAAATGTCTATTATGGTTATGTTTAAATTTATTCACAATTCAGAATTATAGTTATTGTATCAAGTATAAAAATGAAAATCTAAAAATAAAGTGTATGTATATGAAAACAAAGGAGGTATATACTGGAACATAGGAAGCAGCTCATGTTGGTCATTATTCTATAGACCTTTCTACGGATTATACGACTAGATATCTCATTATTTATACAAACTGTATAAAACTGAATTTCCTATAATATGTAACATTTGCTATCTTTATTTTTCTTTGTATGACTTGGCTTATACAAGAAATCTATAAATACAAAGTGTACTTATTACATCATAGAACGTACTGTATACTCACTATAAAATTTTATTTCGCGGCAATTTCTTATAAAGTTTCATCTGATTGATGGACCTAGTTAAGGGGACAAGTTGGTGTTTCGATCTGATATTTGAAAATGACCATATAAATCGATATAGTTGAAAATGTTTTTCTTGATAGTAGAACATGTTCATCTGATTAACAAAAAAGCTCCTACCAAAGCTATGAAATCCTTATTACATTACTATTTTTATAATATTAAATATTGTTATTGGATACACTGACCACGCGATTCTGACTTGAGTTCTTCATTAATACTGATCTATGGGATTTCAAAATCTTCAGAAAATTATTTTGTTCCACCTAAGCGGAACAGAATTTGGAAAAAAAATTTTGCATCTCTTCCAAGAGCTTAAATATGGTATTAAGCGTTGATAAAATATTGTTGTTCTTGAAATAAATTGTATTTTCATACATACATTAAAATATGCATTTTTCCAAATTTTGCTCCGCTTAGGTGGAAAAAGGTACTTGTCTAAAAATTTTGAGACCTTATAGATCAAAATTTATGAAGAACTCGTTTTAGGATCGTGCAGTAAGTAATAAAATACAAAAACAAAATTTAGTATTATGAAAAAAGTAATGTAAAAAGGATTTCAGAGCTAGGGTAGGAGATTTTTGGTCAATCAGATGTAGTATGAAAATGTTTTACAATAAAGAAAATTGTTTTTCACTATTTTATATGGTCATTCAATGGTCATTCAATAATTATATTACTAGAATAAGTACTAGTATAATAAACATAATCTCATTTCGCATAAGTATACAGGATCAAGTTTAATTCTGAAATAACGAAAAAAGGCAATGTAGTTTTTCAAGAACTCAAGCAAAGTAGAATTAAAGAATTTAAAGCTCCCAAAAAAACAGCTGTATCTCAGCAAAATTAAGGAATGTTTTTATTTAAAAAGAAATCATTGGAAAGATGAGCCGACAACCTATCGGGTCATTTCAAGATGGAAATTAATGACGATTTAAAATTCTTTCAAAATATTTAAAATGATGGTCGGGGTTAAATTCTTTTTCACTTTGGATGCCTCTACATAAAGCTTTGAGCTGGGTTTTTTTCTAGGCAGGCACTAACGCGCGAAAAATGGAATCAAGCGGTGTCAACTCCAAAGTTTAATATAACTTGAGGGTTTATTAGATTAAGAACAAAATACTAACCTTTAACATAATAAAATAATTATGGATTTGACACCGCTTGATTCCACGTTCTGCACTTACGCAGTCGTAAGTGCGCGCGTAGAAAAAACGCAGCCAAACGCTCTAGAGGCAGCCAGTGTGTACGATTTAATTTGCATTGTAGCTTTGATAAATAGTCATCTTTGAATGTTTTCAGCTCCGCAGATTTAAAAAATTGCGTGAAAAAAATTCACATATTTTAAATCATCATTCATTTTCATCTTGAAAAAATGGCAAGTCTTAGTAACCGCGGAGGATAATATCTATACTCATAAAATTGTGAGTTTGGAACTTACTTTCTAAACAGATTATCTAGAGAACTCTAAAAAATGATTGTTTCGTTATAGAGAAAAGGACTTGACATTTCGTAATACGAATTTCCAAAATCTGAAGAATAAATTAATTTTTCATATTTTTGAAGATGTAAATGACCACCTCTGCTCCCGACCTACTTCGCCCCCCCCCCGCAGCGCACTTCATGCACAATTCCTTAATTTTACTTAAAGACAAATTTAAAGGTGTGAATTTTTATAATCGAATTCAATTTATAGAATTTACGAGGTCAGCTAAGTTTTTAAAACACTTTTCAAACACTTGATATTGAAAAAATGAAATCAATACAATAATTGCACGTGGATATAATACTTCTAATGATTAGTTAATGTATAGACAGACTTAAAAAATGATAGAGATAAAATTTACTTGTTATTTGATTTGTTTATTTTTCAAGGTTTTTTTAAGATTCAACTAGTAATTAAATAGACTATAATTACGTGTTTAATGACGATAAAAAAATTTTCAAGAAAATGATTCAAATTAAACCAAAATAACGAATTCCATTGAAAAATTCAGTGCAATTTAAATTAGATAATAATAATTTTATGAGTTTTTCTACAAAAAAACTTACTTTATGAGCTTTGAGAGATTTACCCTCACATGCGAGAGTCACATCGCAGTAAGCTTGACGCTCAAGTAGTAATGAAAACATAGTTTGTAAATTGCTATGATGGTATTTCCATCTCAAGCAATACTGCTGTGAATAAGCAGATGCGTTTCCAGTCATGTTGTTAGCACCGCTGGGTAGTTCTGCTTGACTACTGCTGCTCTGCTGCAGCATGAGACTATCGTCGGCAGCCAAGATGCTTCTTGTTATTAGACTTTTTGACAATAAAAGCGATGATCCCGAGTACGCCTCTTACCTCTACCTCAAAGGTCGAGGTTGATGAAAGTGGCCAAACTTGAAAACCGTTTCCACCTATCGAGATATTTTTAGTTTAGTAATATAAAGTTAATTAGATATTATTGATGAAAGAAAATTAATTTTCTAAAATTGAGTTTAATTAAGATTTTTTAAGTATCTTAAAAAAATACGAGGAGCGTGAATTTCAGTTGATTACTCTTTCAGCTAATTAGTACGTTAAAATGGGACATAAAAAAGGCTGTTATGTCTGCTCTTTAACGAAATTTTTTTTAGCCTCTACAGCAAACTAATGCTATAAGTATAAAAATTAATAGTATATTTTGCACCTAGGGAGTGAAAAACTGGAAAGTCTCAGAGCACGTGTAATTTGTCATCCGAGGCGAAGCCAAGGCTGATAATTACGTGCTCTGAGACTTTCATTTTTCGCAACATAGGTAGAAATACAATTTTTTGTGAATCCCCCAGCCTAAAGTAACACTTTCATTTCGCTCAACGTGAGTCAAATGTTACTTTAGGTTGGGGTGGCATAAAAAAGAATTAATCTCCTATGAGCTTGACAGAATTATATGCTAGATTATTAAAAATTTAAATAGGTTAAAATAATACTTTTTTAAATTTTCATCTGCACGTATGTCACCGATCTTGCCGCACTTTTCGTATGTTATAGTACGTGGTAAAAAGGTCACAAAACCAACATTCTAGACCTCCTCCCCCTCCTACTCTCCACCACCACTAGAAACGTCTATTTTCGATCTATATTTATTCTGAAGTCCTAAAGCAATTGAAAAATCTGAAAAAATTCATGAAAGTATTTATCAACAATCCAAACAACCTTGAATTTTTTCAGATTTTTTGAGTGCTTCAGGCCTTCACATAAAATCATTGAAAATTTCGAAAGTCCAGACACGCCGATAGGATGCAATAACCTATCTGAAATTTTTTTTTGTTTTTTATTTCATTGAAAAAAGTTACCTCAAATTTTTTCAAATTTTTTCGGGTTTGTAACCGTAGCTTTTGAAGCCAAAATCCACTTTTTTTAACGAAAATAATTTTTTTAGGACAATGCGGAGCCTCGATAAATGTGGAAAAAATTTCTTCTCATTTTGTTCATCAAAATACATAATCTCAAATTTTTTTTCGATTCTTTAATTGAAGGCGATAGCGTCTAGAGTCAAAAAACTTTTTTTGGACCAAATTTTTATCAAATTCAAATCAATTTTTATACAGGATTAAAATTTGATATCTGATTTTGAATAATGTATTTCTGTTGAAGATGTTCAATTCGTTCAGCCAATTATTAAAAAAATGTTCTTACGTAAAAATAAGTTGTTAATATTAATCATTGATCGAAAATAGGGGCATATACCTTACTTTTTTGGATTCCTTGTCAAATTTTAATAAATTTGACCTTCCATTTTTCGATTGAAGCCTCCTACCTCAATATAGAGCATCAAAACAATTTTATAATCCCTTAATGTCTTCAGAAATGTCTTCAGAATTTTGCATTTATCTTTGTAATGCGTACCTGATAAGTACCTTCATAAATTTTATCAGATTTTTGAATTGCTAACGGCGGGTCTAAAATGTGGGTTCTGGGACCTTTTGATCATGTACTATACTATAACATACCAAAAGCGCGTCAAGATCGGTGACATAGGTGCAGACGAAAATTTAAAAAAGTGTTATTTTGATCCAAATATATTTGCACCATGCTCACGATTTCGCTATTTTTTCTTTTAACGTCCAGGATGACGAAATTTTGCTTCGCTTGAAATAGTTATTTACGATAAAAGTGCCATAAATAACACATTTTGGCACGGCGTAGTTTAGGGCCCGAGCGCAGCGAGGGTCCTAATAGTTGGGCCGAAAAGTGTCCCCAAGGCACGAGTATCGTACAACATTTTATATTACTGTGTAAAGTTCACATTTAAGCCTCCTTTTCCGAAGCATAAGTCGTACTTTCTAGTACCGTCAAGTGAGGTTAGCGCACTAGCGTATGCGAGTGTGATGCGAACGCAGCGGTGCCAGAATGTGCAACTGACACAGAAAAGCGTGCCATAAGTCGCACATTCTGGCACCGCTGCGTTCGCATCGCACTCGCATACGCTCGTGCGCTAACCTCACTTCGCGCTACCAGGGGGTCTATCGCGGTAAGCTCACGTATGGCTGACGCGCGATGAGCACCTGTGAGATGTGAGATGCCGGCACGAGTGGGTGTTTTTTCCGCACACTGTGCGCAAAAAGCTGGGCACATGTTGCATACTAGTTATTTATGTAACAAGTGCCCAAAAGGCGTTTTTGGGCACGAGTGTGCGGAAAAAGACACGAGTGTCGGCTATGCCGGCACGAGTGGGTGTTTTTTGCGCACACTGTGCGCAAAAAGCTGGGCACGTGTTGCATACAAAATTTTATGCAATAGTAGGCGAAAAATACGTTCATTTAAATGAGGCGTTTTACCGCACACAAGTATCCAAAAACGCTTTTTGCGCACTAAAAAATGTGCGAAAAAAGACATTTTTCGTCATACTATTGCATAAAAGTAATTATTTTCCATGCTGTGGACATCAAAAAGATTCTGCATGTACATAAGTTGACATAAAGTTTAATGCCCTTTTATAACCCGAGTTCAGATTTAAGATTTGATGCGTAGTTTAAAAGTTATGGTTGTTAAAAAAAAAAAAAAAAAAACGAATAATGTGTGCAAAACATCGACTTTGACAGTTTCTTTTCTGAGTGTTGCAACTCAAAATTCAAATATGATCAGAGGTAATGATGGGTGTAGAAGTGAGTTAGGGAATTTTTACAGATTTTTTTTTAACTACTTTTTTCAGCAAATTGGCTTTCATGAAATAAAATGTTTATGCATATGATCATGCAAAAAAAATGCTTGTACAGATGAGAATTTATAACTTTTTACTCGAAAACCAATGAGTTTATGGAAAAAGTTTATGGAACAAAAAAGTCTAAGAATCGATTGAGGAACATTCTCAAATTTTTCAGAATTTTCAAAGACTATTTTTCAATTTCCAGAAAATACAAAGAATCTAATTTTTTAAAATCATCTCCAAAAATTCTGAAAAAATTTGAAAATGTTCCTCAATCAATTCCATCACATTTTTACATTTTCAAGCTAAGCAAAATTTCGTCATTCTGGACCGCTAGTAGAAATTTAGCCTTTCAGACCATCAATGAAACGTTTTCTTGACCATTTATTGGCCATTAAATGACCATTGGGGGAGTTGGCCAATAAATGGTCCAAAAATCGTTTCATTTATGCCGAAAAAGTGTTCTATTTCTACCAGGGACTTTAATGGGGTAATTGAAAATCAAAAGACCAGTATTTTCTGTCTGATCAGTTTAGGAAAAACAATTTTTTTTAACTAAAATAACGTTGATTTTTTGTGTTTTGGTCAAGACAAATTTTGAAAGTCTTTATTTTCGCGATGTTTCGTCAAATTTTTAGTATTACACGGAGTGAAGTTTACTCTCAGAGGATAAATAGCCTGATTAGGTTGAGAAACATTTCGAAAGCGCTGTGAAAACCAAAATAAAAACTGACAAGGTTAGCCTCGTTTGAGATAAAATAGTAGATTACGTAACGGGAACGGCACGTTACGCTCAGGCTGCAAACTTGATACTCGTGCAGATCGACAGCCGCCCCAGTTGCGTACACTAATTATCATTACAACGTGCGGAAAGTCGATTTTAAGATCGCCGGCCGTGCGCGAAAGTAACACTCAGTGATGAAAAAGCTTTGTTTTTACTTTAAAAAAATTGTTTTGCCGAAACAGACTGTTCTATTGATTTTTACTAAATTCTTGAGATACTTTAATCAAATTTCACCGGGACTAAGACTTGTAAGTGATTCAGTTGGTATTCTGATGTTAAATAAGGAAATGATTAAGTTATAATTTAATTAAAAATAATTAAAAAAAGCTTGCTTTTTTTTGTAAACTTAGTCACAATAATTATGAGTTATAAAATCACTAAATTATTCACATCGCTATTTATTGTACTTACAAAAGCATATGAAGGGGGGGGGGGGTCAGATTATTGTCATATTTTCAATCTATTTATTGTTAACAGTTGATGCCCTCCTTATCTGAAACAGAACACAATTTTTATATTTTATTGTAACTATCGAAAAATTAAAATATAATAACTTGATTACTTTTTTATATTATGAATATTTATTGAGATAAAGACAAGCGTTTAACAAACCACAGGATAAATTCTCATAAATTGATCATTCTTTCCCTAAGTTCTATTACAATTTTTCAGGAAATGTATTAACTTTATTCAGAGACCCGAAGTTGCTTTTTTAAAAATCGTAGATATTGACGATGTTAAAAAAACTATTTGCTCAGTCGAAGGGGCTTTAAAAAAAACTTCCAGTCCGAAAAGCTAAAAATGCTTTTTAACTGATAATTGGCCAAACATTTAGCCAAAGAGGGCTCATGCACTTCGAAAACTAGCTACTTTAGAGAAAAACATGATGGGTCTATGAGTCTAGAGGCCACGAAAAATTCGAGAGTATCGTGAAAGAACTTCGAAAAATGGATAATCACTAGTAAAATATTTCTTTTATTTTTTCCTTTTATTATTTTCATACAATTACATAGAATTTGGAATACCTTTTCTCAGCAAGTTGCTGAGCGAATGAATTTTGAAAGTAATAATTTAAAAAATCATCAACTTTTTACAGAGTAGATCATCTTCAAAAAAAAGATGTTATTTTAATATTAAACATTTCTTTTGTAAATTGTCTGAAAAATTCCACTTTTTGAAGTATATCCTCTTTATAAAAAAATCTCAATCTAAGAGTGAAATATAACGCTTTTGAAAATACAATTTCAAGAAAAAAAATTCTGTTTCACAAAGATATGTAACCCCTTAATTTACTATTTATAAACGAATAAATTTATAAAATTTTAAATACATTTATAAAAGTAGTTACCCCCTCCACCTCCTCCCAGTAATTGAAAGCATGAGCAGTGAATGGAAGTTTATGTTTATATTGATATTATTATTTGAGATACGTTATTTACTATCTCTCAATGGGAAACAAAAATTTTGAAATTTTAAAATATGCAATCGATTATCAGGAAAAAATCTTTTCCATAATTTGAATACCATTTTTTCAATTTTAAGGTGCCTATGAGCCTTTAAGGGAATTTCCGATAATTTAATGTTCATTTTTGAAACTATTTTTCCTCTGACCGTACAATCATTTATATTGTAATAATTCGAGTAAAATATTTTTGAGGGATTCCATAAAGGTGATACATTTTCTGATGAGCAAAAATAATAAAATAAAAATTAAATCACAGTCATAGCATGTGGTGCTTTAAATTTTATTTATTAAATAAAAAGTCGATATCAGAAGCTTAAATTGTTTTTTGCATTATTTTATCTTATCACTATAAAAAAGTAATTGGAATTATGTCGGTTCAAAGTAAAACAAAACATCTTTGAATGTCATTAATAGATAGTAATTATTGAAACACAAATTACTATAAAACGTCAAGCACACTATTATTCTAGATGAAAAACTATAAGGAAAAAAAATATTAAAACTATAAATTAATCATTTATAAAAGTACAAAAAGTTGTATTTAGTTGTATTTGTCCATAATAATATGACATGAACAGGGCTAATCAATAATGAAGGATACGGAGTACAAAGACTTAAAGGGCCGCAAAAGCAACATAATAATGACAGAATTTGTGAAAATGGAAAAGCGAATTTTCCTTACTGACTTCAAGGGCTTCTGGGCATTCAGCTGCTCCGGTAGAAGGGGTGAAAGCAGCAGTAAGGGCAAAAAGGGGAAGGGTGTATCACTGAAAGGGAGAATAAAAAGGGAGGCGTTGTGAACTAGAGAGAGAGAGAGAGAGAGAGAGAGAGAGAAAGGGAGAACGAACAGCAGGGCAGAGCAACGAATGAAAGGGAAAACTCACGCCACTGAAAGCGTTCTATATATCTATATAGATTTTGCTCTCCTCTTGTGTGAAGAAAAGTGAAAACGCACAGCAGCCCTTGCATTGAGGATAAAAGAAAATCAATGACCAAGGGAAAGGGAAATCTTGAGGGCTAAAATGGTTTGTTTTATAGTTTGAAAACAAATCTGCTAATTGAATCCAAATATACTTAAGAGTGTCATTTAAGAAATAATACACAGTTTGAAAATTCATTCATCATGTTAGAAAATTTCAAGAAATAACTTAATCCAACAAATTTGACCTCAATTTTGGAAATTCTAATAAGATATAAATCATGCATTTTCTATAAATTAGAACTGAAAAATTTGTTAATACAGGAAGAATTGATATCAAGAGATTCTTAAAAAGTATCCTTCTAATGTAGACTAGAACTTTTGAAATTAACTAAAATTTCAACTAATTCAAAACAATGTTCCAATTCAGTTTTTTGGCCGTTATCGATTTATTTCAATTAAGTAATTATCTAGCTATAAACTAAAACTCTTCTTTTTATTTTTCAAAGGTACAAAATTAATAATCAAAATTTTTGAAATTATCTAAAATTGCATAAATAAATTGTAACTTTTATTATTTTTTGGTTACAACCGGTATACTTGTCATATTTATCAAAGAACCTACATAAAGCAAAGCTTAAGTTAATTATGAATTACATCTAATGAAACATAAATTAATTTGATTAAAATTTACTTTCCCAACCCAAAATACTTTAATGATTCAAAATTCATCAAAAATAAAAAAATATTACATTAAATTGTTTAGATAAAGTTGTAAAAATTGTTGTATAATAACTATCGATTGAGTAAAAATTAAAGTTTTACTATTCATCTATGCAACTATGAGAAAAAATCGCTTAAAAATTGAGATAAGTTATTCTAAAATTTAAAAATTTATAACCCATTTTTCAGATTAATTTTCGAGTTTCCTCGGTTAAAATTATGAAGTGTTAAAAACATGCAATTTCTTGGAGCTTGAGAATGAATGAATTATATTAATATATATTACTGGGTGTGTGTACGTGAACATAATTGAGAAAATCAATTGATTAATTGAAATACATGAATGTTACAAGAACAATAAAAGCGAATACTTTTAAAACAATTTTATATTACCTTATCTAATCTGAGTATAATTTTCTACTGAAAATTTGTATTAATGCATGAATTTAAGATAATCGGCATGATCAACAAATACAAAATTGATGGAATTCATTTTTCTAATCGACAAACTCAAAAATGTCTTACATGATTCAAAGGTGTTTTTGGTTTCTTTGAATACTTCAAAATTTGCAAAATGAAATCTGTTATGATAATTAATCTGACTCTAAAAGAAAAAAATAGTTGAAACGTATACTTTTTTTAATTAGGGTAAACCGTCCAGTGAATGACTACCCACCAGTGAATGTCCGCTCGATGAATAATTACTCATAAATTGAATATACGAATGTTAATTTAATTTATAATATTTTCCCAACATTAAGCTATGTTATACGTACAGTTTTAATCAACTTTTGACCAATAAAATTGTATTATCTACAAATAAATAAATGTAGAAATTTTTTGGTGGGCATTAACTGGATGAGGTGGGGATTAACTCGATTTATATACGACCAGTAAATGACCGATTTTTTAAGAATACAATCATATACAGGTTAGGTTTGCCAATAATCTGGTTGTACTGATTTTTGCATAAAATCAATTTAAACAGAACGATTTGACCAGTACTGTACCAGTAACAATGATTTATGATTAAATTCGATTATTAAAACAAAAGGCAACGTTCAATTTCGATAAAACCTTGTAAAAAAGTATATTGGTCATTTACTGGTTGTCGCCCGGTCATTTATTGGAGAAAGTGGTCATTCACTAGCGTTTTCGTGGTGACTCATGAAATCGTCATTTTTAATAATATTAACGATGTTAAAATAATTTTTAAATATTTTTAATTGATACATCATTTTATAAGCTACGCGATGATCAATTCAGTTTTTTTTTTAATTGCAACCATTAAATTTTCCTAGATGTTCAAACATTGAAAAATAAAAATTCGGTCATTCACTGCACGATTTACCCTACAATCTTTATTCTAAAAATAATTAAATAATTTGACAATGCTGTAGCAATAAAAATGTATGGAAATTCAATTTCCCAAAGTCATAAAAATGATCGATAGATTAAGCCCACATTAGTATCATAATCATAGCATGAACATTTAATCCAATTTGTAATTTGTCACTAAAGAGGAGATTATTATCCAAATAACAATTAATTAACAAGTATTATAGTACTATAGCATGTTTTAAAATGTTAATTAAACTATTCTTCATAGTTATATTTATCTATTTGTCTGCTAATTGGCTACGATTTCTAATGTATCAATCTCACTCAAAGTCAGAATTTTTTGGTAGAGTGCAGAAAGTTTCTGTTTTAGTGATTTATGATTTGTATTTAACAAATAGACTTAATGTATTATATTAGCAAAAACGAAAAATAATAATATTAATAAAATTTTTTTATAACCAAGTTTGTAGATAGAACTCTAAGACTTGTACAGCCTGAATGAATAAAAACTTCAGCCTAATACCGATCAATATTTGTATCCAGTTTTTTGCATTCCTATTGAATGCAGTATCGTGTAGTGGAATTTTCATGTTTTTTGAAAATTTTTGAAAATTTTTTAAAGCATATTATGTGAATGGCTTTTTCGGGTTTGACCTTTAATTAACCTCCAGGCGATCGGCAATAACACTTTGGTGGCGTGGCCATGATTCGAACATATCCGAGGATCATTGGGGGATGATATGGAAGTATCCTACTAAAGTAGGCATGCATAAAATGTTCAAGTAAATTTTTTTCTCGTGGAGGAAGCAACATTTTAGAACTTGTCAAAAACTTCATGTGAATTTTCAGCAGTTTTTTATTATGAAAATAACCCCCACAACATGCACGATGAAATTACTGTATAAAACAGCCATAGCTATGATTTTTTTTAATTTCAAGAAAATTTTTGAAATCATAAAGGCAAGGCTCCATGTAACTTGAAAAATAACGGATATTTTAAAAGCGCAAAATAATTCTACAAACACATTTTCTAACTAAAACAATATGAGGAGTTGGTTTTTTATTTATTTTCACCTTTCAAAATCGAAAATCAAAAACTCGAAAAATACTGATTAAAGACTAAAATTTAAAAAGGTTAAAAAAAACAGCCCATAAGATTTTCTTTTTACATGAGTAATTGATTTTAATAATTTGTTTCAAAACAATCGCAGCAAATTTTCAATGTACTAACCACAAACAACGCGATTCACGCGATTAAAACTTTCTAGTAGTTCAAAAATTCACGAAAATTTTACTAATAATAGATCAATAACTAATTATGTAAGATTTCTCTATGACGGGAATTTCAAGTTTTGAATTGTTTATTCTAACTTGCCCTAAATGTATACAGTGCTTTCAATAATCCAACTCGTGATAGTACAGCTATGTACATTATCGCAACACAACACTAGCTTCACGTCATGTATTAAATTTATTTTAACCATTAATGTATTTATTTATCATATGTTTACAGAGTTAATTAATAATTATAAAATAACAAATTTTGAAATTTCCCGCTCACTCTAAAACTAACTTCACGACTTACGATAATGTCCAATCACAATCCTGAAAATCTCCCTACGCAAAACTACTCATGGCTTTTTTATAGAGAATTTAAAATTTTTATGGTACCAAATTACCGAAGCCATGTCAAAATGAAAATTTTGAAGCAATTTTTCTGAGATTTCCACTTGATATTTTTCCAATAAAATCACGTAGAAGTATAGAAAACAATAAAAGAAAAACATTCATGCAGCTTTAAAGAAAAATACTTGGGACAAATCTCAAAAAGTATGTTTGAAAATAATCATTTTAGCCTGGCTTTGTTATCTCCTTAAAAGAGGATTCATTAGTCTGCTAGTGTAAATACGTTTAACATGCAAAACCGTTTTTGAATGAGCGTCAATACGATACTCGGATCGTTAAAAAAAATTACAATTGCTATTTAATTTCAGCCAGTAACGTACCTATTATACTAGGCACTAGTCCTACATGCTAAGCGCCAGGACTTGATGAGAGCTGGAATCCAGAAGTAATCAAAATGAATTGTTTTGTCAAAAACAAATTTCAGCCATAAAACGACGGTCAGGCTCGGCGATGATACTCAATCATTGCTTGTGTGAGGTTGTGCGGCCGTTAGCTTTAAAAAAGCACGCGGAATAAATGTAGAGTGTAGACACTCGTGATAGATGTAAACACTACACTTGGAACACAACAGTCGTCCTAATCGACGAACTCGGTCACATATTCAGCTTTTCTCACACTCACAAACGACGCACATTCAACTTTGCACTCTATCCAGCCTCTTAACGTGTTTACACTCACTGACGCATCGGAAGCACTGCTATGTGATATATTTCTTTGCACTGCGTTGAAAATTCTGCCTAATATCTATATTTCTTTATCTCTTTTTCTTCCTCTCTCCTTTTCTCTCCCTCTCCTTCCTATCTCTTTCCTTTTCTTATTTTCTCTCTCTCTTTCTTTCTTGCTTGCTCGTAACGTGATTTGTACTTTTACACCAATATCTATTACAACAATAACAATAAAAAAAATAAAAAAAAATGACAAAAAAACAGAGCAGCGGCAGTAGTAGCAGCAGCAGTCACGATAACAGCAAAATTCGCAATAATTGATACAATCGCGAGTCTGAAGACTGCGTAACAGCGCTACTGTAGCTTATAACGGTATTGTAGCAAGTTGCGAAAAATGCACTGAAACACACATCCAGATTCAAGAAGTGCCAAGACGGCAGTCATAGCGTCGAGTAAGTAGTATTTTGTTGGATGGCAACGGGAGCTGCCTAAGGAGTCTCTCAGCTTTCTCGTCTTAAGAAAAACAATTTTCGTTGCGTAGAACTTTTTGTCACTCGATCGGTGAACGTTGGACCGATAATAATAACAACAACATCGTAAAAAAAATAATATAGATCGACGAGAGTACGAAAACAGTAGTTGAATCGAGTCTAGGAAAGTGCACAACTATCAGCGAAGAGTCAGCGTGAATGCCGTGTAAAAATTGCAGAAACACGTGAATGCCAAATGATCGGAGGTAGAAAACTATTGTACATGTAGCCGCGTGTTTATTGCCGGGTTGCACGTGCAAACTAAAATTATATTGCGAATCCGTGAACTACGGCGGCGCGCGCTGCACTAGTCTGTAGGCAGTTCGTAGCCGTCGTCATAGGCACACACAAACGCAGCCGCGCTCTCAGCCAGCCAGCGGTCGTCGGCTCTGGCTTGCGCGCGTCATCGCGTCTCTCTCTTTCTCTCTCTGCCTGCTCTTGTCCTCTCGCTCGCTCTACGGAAATTAAGAAGTTACGTTATAAAACGCAACGACCTACAATGCTACAAATGCCGCGACCCCCACCTCGCTCCGAGCATCCCTCCCCCAGGTGCGCGAATTTCTCCTCGAGCGCCCTTACCACCGCCACCAATTGCCACCGCCGTCGTAGTCGTCGGCGTCGTTTCTCTCTCGCTCGCTCTCGGCTCTCGGACTATGTCGAACAGGCAACTTCGTAGTCTGCCGCCTGCTACGTTCGCTGTGTGTATCGAAACTATTGTGAGTTTTGTGCAGCGCACGTATACGGCGCTACAGGCCGTTCGACGTACTTACTGTTTTTGCAACTCTGATAAATCCTCCCTACTACCTCGAGTCACCCACACTCGTACCCTTACTTGACTCGTGCATCTTTTCTTGCTTCGTTTTTCTACTTGCACAACTCGCAGAATTGTCTGTTAAGTATATTAGCCATACACATCAACGCATATCCACATACCTTTCCTTCCACTTCTTGGATAAAGCAGGCGCAGCACCGAGTCGATTCGATTCTCTCCGGAGCTGCTTCCTTCCCCTCTCATCATTTTTTACTCTACACCGACTTTGCTTATCTTTCTCTAGTACTCGACACTCTCCATCTGATTACTGATGTTTTTGCAACGAAAAGTAGCTTCAATTAATTCTCTTGTAAATATAAAATTTTGAGACGCAGCTTAAAGCTCCGTCAAAATGCAGCGCAGCTATCAACTTGCCTAGAGAATCCGGATTTATAAACAATACATATAGTACATGACATGTAAAATTACACTTTTCGAAATTAAACTTTTTTTCGATTAGATCATTAAGCTGAGAAATATATATTTGACTCATTCTATTATTGGTTTAATTGAATCATTGGGGATTTAGTTACTCTGACTAAATATTGAAATTCAGTGAAAATACATATAAATTAATGTTAATTGACGCATAAAAAATTAATCATTTCATCTATTACATATTTACTTACACTAAACAAACATTTCATTGAATATGAATATTTACTTAATCTAAACAATAGGTACTTAATTTGACTGAATATCAATTGAGTTAATGAAACGGAATGTAGGATTGAAATTAAATATTTTTCTTAGTGCACTGTCACGTTTGTTACTTTACAATTATAGAAGAATTCTTCATTAAGATAAATAAATTTAATCAAAAAATGTAAAATTTCCAGCTAAGTTTAACAAAAAAGACTTTAGCTACAGTAAATTTTATCAGATGTCAAAAAAAAGGTAAGGTGATCGCTGTATAACTCTAAATCTACGATTTTTTATAAAGTAAAAATTGATCTCATATTTTATTAAATTTACTAGCTTCTGTTTCATTTTAAGCTTAAAATTTTACTGAATATTCTTAAAAAGACTATTTATTATTCATGCTACCGCAACTGAAACTAACCTTTATAGCACTGTGTGGCATAAGTTCACATTTATGGCACCCTTTTCTGTGGCATAAGTCACACAATCTGGCACCGCTGCGTTCGCATAGCACTCGCCTTCGCTCGTGCGTTAACCTCACTTCGCGCTACCAGAAAGTGCGACTCATGACTCGGAAAAGGGGGCATAAATGTGAACTTAGCACAGTGCTATAAAATGTTGTACGATACTCGTGCCATGGGGACACTTTTCGGCCCAGCTATTAGGACCCTCGCTGCGCTCGGGCCCTAAACTACGCCGTGCCAAAAAGTGTTACTTATGGCACTTGTATCGTAAAGTACTATTACTTTGCACACTTGTTGCATAATATACCATTTGTCTAAAATCGAATGTAACTTTTGCAATAAACACCCAATTCTATCGCAATTGAAATCGAATTAAGGTGAGTCCGAAGCCTCGTATTTTACCAACCGAACTCTGAAAATGTAAACTTAAATAACTTTTTGACTCGATAGATTTTTGAAAAACGGCTATGTGGAGCCCTCCGTATTGATACTGTAAACAACTGCGCCAAATTTCATCCCATTTTATTCAATTGTTTTTCCGGAAAACGGGATCGAAATTTAAAAATCTGGAAAACTAAATCAAAAATTTCGATCCCGTTTCCCGAAAAAAACTATTGAATGAAATGAGATGAAGTTTGACACAGTTTTTTACAGCATCAATACCGAGGGCTCCGTGGAGCCGATTTTAAAAATTCGGTTTAGAAAAAAAGTTATGCAAATACAAATTTTTTAATGCTCGGTCAGTAAAAATCGGGGCTTCAGCATCACCTTAAACTGAATTCTTTTCAGAATTTTTTCAAAAAATTCAAAAATAACAATCTTACTATTTCAAAATATAACTTTTGAAATAATGGATGAATTGCTACAGTTATAACTAAACTTAAAAATTGTTTTCAACGATACATCGCGACGTCATTGTCTCATGGTATACCAAATGATTTTTTATAAAATAAAGGTAAAACTCATATGTTTTATTGCTAAACTCATATTAATGCAAAAAATTAAATAATATAAATAATATGTTCTGAGGCAACCTCCAAATTCTGCCTAAAATCCAAGAAATAACCACCCCCTCTCTCTGTCTCAACATTTAAGTAAACAAAATATTTAAATTAATTAAATTGAGAAGTTATTTATTCCAAATTATTTTAGTTGGTTTATGTAAGATTTTGATTAACAAATTACTGTAGTAGTACTGTTACACGTTTCAACAATCAATTTTTTCGGTAAATTTTAGTGTTGCGCTCAAATACTACTGGTAACTTGATATTGACTCGAACCCATTCATAGTATCCACGGATTTAAAGAAGAAAAATTTTCCAAAAAATAAAAAAAATATCGTCCCGATACGATCAAAATAGACGATGGTAGAAGCATTGCAAAATTGACAAAATTTCCATGACAATTTCGGATGCGATAATTTTGTTGCGCAGTATATATTGAATTAATGAAATTTTGGCAATGTTTTAAGATTTTTTTAATAATAAAATAAACAGTAAAAATTCAAGTCAGAAATAAAATTTACGAAAAATTTCTTCCACTCATTTTTTAAGAACTTAAATTAATAAGTAAAAATTTACGCCAGTTCCTTATATATTTCATGGCACAATAAATTGTTTTGCCGTAAAATAATAAAAATGGGTGCTATGAAAAATCCATTTTCATCCGAGCAATGTAAAAATATCCATTAACTGAATTTAAATAAAAAAAATTAAAAACTAGAACGATAAATTAACTATAAATAAACATAAAAAAGTCTTACTACACAAACAACCGCTGGAAGCAAGTACGTTTATAAGAGTCGCCGGAATCGATAAAATATTTTTTGCTGCTATTGGTTAAATAACACACCTAACTTTACTGCTTCGACAGTTGCTGGTCAGTAGCCATTAAAACAAATTCCAAGCATATTTAAAAAAGGGTAGTACAAAAAATATCTTCACTACCGTATCAAATATTCGATATCGGTCTGGGACTTCATGCGCACTCCTCGCCTTCCCCTCTTTCTCTTCACCCTTTTTCTCTTTCTTGCTTCTCTTTTCTCCTCTATGCCTCGTCGCGTTTTATTGTAAAAATAGAAAGGAGTTTAACGAAAAAGCGAATAACAGAGAAAGATAGGTATCAAACAGACCAAAAAAGTTGATTGTATGAGAAAACAAAAAAATATAGATCGATATGGAAGCACATAAACCCTCTTTGTATTCGGTTACTTTTTCAGCAAAATTATACATTACGTGTAAGACTAAGAAAAAAATATACATAATGTTATATATATTTCTTCTTCAGTATAGATAATTTTTAAAATGTTTTCTTTTGTATATTTTTTTCACGTAATTCAGTCTAGACATGAAAATGTGAAAATAAATATAATGATTGTATTATTGAAATAAAATAATTAATATTTATTTTGATTTTTATAGGAAAAATTAGGTTAAGTGTATTCAGTTTGAAATAATAAAGTGGAAGGAAAAATTTAAATTAACTGACTTCAATATACATAATAAATAGTCTTTAAAAATGAAATAAATAGAGTGCACTTCATCGGGGTTTAAAATAAGTAGGAATTTTTCTTCTCGTGTATTATTGAAAAATAGCGTCACTATTTATAATTTAAGAATGTATTCATAGCTTCCATTATACAATTGTCAAATTTTCTAGTTTCAATCTTAAATCAATTTAAAATTTGTATCATGGAAAAGACATATAAGAGACAAAATTTTTCCAAAACTCCGAGTCTCGCGCAACAGCATTTTTGGTCGAAACTGCTCAAATTCTTTCTAACTCGCTCTAAAAGTACCTAAATGAACCTGGAAAAAATAACCAACCAGTGTTTTCGATTGGAAAATTGCTCAACTTTCCAATGGTGACGTTCAATTTTCCGAGATTTTTCATGTTTTCCTCGGAAAATGCAAGTAAACTTTCAAACTTAAATGTCTTAAAAGAAATTTTTTTTGTCTATTTGTTATTATTGTAATGGAAAGCTGAGGTCATTTTAAATGAATCAAGATAGTTTTCAAAGAGTAAAATTCATGATTTCTATGAGAGATGAGAGAAAACAAAGATAAAAACGTTAAAAAAACATTTTTTTTCGTAATTTTTTGAAGTATGTCCGCTCTTTTGTCAAATTCGCAATAATCAAAAATTTTTCCATATATGCTATAACTATAGTCATAACGAGTGTCTGGTACAAATTTAGTGAGAATCGGTCCAATAGATTTCAAATTTCTCATTTTTCGATTAACCGTTCCATTGTTAAAAATTCACAGATATGAATAATAAAAATGTTTCATGTAGTTCGAGAATGTATTTAATGAGTAAACACTTTCCATATCAATTTTTACTATTCAAGTCCAAAAAAAAGCATTAAAATTAAGCTTTTTTCAATCTGCCGACACCTAAAACCATATATTCATTAAAATTTTCAGACCATGAGCATGTATTTTTTCTTTTTTTTATATTTGGTTAGTAAGGAATTGTTATTGTATCCAAAAAAAAATTCATTTGACTATTTTAATTTTATAGAAC